CTGCAATATTAATTACAGCACTAAAAAGAAATAGACTCTTCATTGTTTAAATTTATGTTAAGTTAATGACCGATGAAAACAACGTCAACAGCAGATATATTTACTGTAATTGTTACACTAATATTTTAGTCGATTTTAACCGATCTCGTTTATAAAAATTTCAGTTGATAATTAACCATACTCATTATTTTAACATTTCAGTCGATAATTGATCGTTATCGGGTTTTCTTTTCAACAATTTATTTCTATGGTTTTTTGCAAGGAATTACTGTTGCAGCTGTTGCAGAAAAAAATAAATAATCCACATAAGATGGTTCAGCATTTTTTTTTTCTGCAATAGCTGCAACTTTATTTCCCGTATTATCACACAGAAAGACGTTTTATCATTTTTACATGCATTAATACCCGGACCCTTGGAAATTCAAGACGTAGGATCAGGTACTAGGAGATCTAACAATTGATATGAAACATGTCAGCCAAATTAAGGTCTTTCTTCCAAGGTCATCATAACGATCACAGAATTATAAAATGCTGGCTTTAAACGAGGTTGCTGAAACCCCTGTAACATCAACTTATCAGTTAGTAGCATGTCTCGCTTCTCAAATAGATCGTACTCAGAGCACGCTCTTGAGTAGTGAATACGTAGAAAGGCATAAACCCTATCCGCAGGTGGTAGTGGAATATTAAAAGCATCCAAACATGAAGCAGGTGTGACAGACAGGCAATGCAAAACATACATTATTTAAATACAAATGTCCTATTTCTGAGATTTGTGACTATAAATATGCTACAATATAGTGTACGATACTACATCTTGTAAGATATGAAAAATATTGTATTGAAATTGTGATTGCTATTGTACGCAGTAACCTTATGACTGATGCCAGGGGCAAGCACTGGTGATAGTGCATTTTCTGCGAGTAAAAATAGAACGTATCAATTGCCAAACCATTATTTTATCTTATCTTTCCATTGTATGAAATGTTTTGTTTTCTACACATCAAAAAATTGAAATTGAAAATAAAAATGTACTAAAAGAAAAAAAAATCAAAGTTTGATATCTCTCAAGAACGTGTGACTAAGCGTGCGGCAGATTTTAGTTTCACGTTTTATATAGTTACACAATCTGGAGCTGGCAAGTGAAACATCTTAACTTTGATATCTTAAGTGATTGGTTCTTTTATTTTTTACAGTTGATATCTTTAAATACTCTGGAGTCAGGTTTCATCCATATTGTTCGACCTTTGGTTTGGATTTGTTATCTTTTCAAGAAAGTACAAAATCTGATTTTGGCATTAAAAACGTACCACACTTTGATACTTCAGTTAAACTTTATTTTTTTGGAAATCAAAAAATTAACCTCAGCTCTAGTAATTGTATCACTTCACGTCACTTGAGTATAATATTTACTGTTTTATCTACTAAAGAATTGAAAAATATATCCACTTGATGAAAATGGGGAAAAATATTTAACATAAAAATTAATATCGGAGTTTCAAAAAAATCATTTTCTAATACAGATTAACCTATCGAGAGGTAGAATGAGATGATTTGTCTTTTGTGCTCACTCTTTACTCCTTCCAATGCTTGTTTTATAAATGGTGTTCAAGTTATTTCATAAATCAGTGATATTGTCACCATCAATTTTTACATAAGAAAAGATTGAATTTGCTAGAATCTTCAATCTCAAATTATTGCGCACTAGTGATTCAATAAATTAAACCTGTTGCAAAATATTTAGAAGTTATTGTCATGCCCTGTCCATCACGTTCGCAGTTGCGCATCCTTATCGCGTGTACTAGGGCTTTAATTATGACTTATTCTATTGCTAATAGAGATATAAGGTTGTGGAGACAATACTTCGGCAGCATGAATCTCTACCTATCCCTAAACCCCTCACCCCAATCATCAGAAACACTGCTCTTCTTAGGGGACTCGTTTATATTCGAGATTCACGAAGAACACAAATTTAAATCGCATTATTATAGAAGCCAGAATGACATGTGAAGGGATAATTTAATTGATCGCACGGGCTTTTCTTCATCAGATGCCTCGTTTTAGATAAACTCTTATTACCAAGTCGGTCCGCTAAAATGCCGTCATGAAAACCGAATTAGAGAGAGTGAATGATATTTCTCTTATTCCTCCGGCTAGTTAGTGTTATAAGATTACGCAAGGCTTCATCCATCATTGTCCGATTTGCCGAGGAAACAGACTTTTAAGGTCTGAGTCTGTATAATTCCTCCTAACCAGTCATCCTTCCTTATCTCTATTGTACTCAGACTGATTTATTTTGGCACTTACTTACAGAAAGACCCGTTATCTTATGATGTATGGGTACATATAATTACTGTGGTCCTGTTTCCAAATAATGGAACACATTCAAGATTTATATATAATCTATCACATACCCCAGTCAATGATCGGGTGTTATCTATAGCACGTTGCATAAGGGGACGGCAGTTTGGAAGTTTGAAATCTTTGTTGTTTGGTTTTTGCGTACCACAGATGCTTATAACCATCATTGGTTAAGATCGATAATGTATAAGGTATACTTTCTGAGAAAACATCACACAAAAGGATCCACTACTTGAAATATCTGGAGATAATGAATAGTATTCAAGTTCAAAAGCCCATACAAACAATACAAATCAGGAGCAGAGCAAACACAAAGGTATAAAACATTAAATGTGGGGTCAGGTGCCATGGAGGAATGAGTATCCCCTGCCGACCGGTCACAACTGCTATGTGCTCTTTGTCATGATCGGAAAATAAAGGTGAGAACTGCAGCCTTTTCAGTATGTAAATAATTTCCCAAACAATATGTATGAAAAAAGCCATCTGAATTTGATTTAACGAAAGATTTTATTTGATGTTGAGTGTCTTTGTATAGAACATTGAAGTTGCAAAATCTTGACTTTAAACAGGACTGCTGATATTCTTGTTTCATCTACTTGTTAGTCAATTACAATTACCTCCATTTAGAAATTGTACGTAGAGAATGCTCTTGCGTATCGAATTATCTGGGAGACATAAAACTCCATATGCGGTAATAAGGGTATTTTGCTGCATAAGTAAGAGAAGTTAACGATTGAAAATTCTTATGTTTATTATCAAGCCACATTGTTAGGTTAATACCATTAACGTCTTTTTCTGGAAAAAATTCCATACTGCTCAACGCACTTTTTAAGCTCACATAGTTTTTCGCACAAATTAAGGTCACATTGTTATAATTTTTAAATTGTATACTGTGACAACAATATGTATTTTAAAATTGATTTATAACTTCATTTTGATCTTATTCCATTACATTCAACATAATTCACACATAATAATTGGTAGGATTCTATATGCTCTTGGCCGATAGATTATGACAGTTCCAAAACGATTTTCCATGGTTTCTCGTCAAATGCAGCCGTCTTGGTACATCCTTTCACTTTAAAGCATACTTTTGCCTTGCCTAGATGCTGAAACAGTGCAGTTCATGTAACTTTTGTATTTTCTGTTTTAAAGTTTCAGACCATAAATGTAAAAGAATTTTCTTTTCAATAGTAACAATTTACTATGTTGAAAGATAAACAATACTTTATTATCCAATCCTTTTACATGATTTCTTAATGCAGTTTTGTCATTTTCAGCGCTGCATTTCGACAAAACCAAGACAAGTATGGGAAATATGCAAAGTAATTAGTAAAATACTCATCTGTAAAAAGTCAATTTGAACATTTCAACTAGAAAGTATCAAGGAAAGCTCGATTAATTAATTTGTGAATACCTATGGCAGAATCATACATATGTAACGTCATAAATGTGTACAAAAATTCCCTTTAAAAACATCGAGTTGTAAAACTTAAGATAATAATGATTTTAGAGAATATGCACCTTTATCATGAAATATTTAATAATATAAGGGTTATTTCTCGTACTGAAGCTCGATAATTAATTTTATTGCAAGAAAAATGTGACCTTAATTTGTGCGAAAAACCATGTGAGTTTAAAAAGTGCGTTGAGCTGTATATAAAACAGATCTTCAGACTTTGTAGTCATTTCGAGCTCATTCGGAATATATCAGGTCGAAAATGAATGTAAAAAAAAAACACAATAATTATTAATTGATAATACGTCGTCGATATTGTTGACCACAACGTCTTTTTTTTCTTCGCTTGTATAAGATTTTGAATAAATTCTGCTTCAAATGAATACAAATAGTTCTGCTAATTACTGGGCACAATTGATGCCAATTGAAACCAGTGGGAATTCTGACAGATTGTTGAAAGATCTGCTCCGGGAATCGGGAAATATCTTAGGCTCAAGTTAAAATCTTTATGTTGTATTTTGATATTGTAGAAATCATACGTTCCTTAAATCCTAATATTTCTCCTCACTGTTTTCCAAAAGTGTTGTTATCTGCAAATTAAGAGACTTATACAATTATTCTTTAAAAGCATTTTACGGGCGATTGAAAATTTGACTTAAGTCTAAGTCTGTTTCATGATCCCGGCACCTGGTTTCAAAAATCCACATACATAATGATATTTTGAATAAAAAAACTTCTTTTAAATATATAAATTTTAATGGTGAATGACAAAGTATGTTAATTTAAGAGTTCCATTTTTATTGGAAAAAATAACAGCTGTCAATGATTGCAAAAAAACCTGGTCTATTTTGTGTTTCTCCTTTGTGTTGGACTGTGACCCAGGTAAATGTTAATGCAAACAAGACAAGTTGATGTGTATCCGAATATCTCCGTATCCCCCTTAGAGGCGTTCACGAGCACGGGCCAGCAGTATACTGCCTGAAGGGATATTTCAACTATAAAAAACGTCATTACTAAGATATTTGCTTTTTATTCACTAATTCATCTTCTCTATTTGATTTGAAATTGCTTTATGAATTACGGAGCACTAGTTTGATCAGTGTTACTTCCTATGAACTTGAGAATTGAAGAATAAAAAGACAATTATTTTCTTTTTGATTGAAATTTTACTTCATAAGAAGACATAAATGTTAAAATCATTAATCGATGGGGCAGAATAAACAAGAATATCATACAATGACAACATTTTGAACTCAACTGGCAGATCAGAGATGAAATGAAATAGTAAATATAGCAAAGTAACATATCAGCGACTTATTGTCATCCACAATTTCCGTTCGTCAACAAAGTGTGTAAAATACAGACCCTCGTTTGACTAGGGTTACTGATATTCTCAATAAAATGGGTATGAATAAACAGATTAGATATACAGGAACATGGTCCCCGGACGACGTTATGGCAATACTAGGCATGTAATGAGGTTGTCTGACACAAGTCACTGGCCCCGCGAACATGGATTCGTCACCCCCGTCCCCGGCCTCCTCACGGAACGATCTTATCAGAAATGAGTGGCTGCAAAAAAGTAATTAAACGTTACAGACGAAAAATGGCGGTCTGATGATCCTAGGATATTGTCAACGGATGACACAGTGTCAATGAATTGATTATTATCATTCTGTGCATCTCAGGAAAAAGGTTATGAATTGATTCTTATGTGGTGATTATTGCTATGGCGAGTGATTGAACATGCAAACAATGATATATATTGTGTGAAAAATTCCACATCAAGATAATTTTATTTTATAGATAAATATGAATAGATTATTGAATTTTTATGTTCTTATAACATATGAATTAATACCTGGAGAAATAGGTTGTACTAAAAAGCCATTTACCAGACACAAATGTCGGTCTAAAATTTGCATTTTTCAAGTACAAGTAAAATGCTATTTTTATCTAGTTTGTTCTTCACCCTAGTCTAATTATTCAATGAAAATATTTTGCTAGTTCCAGTGTTACTTTGTGTCTAGGAGTAAAGAATACTTTGCGCTTTGCCAAGATCTATGTAAAACTTGTCAAGACAAGAAGGAAAGCAATGATTTACATTTCTCGTCTTGTTGCAGAGGGATTTCGACCATCTCTGAAGGGTTTATAAGCTCCAACTGATTGCGCTGGCTTGTCCGATTAGCTGGCCTTTCGGGGGATTCCTCCGGTAAATTCATCACACTCTCGTAGTTACGGACAGAATGCGGTCCCATGTCCTCTTTCATCTCCATGACAACCGGGGATTTCTGTACCGTAGCGTACTGATCCTCTGCTAGATCTTCAGTTCCAAAATGGAAATCCCCCGTCGTCTGCGAGTAAAATGAAATAATTTATCACTGCCACAAACGAAATAAACAATCCAAAGTTGTTTTTTAAAAAACCAAAAGAAAGATAATACATCGCTTGTAAATATATTTCTAATTGGCTGCAGAACTACAGTTATGGTTTGATGTTATGGGTAAAACACAAACTATAACGCCGCTAATTTCTCTATAATACTAGAGTATTTAAACTCTCATTACAACTAATTTGGAAATTTCCCACATCAGAGAGTGAAAATATTTACTATTAGCACTAGCTATAGTATTTGAAAGTTTCAAAGACTTGGACGGGAAAATATTTGTTCAATATTTAACATTTTTATCGTATATTAATTTGCCATTTTGACGGTGGTTACTTTGTACGTGTATGGGTCTGGATTAAGAAATGCAGTTCTGTTCATTCTAAGGGAAACTTGGCAGACCTACCGTGTATGTTCCAAAATGCCCAGATAAATCTCTGAAAAAAGAGAAATTATTTCCGTTAGAATTTTTTCATTAATTTAAGCATCAAGATAAGTACAGAAATCAACTTAAGTTGATTTTGCTCACCCGTTCTGTTGTTGCGGTGGCGGCTGTTCTGTTGCAGCTGCAATAACAAGAAAAATAAGAAATATATTAAGCAAGCAATCGTAAAAGGAAAGACAACCCGTACTGCCTACCTCCTCTCCAGGTGTTGGGGAGTTTAGGTCGGAGTTTCTGCTGGGCTTGAAGCTGCATCTGTCTCTCCTGTTCTTTGGACATGGTGCCTTTTATACTGCGAGGGCGCTGCTTTATGTACTTGATTCTGGGAGACTTCTGGATACCTCGTTTTTTATAATATTTTCTCAAGTAATCGGCCCTGAAATCGTTATAGATAATTTTAATTTATACTCCTTCATATACTAAATGATTTTTCTCAAAGTTTAAAACATTTCTAAATTAGTGCCTAGAGTTTCGTTTATAGAGAATAAGGGGATCAAAAATAATATTTTTGAACTGTACGACTTAGAAAGAGAAACAAAAGCCTTCTAGAAATAAAATGAAATTAAAGCTATTTGTTACAGTTGGAAATCGGTGTATACCAAAGGAATCGGTGGTGTATTTTTTTTTTTTTTGTATTAAAATTGCCCGTGTCAGCATATTTTTATCTTTGGTGTTATGTAGGGGGAAATCTATTTTATTTTGGAAATACATCTTTTAGTTATAATCAGGCAGTAGCTACAACATGAATACATTATCATAACAACGAGGAACATTTCGGAGAGGACGTGCAATATGATAATGGATATAGAAAATTAATGCAACTGCAATGAAGACAGAATTTATTTGTTTTTATTTGTGAATTAATCAATTCAACAAGTGAATAAAAATCAGGAAATACAATGAGGAAAAAGACGAATAGCTATCTGGAAGACAGATGCTTCTATTTCAGAAGGTGGGTTATGTCATCCCAATCGGTTTGTATAAATTTGGGGTTTTATCTTATTATAATACGACATAATCGTACAAGACTGAATTCGGGTTTCTTTTTCTATGTTTATCGTCAACATGCACCTAGGTTTCAAGAAAAAGTCCTGATTTTGAATCTGAAACTTTTAGTCCAATTCTATGAATTCTGTCAATTTCTTTCTATATTCATTTAAATTTATCATTTTCAATTAATATTTTAGGTACTTTATACTTTTATTTTGCTGAAAAGATCTCTTTGTGAGAAAAAAGGATTATTAAAATCAAATTTTTTGAATGACGCAATTTTTCTGACTATGAAATGTATTTTCATTTTTTGCTTAGAGGCCTACATGTGTTTTTTTTTTGTAAATATAGGTACATATAGGAAGATTTTTAGAGATGGGTTGGCGTTCCCCATAGAGCCTAACCACAGCAATCTGCTTGATGAAAATGTATATCCTGATTATAGTTACCACACAGCGAAGAAAACAGCGACGATGATAACGATGATAAACAGGGCTATTGCACATATAGAAGACGCGACGAGACCCGTCACTGTATAGGAATCGCCATGGCATTCTAAAAAAAAATAAAGAAAATAACAAGAATATTTAACAATACGTCAGGCAAATCGTCAAAATGCAAATACTATGAAATTAAGAACAATAATGATGTGAAAAACCTTAAAAATCTAACAAAATATTTATAAACTGTCCGTATAGACAGTGAGAAGAATTTTGGTTTAGAAAACTTGGAACAGCCTTTCCCTATGGGTGCAGTGACATTGTCCAAAGTGTTGGAAATCTTTCCCGTCCACAGTGTAACAATGTAAATGTGATTGGACTTTTTAATCATACACAGAGACGTAAGCGTAGTCATGGGCATGGGTCTTTTAATACATAATGTCTCTTTTGATCCATTACTACCTTATGTTAATCAACAGCTAGGTCTACATCATATTCGCACCAAACGTTACTCTGTCCCTTTGAAACTTTAAAATAGTCTTCTTGAAAAGATCAAGGAAAGTCCATTGTTTGAATCCTCGACACTAGAATACAGGCTTTGATCTGTAAATATGGATATTGCAAATCATAGGCTTTAAATCCGTGCATTTTACTGAAGAAAATGCAGCTAAAACAATCCGCCTTTCCTTAAACTTCAATTTGCCAACAAAGGAATTGACGCAGTTAATATACCAGTAAGAATATACTTAATCACAAACGGGTCCAGTCTTGGATTCATCAAGACTACACTTTGTATTTCCTATAAATTTGCTCTACTACTGCTTCCAAACTTTTTAATTACAAGAAAACTTTACAAGGCCTGAATGTCAAGTATCTGAAACATAATCCTCCATCGTGTTCATGCTCTTCTTCACCCTATAACTATAGTCCTAGTTGACACGTTATTACAGATAACGTAAATATAGTTAATAATGAGGAACTTAGATCGCTTGTTTTAAAATGTCTTCAATATAGGGAACCCCGATCCTTCAACTGGAGTCGGAATTTCTAAAATATTATGGATTCTGTAGAAGATTACGCCAGGCGATGGGCCAAATATGAAAAAGTAGACGTTGACAGTTTGTCAGAATGGATTAAATGTTTCAAATCTATGTAACGATCGCGTTTGAAAAGATTGAGGGGTAATATGAAAGACATATATCCTTCTGTATTCAACAATCCAGAAGTGAAAAAAGAATTAGATAGATTAAATTACATGATCATTACGTACTGGTCCCAGCTGACAAAACAGGTAAGAACATTGTCTTCGCTTGTAAGGCTCATTATATAAATTGTATTTTAGAAGATTTTGGATTTAATTCTTCAAGTGGCAATCCAACTAATAATCGTAGTTCCCTTTCCAAGGAAAACATTCTTTAAAATCACATGTCAGTTTCCAATATGTTTAAGATTCCAAAGAACCCAAATGAATTTGAACTACCATATCTTTATTAGATTCAGAAACTTCAAAAAAAAAAGCCTTACAAGTAAAGATACATAGTGGGTTCCAGTAAATGCTCAACCAAGCCTCTTTATTCACTCCTCACTACGATATTGACAGAAGTGAAGGAAAAACTTCAAGAGTACTGTGGGACAATATATTCAAGAAGTGGTGTAAATCAGATGTGAATACTTTTGGACAATTTGAAATCACAAAAATTTACCAAAATCAACAGCTTAAGAACTTACAACTTTTCAACTTTATACACAACCATTCCCCACGACGAATTAAAGTCTTTGCTTTTTAATATCACTGACAGCTGCTTTTTCAATAAACATGGAACTCGTAAATATACTTACCTTGACAATGGTCATTTGCAAAATTATTTTGTTAAAAAACATTCTGATTATACGCACAAGTACTCTGAAGTTGACATCAAAAAGATGCTTGAGTTTCTGATTGACGATGTCTATGTGGTTTTTCGAAACTGTCTAGACTAGGTCTTCCAACAACAAAAATTTATTATGTCTTCCAACAACAATCTATTGAAATTCCCATGGGTACTAACTGCGCCCCGTTATAAGCAGACCTATTTTTGTATTCATATGAAGCAGAATTTGTCCAAAATCGTAAAAGAGGTGAAAAGAATAAAACACTTGCTGTGACCTTCAACTCGACATTTAGATATCGACGACGTATTGTCAATTAACAATGGTTATTTCCTTTCTTATGTCGATACGATGTATCCCGGTGAGCTTGAAATAAAAGATACCACAAAGTCTGACACATCTGTTTCATATTTGGAGATTTTAGTTGAAAAAGACGTTAATGGCAATCTAACAACAAAGCTCTATATAAGCGTGATGACTTTAAATTTACAATTGTCAACTTCCCTTTCTTTTGCAGCAATATACTAGTACCTTTATCACCTGCAGACGGAGTTTATCTATCTCAGTTTATTCGATACGCAAGAGCATGCTCTGTGTAAGAATAATATCTAAAACAAGGTAAATTATTGACAAAAAAGTTGATGAAACAAGAATATCAACAGTCTCGTTTAAAGTCATCATTTTATAAGTTCTATGGTTATACAATAACCTTGTCAGCAAATACGATTTCATTGACTGACGTTTTTCATATCATTGTTAGTCCATTATTGATACAGTAAATTGACGACAAATTTTTTGTTATTTCCCGATTATGACAAGGAGCACAGGGCGGGTGTGACTGGTCGGCAGTGGATACTCACTCCTCTATGGCACCTGCTCACACCTCTGATGTTTTGGAGGTCCGTGTTTGCTCTGCTCCTATTTTGTATTGTTTTACGGACTTTTGATCTTGAATACTGTTCGTTATCTCCATTTGTTTCATGTCTCAGTTTGGCATTATTTTTTATGTCTCTCTTATAAATAAAAAAAAATTATAAAAATTTATAACATGGGGGATTATTTCCCCGCTGTGAATGCTAAAAAATACTTCAATCTGTATACAGTCGTATCTTTTTGCCACTAAGTAAAAAAAGATGAGAAAAACACGAACCATCCTCGCAATGCCAGGGGACGTTGCTGTTGGACATGGCATTGCGAGGATGAACTCGACCCCCACCCTAAAACATTATATAATTATTTTCGTTATAATTTGCTATATTTATTCATTTATTTATCAATCAAGGGCCCTCAAGGGGCATAAAAAATTAAAAAAACAAAAAAAAAAAAAAAAACAAAAAAAAACAATTTGTATACCAAATCTCATAAAATTTATGTATATAGAGTAAACAGGTCTTTTTAACGCCAAATAGAAAATGAATAAAATTGCCATTATTTTGTGTGATTTACAGGTACTTATAACTTTTTTATATAACTTGCAATCGTGTTGTTCAGTATGCTGAAAAGGACAAATACTGGTAGTTCACACTCCTACACAAGGCATTCAATATAAATATATATATATATATATATATATATATATATATATATATATATATATATATATATATATATATATATATATATATATATATATAAACATTCACTGAAGTAAATAAAAAAGCTGAAAAAATCCCCGCTCTCACAGACCCTGTAAATTGCTGGTCCATGCGTACCTACAGGTTTTCCACAGGAAATAAATCAATATAAAAATTCATTCATATTCATTCGGGACCCTATTGCTCTAAGCAGGAGGATTAGTGGGGTTTTTTTTCTATTTTCTTTTAAAAGGGTTTGGTTTCTTTCCTTTTCTGAAGTTTTATTTAGTGACGTGTTCTATAAGAAAACACGAACCACCATTAAAATTGCCGAGAGGTCATGAGAACATCCTTTTAAGAAGCGTCTGTTTGAAATTTAATACGGTTTAATGTAAAGTGTTGTCTAGTCGAATTAATACAGGGAATATAATCCAAATAAAAAGTATTATTTTTTAACCACATAAACGTGAAATTTATATTGTCTGGTAGAATTAAAATAAAGAATTAATGTTGAAATTCATAATTTCATAACAAGAATTGTTCTAAACCATATTCTAAATATAAATTCTTATTTGATTTTAAAAAAGAGTATCCATGCCACCGGTGTAAGTTTGGTCTCGTCACACATTTACGACTGTGTTGACCTTTAATACCCTAATTCGTCTTTACCTTTTTCCGTCAAAGTCAGTCAAGGAAGTAATTAGCAGGTAATGGTCAAAAATACAACCTTAACCAACACGATACAAGAACGAAGCTTGTAATTCAAAGGGTTCGTTTATACGTACAGAAACACGTGTGTAGGTTGGTTGTTTGAACAAGAATCAAACCTTCTATTGATTATGCAACAGCTGACTAAAACAAAATATACAATTTATTCTCGATCAATTTAGGGCTGTAATTCGATTTCCGGTTACGGGTATTATAATTCATCGATAACTATTAAAAATATTTAATCATTAAGATAGTCAGGTGTTCATAGTCAATAAAATGGTATAGTGTATCGAAACTTAATTTACAGTGAATAAAAATATATAAATTGCAAATAAGTCAAAATTATAAATTCTTTTCTATGATTAAATAATTATATACATATATTTTAAAAAGTGCATATTCAACATTGAAAGATGGGCCATGAAGTATAAATACCTCTTCCTCTTTATAGGCGTGGCACTACAGTAAGACAATATTCATATTTAAAGTTTACGAGACAAAGACAAACAGCACGTACCTTTAACAAGGTAAATCAGTAGAACAAGGACGGAACATAGGTAAGACTCCATAACTCTCCTGGATGGTTATACTGACCAGTCAGACACCGGGTGTTAACTCTCAGGAACAGTCCAACTTCTGTTTTAATTATACATCCTGTATCCGTGCGAAATCTGAGAGAAAAACGATACATGAAACCAGGCCAAAATTAGCCGTTTGTTATGAAGAAAATATCGTCACAGCTATGCATGAATGAATTGTTTCCACAATTATATCATTAATGCAGTGATGGCATAAGACAAGGTAATTTAATGAGAACGTAAAGTCATTTTAAGATCGCAAAAAGGGAGAAAAGATGTTTTGAAAATGGGCTGCAATGTAAATGAACATCGTGCTGGGAACATACAGTTTACACATTATAGCGTGTCCTTGCCGTCGTGTCTACAAGGGTTAGGTTTCTTTTTACCTATATCGTTACAAATTTGTGAGTCAGCCAACACAACCATTTATATATCGCTTTTATTACCTATTAATTTAAAAACCGAAACAAAATTTCATTTACTCAAAGAAAAAGCATTTTAAAAAGTCAAAATTTTACAACCTGTTAAGCTCTTTTTGGTCCATAAGTGGATACAAGGCAAACACCGGTGCAGGTTTTATTCCAGTGGGCGGGGTGTGGGGAGGGGGAAACTGATAAAATGTAAAACTCGGAATTTTTTGTCAAGAAGAAGAAACCCTTAACACCTATTTCTATGTATATATATTATTTATCACACAACTAGATTACACTGAGATATATAATTATGTGTATCTGTTTGTGATTTTGGTGAAGTTTTGCCATGGTTGTAAAAACATCAGAAAGAATCTTTTATTGAAAAAAAAACTTTCAAAAAAACACATGTAATTTTGACATTATAAGTTTAAATTCTTTGACAAAAAATCAGCCTGCGTTACCAGAGGTTTTGTAAAGATATCAAATTGTGAAAATTTTTGCATTATTTAAAGAAAAATGAACAAAAATTACAAAACATGAATCCCTTACTTTTTTTTTTCATCAAAAATTGTTTTAGAAGAGGTGTACAAATCCATGTTTATCATTAAAAGTATTGAACACAGGTCCTTCATTTAGTGGAACTCTTCAACAAGGGAAGAACCAAATAAAGTTCAAACTACGTTGCGTATGACCTTAAACAATAGAAAAGAGGAGCAGAGCAAACACGGACCTCCAAAACATCAGATGTGGGATCAGGTGCCATGGAGGTGCCCCTGTCGACGGTCAAACCCGCTGTGTGCTCCTCGTCATGATCGGGAAACAACGGAAAATTCGTCGACAATTGAGTGTGTATACAAAAGACTAACAAGTATGAAAAACCTCAGTCAGCATTTGACTTAATGATAAATGGTATTTACTGTCAGACAAGGTTATTGTATCGACCATAGAATTTACGAAATGATGACTATAAACGAGACTGCTGATTTTCGTGTTTCAGCAACTTGTTTATCAACAACTAACTTTGTTTTAAAAATTGTTCATACGTAGAGCATGCTCTTCCCCATCGAATCAACTGTGAGATAAAAACCAAGTATGCAGATGATGAAGGTATATTGATGAATAAGTAAGGGAAGATGACGAATAAAAAGTAAAAATCATCACGTTTATCATCTCTTGGTTGTTATATTTCCATTAACGTCTTTTTCAAGTAAAATATCTTAATATGAAATACAATTGTAGATGCGTCTGTCGTATCTTTTATTTCAAACTAACCGGAATGCATCGTATAAGAATGGAAATTGTCATTGTTAATCGAAAATACGTCGTTGATATATCGAAATGTCCAGTTGAAGGCCACGGCAAGTGTTTTTTCTTGTTTTCAGATTTTAGACAAATTCTGCTTCATAATAATACAAAAGAAGGCCTGCTAACGGGGCCCAATTAGTACCCATGATAATTCACATACATTGTTAGAGGACTTGTCTCTACAGTCTCGACACAGACCTTTTTTAGTTTTCTGATTCTCCTAACCGTTTATGGGGGGGTCGTATTTCTTTTGGGGTAATCCAGGTCACTTTGGAAATTAGAAAGCCTACCCTTCCTTTCCCCTTTCGATAAGAATCCTTAAATTCCCCAAAATAATTCAAAATCTGTTGAGGAAAGGTAAACTGGTTAAAAAACATATACATTTTATTTTACTTCTGTGCAAGTTTTGTCTTTGAAAGGTTGTTTGGTGTACTGATTTCTGATATTTATGCAAGCATTTAATAGTATTTTTTAACAAATGACAAGAGATGTACATTGACACAAAACGATTAAAAGTCAGGATAGGTTTTTAAAAAAAAAAACTGTTAAATTGTTGCATATTAGTCATTACCCTATGATGGCCGGATAAAGGACATGACATATTAAATGGATGATTAACCCTCGTCTTTACATCTTTACACTTAAATATGCCTTCCTAAGATGTATGTATGTTATGTAACTGAAAATAAAGAAAACAATATTTCGGTACTTTTGACGTGTAACTTAATTAATTACAGACGCAAGGAACGCGGTTTGAAGTTGTACTCTTTTCTGTGTGTAGGATTCATTCATGTCATTTGGATGCTGGTGCCCCCTTTTTATGCCCCTGTAATCAAAGATTCAGGGATATATAGTTTTGCCCTGTCTTTCCGTCTGGCTGTCTGTTTTTCTGCAAAAACTTTAACCTTGGTCATAATTTTTTAGTGGGACTAGGCTATTGTTTTCATGTTTCACAGATGTATTCCTTGTGACAAGAACGTTCTTTGGGTACCTCCTTATTTCACCCCTTGACCTTGAAGTTTGACCTACTTTTACAAAAAAAAAAATTTCATTTTGGCCAATAATTTTGAACAGTTGGAAGCTAAGGCTTTTATACTTCACAAATGCATTGATTGTGACAAGACCTTTCAATTATTTGGTATAAATATCTTTTACCCTTTGACCTTGACCTTAGAGTTTGACCCACTTTATTAAAACCTTGACTATAACTTTTGAGCAGTTAGTACAAAAGTCCATATTCCAAAAGTGTATTCCTTACTCTTGAGACCAACTATTTTGACCTTTACACCTTGCCCTTGGAGTTTGACTTGCATATGAGAAATTTCAATCATCGCCATAAGCTACTACATAGGGGTATCAGTGTTTCACAAACACATATATATCGTTTATTGATGCTTCTGTAATGTTGAACACTCCCAAATTAATATATTTCTAGTAGCGCCAACCTTTTCATTAAAGTTTTCGTAGACAGCAGGACAGACAGGACAAAAAAAATGTTTTGCCTTTAGTCTTCGGGGGTATAACAGAAATTTTCAATGACCAATGTGCGCAAATAAGGCGCCTCTTTAACCCAAATATTTTACATACAATGGGGACAACGTGCGTTTTGGTTTTGTCGGACGCAAAAACAAAATTGTTTGGCAAACGGTTTGGTTCGAGGGGAAAAAACAAACTTTCCGCTCGAAATCAGTTAATGAATTGTTATGCCCTTTACTCGTTTTCTATTATATCAATATCTTATCTGTTGAAAAAAAACGTACATTTATGTAGATAAGCTATAAAGATATGCTATATATCCCGCCCACAGTGTGACGTAAAAAGCATTATAGTGGTCCATCTCCAATTCAGGGGTCAAACATTGATTCATCAATTTTATTTATTTATTTTTTTTTTTTTTGACCGATGAAATGATTTTTTTCAGTTTAATTTTATTTTTCGGGGTGTTTAATTTTCGTTGTTTTCGAGGTATGAAGAGACCCACGAATTGATGTCCACCACGAAATGTAAAATGTCATTTAAATGGCTACTCGATACATAGCCAACCACGAAATTAAATCCCCACAAATCAATATTTTTTTCCTAAAACCTTGAAAATTTGACCCCACGAAAATATATGATTTTACAGTATACATGTACATGTATTGGAAACAATTTAAATTCATCAGCTCTTTATATACGTATGGCAAACTTAATTTCAATGTTTCAAAAAGAGAATATCTTTTAGTTTATTTGAGCATTATTGTCTACGAAAAGTTAGTTTTAGACTATATTTTGGATTTTTAATGTTTAATCTTCGTAAATAAGCCTCACATCTTAATTCACCTGATCATTCTATTTTGTCAATGAAAGTTAGAATTCTCGAAAAGATTTATCACCACACAAACAGTCCATAGCTAAGCACACCTAACCGTATAGACAACGAGAAGAATTTTGGATTAGAAAACTATAGGGACAGCATTTCTCTATGGATGTAATGACAATGTCGATAGTATTGTAAATCTTTCCAGTCCACAGTGTAACAATATGAATGTGATGGGACTTTTTAACCATACACAGAAACGAAAGCGTAGTCATAGGCATAGGTCTTATAATAAACCTTTAACTGTTTATTACACGATGCCTCTCTTGATTCATTACAACATTATGTAAATCAACAAATAGGTCTGCATCATATTCGCACCAAACTTTACTCTGTTCTTTTGAAACTTTTAAATAGTCTTCTTGAAAAGGTCAAGGAAAGCCCATATTTTGATTTCTCGACACTAGAATATAGATTCGGATCTGTGATTATGGATATTGCAAATCATAGGCTTTTTAAATCCCCACCTTAAACTTCAATATGCTAATAAAGGAATTGACACAGTTAATATAAGAAATATTCTTAATCACAAAATGGTCCATTTTGTATTCCACCATATTTCCAGTTGAATACACCTTGAATTTCCTACAAATTTACATCAACTATTGCTTCCAAACTTTTTAATAACAAGAAAAATTTACATGCCCTGAATATTGAGTATTTGAAACATAATCCTCCATCGTGTTCATGTTCTTCTTCACCCTTTAACTATAGTTTGCTGGACACGTTATTAAGGGTGACGTAAATATAGTTAATAATGAGGACATTAGGTACTAAATATTGGGAACCCCGATCCTTCAACTGGCGTCGGAATTTCATAAAATAAATATGTTGAAGATTACGCCAGGCGATGGGTAAGGTTTGAAAAAGAAGACGTTGACACTTTGTCATTGTGGATTAGATGTATCATATCCATGTTCAAATCGCGTATTCAAAGATTGAGGGGCAATATGAAAAACATCTCTCTTTCTGTATTCAGTAATCTAGAGGTAAAAAATGAATTAGATAGATGCGTACTGCATGGTCCCTGCTGACAAAGCAAGTAACAACATTGTCTTCGTTTGTAAGGCTCATTATATAAATTGTATTTTTAATTTAATTCTACAAGTGGTAATCCAACTTATACTCATAGTTCCCTTTCTAAGGAAGATTTTTTTTTCAAAATCATATGTCAGTTTTGAATATTTGAATATCCAAAACGAACCAAAATGAATTTGAACCACCAAATATATTTGGACTCCGAATCTTCATAAGAATCCTTACAAACAAAGGTACATAGCGGGTTCCAGTAAATGTTCAACCAAGGCTCTTTCTTTAACCCTCATTAAGATATTAACAGTTTAAAGAGTACTGTGCAACAATATACTACTATTCAAGAGGTGATACAAATCAGATGGGGAAACTTAGTTGTCTCGGAGTTATATCTACAAGTGTTAATCAAACTCGTACACTCATAGATCCCTTTCTAAGGAAGAAATTCTTCAAAATCGTATTTCAGTTTTGAATATTTTAAATATCCCAATCAACTAAAATGAATTTGAATAACCATATCTATATTGGATTCCTAAACCTCATAAAAATCCTTACAAACAAAGATACAAATGTACATTGCGGGTTCCAGTAAATGTTCAACCAAGCCCCTTTCTTTACTCTTAACTAAGATGTACTAACAAATTATTTGAGAAGTAGTGTAATTAAAATATATGCATTAAACAATAGAAAATAGGAGCAGAGCAAACACGGATCTCCTAAACATCAAAGATGGGGCTAGATGCCATGGAGGCGTGAACATCCCCTGCCGACCGGTCACACCCGTGCTCCTTGTCATGATCGGGAAATAACGGAAAAAATCCGTCGTCAATTCAGTGTATAAATAATGGACTAACAATTAGTATGAAAAACTTCAGTCATCATTTGACTAAATGATAAATCGTATTTGCTGTAAATCAAATGTGGATACTTAAAACTTCCAAGGAACTTTTGGAAGATTTTACCAAAATTAACTGCTTAAAAACTTATGACTTTTCATCATTATACAAGTCCGGGCTCTTTGATATCATTGACAGCTGCTTTTTCAATAAAAATGGAACTCTTAAATTTACTTACCTTGTCATTGGTCATTTGCACAATTATTTTGTTAAAACATTCTGATTGTACACACAAGTACTCTGAAGATGACATTAAAAAGATGCTTGAGTTTCTGATTGACAAAATCTATGTTGTTTTTGGAGACCGGGTCTTCCAACAATCTATTGAACACCATGGGTACCAATTGCGCCCCGTTACTATCAAACCTACTTTTGTATTCTTATGAAGCAGAATTTGTGCAAAATCATATGCGTGAAAAGAAGAAAAACTTACTGTGGCATCAACTCGACATTTAGAAATATCGATGATGTATTGTCAATTAACACTTTAATTTCCATTCTTATGTCGATACGATATATCATGGTAAGCTAGCTTGATATAAAAGATATCACAGAGGCTGATACATTTGTTTCATATTTGGATATTTAACTTGAAAAAGACGTTAATGGAAATTTATCAACCAACAGATGATAATCGTGATGACTAACTTTTTTATCGTCAACTTCCCTTAATTACCGTAATACGTATTCATCAAAATACCTTCATCACCTGCATACGAAGTTTCTATATCTCAGTTGATTCGATAGGCAAGAGCATGCTCGACGTATAAACAATTTCTAAGACGAGGCAAATTATTGACAAACAAGTTGATGAAACAAGAATATCGGGAGTCTCGTTTAAAGACATCATTTCGTAAGTTCCATGGTCGATACAATGACCTTGTCAGCAAATACAATTTATCATTGAGTCAAATACTGACTGACGTTTTTCATACTAATTGTTAGTCCATTATTTATACACTGAATTGACGACGGATTTTACCGTTATTTTCCGAACATGACAAGGAGCACAGGCGGGTGTAACCGGTCGGCAGGGGGTGCTCACTCCTCCATGGCACCTGATCCCACCTCTGATATTTTGGAGGTCCGTGTTTGCTCTGTTCCTTTTTTGTTTTGTTTTATGGACTTTTGATCTTGAATATTGTTCGTTATCTCCACATGTTTCACAGAATATTTTTTTAAAAGTCGAGATCCTTCGGTGCATGAATCGAAAGAGGAGGATTTCGTATCTAAATCAATTGCATATTTTACAGTTTTATCTCAATGTAATAAATGTGCGTACACTGTATTGATATCACAGAAAGAAGGAAACTATGAGTCGACAACGTATAGATTTTGTTTTATTCAACATTTCAAATTAACGAATACTTTCATATGTAAACAAAATCCTAAACATATACAATGTATGAACAAAAGCAATATATAGATATCACACTTTGCTTATTAAAATCTTCAAATAATATCCGTGTATGGACCAACACAAGGAAAATATCCTCCTCTTGATTACTTTCATTTCCTTATGAACACAAATATTTGGGTTGAACTTGAACAAAATCTTAACAAAGTTTTAATTAATTTTTTTCTGCCTGTTACGTTTCTTGGGTCATCTTTTATCCGAGTTAACAATAGTGTTGTCATAATAATAATATTTATCCTAAATAACTTCCTGAAGTCAGTGATGAGGTTTTTGTATTATTAACAAAGCCTTATAAATTCAATAATACAATCAGTGTAAACTTCCTTTTTGTAAAATCGGAATTTTAATGTTTAAAACCTATTGTTACAAAAGAATTCCTAGTCATGTATATCTCGTTAAACCCAGGACATTGGTAAGCAAAACAGAAACAAAACAGCCTATAATGGACCAGTATCAGACAGTCGTCTGCCGGAAGTCCTTAACGAAGACGTTCGTGTTGATATCTGCCGTTTCCGGTTCTATTTTTGCTGTATTCACTTCCTCCTCCCCCGTGTCCCCCAGAGTCACGTGTATCTCTACTTCCCCCGCCTCTGATCCCTCTTCATCCTCCTCATGCTCTCCCTCTTTCTCCGGAGTCTTGGTCTCTTTTTCCTCAGCAATCTTTTCCGAGCTCTCACGCATGCTGTCGCGCATTTGTTGATACGGATTCTTTTTTGAGATAAGCAAGGAGAGCCTTGGAGGTTGGTGGGTGACTGCCTTTACGATTAATTTTCCGTCACTTTGAGATTTGTGTATGGCACTTGTTTTAAATGCAGGGTTCACAAAGGCTGAGTCCTTGTTCGCCATTGCGCTGCTTGTCCCAGGTTGTTCTAGAATACTGAAATTGGTACCGGCACAGGGACTGACGTATTTCTCCTGCAGACTCTTGGTGGAGGTTTGACGTACTAGTCCTGGGGTGGTATCACAGTCCGGTAGATTCTTCTCCTCGCTATAGAAACAAGAACAGTGCAGACACTGATAGCAGAAATTCAGTTTCAAACAACGTTCACAAACCGCATCGTAACATGGCAAACAGCAGATACAAGAGAAGGTCCTGGCACAGCAGTGCTCGCATCCACTGACAAATCTGTCCCGCTTAGAATCTCTCGTCTGTAGATCGTGCTGACCATAGCCAAAGCAGCGCTTATAGCACGACTCCAAGCAGTTGTCCCCTACAGCTTTCTCTTCCTCCATAGCCGTACTGAAATAAGATACAATATTATTAAAAAATCTAAGTGAAAAGGCATCTCTGGGCTGGAACAAGATATAAAACCCTATCAAAGCATCAGAAAGACACAATGATTGAAAACTGCTTACTTTTACGTACCAGAGGGCCAGTTTTCACCTTCCTCCATATTCATGTTAGCAATATTTACATCGCTGGATTGAATGTATGTAAATTCACGAGAATTTCCGCTGTATACTAATACAATTTCCTTTATATAAGTACCAGGACGTACCGTCATTCCGCTTTGAATTACATTTTCATACATAAATCACTTATATCTAAAACAACGAACTCTCCAGCCTGGACTTCTATTTTACAGATTATTAATCCCAAGACATTGTATTTGATTTTTGTTTTCTCCCTTGCCTCTTTTTTATTTTACTTTAAAGTTATGACTGAATACCTCACAAACATCGGGAATAAACATAATTTTCATAACTGATGTATCACAACCTTATAAGGCGGAAGAAGAAAGTGGAATCTTATCGCTGGTCCTTGAATTAAAGTGGCCTATAATAACACCGGCAATATTACATAGCCAGAGATCTGTTTTGTCTGTCTAAGTGTAATCAAGAGCTCTGGGGTGTGCGTGTGTGTGTGGGGGGGGGGGGGTGGTAAATGAAAACAAGATGTGTTTGTGAAACACTATGCGCCCGGCGGCAAATTCGAAAAAGCTGTTTTTAGCATATAGGTCAGGTCAAGGTCAAAAGGTCATTGACCTTGATGTTATTTGAAAGAACATTATTAGTGGAGTATGCATACCAAATATGAAGTCTCTATCTCTTATGGTTCAAAAGTTATGGCGAAGGTTAAAGTTGACAACATACAGACAAACAGATAAACAGACAAACAGACAGGACAAAAATAATATACGCCCTGGATCTACCGAACCGGGGCATAAAAAAAAATAAAATATTCAACAATAAAAAAAACTGCTAAAACCATGAGGTCCGTATTTTGGCTGGAATATTTCATACTAATTATAAGGCCTTTGTTTTTAATATTTTGATTTGACAATGGAATACCGGTATTTGGTCTACATGGTAATTATACAGAGTTCAATGTGACGGGTTGACAAGGCGTGCTTACTCCTCCTCGGCACCTGATCCATCCTTTGGCATTTCAAGGGTTTTATTTTTAGTTCAATGTCCTTGGAGGTTACTTTTCTCATGGAAATAGATTGCATCATGTACCTTATATGTTGTTACTGAATAACATAAACAAGTAATCCATGGGATTTATGGTTGTAGGTCATCAGTATCACGTAACAATTTTCTAACGACTGAACCGGGTTCAAATGTGAAAGGCCATTAACTTCAAAAGTTTGAAAGTGGTACCCTTGCTCATCATAACTATACACTTAGTCTACTGAATACCGGGTTCAAAAAAAATGTGATATATAATCCAAAGGCCATGAAATTCAAAAGTTTGAAAGTGAAATCCATCAGTACCCTTGCTTTTTAATGTTTTTTGAAATCAAAAGGTCAAAGGTCATATATTATGGTAATAAACCTTTTATGTTTCTGTTTTTTTATTATTGAAATTACACTTTCACATGTAAAACTTTCATTTTCACAATACAGATTTATACTTATAGAATGTAAAAGTTTTTTTTTTTTAAAAAGACAAAGAAAAAAGGAGGGGGGGTCAAACTTTTCTATTACAAATTTATCAAATCATTCAAATAAGTTATAGGATGTATATATACATGTATATTTAATTCTATTGCTTCATTGTTATATTCAACAGAGCTTACCCTAGCACCAGAACCCTTAACCCTGTGCATGGCTATGAATTTCACAAATTGTTAGAGGATTCAATGTTTATTACAATCATTCCAACAGTTTCACTGCTTCATATACTAGTATTAGTTTTCAAGATGCCTTTGGTATTGATGCTTTCATCCCAGGACTCTGAGGCTAAATTTTCAGCTTACATTCATTGATGGTATATGCCTTTGTTGAAATTGGTTATGTGGCTTTCGTAGAAATTTTCCAAAATGCTTAATTAATTCAAAATGGATATTAATTTCGGTCAGATGTAGTTCTGTGTGTCTGTAACATCTTCGTGTCCACGCGATATCTAAAGAAGCCTTTGAGATTGTACAGTAGAAATTTTAGCTTTTAACTTTTGAGCTTTTGCAATTAATACATGTTTTTTTTTTGCTTAAGCGGGTGACCTACTGAAAAATACCTGTTTAATTTCCTGTTTCTTTTTGACTGTAATTTGTAAGATGTTGTTATTAAATACTACTGACAAAAAATAAATCATCAACAATTTTATTTCTGTTACAAATACAAATACAACTGTTTTACAGTTGCACAGAGATTGGAAGTACATTTATCAAGTGAGCATTTTCCACATTATTAACTATGACATTAATTGTGTGCAATCATGTGTATAAATCTTCATTTCTTAAATACAAATTGAATACATATATCAACCATTCATGTATCAATGAGGTCTACATGACCTGAGGCTTTGGATAACGAGTGTGGGGAGTTTTATATACAGTATTAAAGAAGAAAAATAGCAAATGCTGATATTTTTAATGTCAAAAAAAATATATCAAGTTGTACACTGTAATATTATTGAATATAAGATGCCCAGTTGTGTTATCTCCCTTATGAAACAAAGAGGGTCAAAATTTAGTGATATGTTTACTATGTAAACAAGTTTGAAATGTTCTTATATTGGTTAAAAGCACCTATAAAAACATTATCTAAGGCAAAAAAAAATTAATTTAATTGGACTAAACAGATGGCAATAGCCATTCCTCCCTCAACTCTTTTTGACCAAGGGTGCCTTTTAAATACATTGAAAATAAATCATCCCTTTTTATTGCTAAACAGTTTCACACACATTGATAAAATAAAAACAACAAATCACCTCCTTCATTTCTTAAATACAGTTGAATACATTTTTTTGAGGTTTTGTACAATGTAAAAAGCTGCCTCATCATGTTTTGGGGGTTTTCAATAAAATAAAAAAAAATTTAGTGATATGTTTACAATCATATTTCTTGAAAAAATTGGCCTGAGAACCAAGTAATTAACTTTGCATGGCCTAAATAATTCAAACTTTAAAAGTTGGACAGCTCAAAAAAAAAATTCTAATTGCACAGTTGAAGAGATAGACAGATACATATGTGATTAATACTTTCTGCCTTCTGTCATAAAATGAGGATACGTCACAAATTAGAAAATGGTGATACAGATGGTGAGACTTGATGTACATTATAACAAATTGTCATTTCTTCTACAAGTATTTTTTGTTAAAAACATGAACTTAATACCTGTACATGAGGTTGTATAAAAATCAATAAAGCAAATATATAATTAATGCAAATATTTGGTTCATTTATAAGAGGTTAAAAAAATATAATAATTAAATTTAAAACACCATCTATCTTCAGCCTTCCAGATTCTTTCTAAATCTACCATTTGTAACTAAATATTAATAGTATCAAAATATGGTACTGCATGACTTTTTAACTTAGGGACTATAGCTTCTCTGTGTCTAGTACTGACAGACTTGAACTGTTTGTGGAAGACTTATTGCCATTTCACAATGCTTGTAACACAAAGGGATACAGTGATTATGGTATAATAATACATGTTAACATTTTAAGCACCAAAGTGAATATTTTTACAGATGATAATAAAATGCACAAAAAAGAAAAAATAAACAGAGAGAGAAAAAATTATAAAAAGTGAAGTTTTACAATTATTTGAGAATGTCTTGCTCTTTGTCTAGTATTCTTAATTCACTGTAAACCAACTATTATTCGCAAATATCTTTTATTTGCGATACTTCAGTTTGGAATCCATTTGCGACAACCAATGTTCACAACTGAGGTACATTCTCCATTAATGCAAAATTTGTTGAGTGAACAGTTTGATCCCGATGAGAAATAATTGCAAATGATAAAAGGTCATGAAACTCGCGGAAATTTCTCCCTTGCGAATTTAAGTTGGTTTACAATAATTAAATAAAATTACATTTGTTTTATGTGTCTGTTTAATGAAAATGAGGATACTGTATACTAATTAGTAGTTAAATCCATATGCATAGTGATTATTTCCATTTAAATGCCACATGTGACTGCCAGCTACATTTCTATGTCTATCAGGTGAGAATTATTAGCTGGCAATGTAGCTTAGCATTTACATTTCAATATTAGAAATCCGTTTTTTTTTTTTTTTTGTAACCACTTTCCGTAGTTTTCTTTTTAAAATCAGAGTAACATTCCTATTTAATAGGGAATGATTCGTAGTTGTGTCTATATCACAAGTGATGGTAGCACCAAATAAGAGAGGAAAAATGTTTTAAATTAGAATTAAATTAAAATTATTAAAATTTAGAATTAAATTTGAATCAGAATCTTAACAGAAATGTGACACATAACACCCACTAATGCTAAATTACCTCCTTACTAAAATTTCCATTTCTTCCCTTAAAATTTTCAACAACAGAAGCTACATCACAGTTCATCACATTTAAATTAAAAAGAAAAAATTATAATCACTTTCATTTTAACATCATAATCATTCATTCTCAACATGTGTAAAAGGTAAAAATCAGACACGCGTCCTTACATCCTTGGGAAACAAACAGTATTTAACATTATTTATAACTAAAACAAACTCAACAAATGACAATGATTAGACATTGGTATCAGCAGACTGGCTCTTGTATTTAGATTTAGGGGTGAAGTTTTTCTGACTGAGCTGCTCTAAGGCTTTCAGGACTTTATCAGGAAAGTGATCGTACACCATTTCTGGACAAACTAAAATCTCTGTGAAATCCTTGGGATCTTTCCACTCGGCAAAGTAAGAGGGATCTTCAAAACATTTCCTGAAAAAGAAGTCTTTGTTTGAGTTGGTTTGCATTTGAGTGTATTTTACTCTTACCCTGTTACCATGGACAAAACATTTTTCTATTTAAGATATAAACAATGTCATTCAGTGAACATGGCATTATGAATAGCAATTGCTCTGCTTGCATATTCCATGATGCCTGCTAATCATTATTAAAGCATCAATCATTATTAGATACTTTTGAAACAACAAAATTAAATCCCAATGAAACCATTTTTGATGACAAATCAATGATATTTCATCCCAACTCTATAGTAGCAATGGTTGAGCCAGAATTTACTAGATGTGTGTTGATTATTTTCTCTTTTTAATCTCCCCCATTATAACCCACTGTTTACCTGTCTATGTCCATTTCCTGTATATGTAGGACCTGCCCCAGGGGAGGGGGGGATACATGGGGGTGTGTTATTTACCTGTATCTATATATTAGTGTCACATTGATTACCTGTCTGTATCCACTTCCTGTATATGTAGGAACCACCCCGGGGGGTACATGGGGGTGTGTTATTTACCTGTATCTACATATTAGTATCACATTGATTACCTGTCTGTATCCACTTCCTGTATATGTAGGAACCACCCCGGGGGGTACATGGGGGTGTGTTATTTACCTGTATCTACATATTAGTATCACATTGATTACCTGTCTGTATCCACTTCCTGTATATGTAGGAACCACCCCGGGGGTACATAGGGGTGTGTTATTTACCTGTATCTACATATTAGTATCACATTGATTACCTGTCTGTATCCACTTCCTGTATATGTAGGAACCACCCCGGGGGGTACATAGGGGTGTGTTATTCACCTGTATCTACATATTAGTATCACATTGATTACCTGTCTGTATCCACTTCCTGTATATGTAGGAACTACCCCGGGGGGTACATGGGGGTGTGTTATTTACCTGTATCTATATATTAGTGTCACATTGATTACCTGTCTGTGTCCACTTCCTGTATGTGAAGGACCTGCCCCGGGGGGAACATAGGGGTGTGGGTTACCTTGTACTCTTCACGGGCCTGTATGGTGTTTTGGATTGCTTGCTGTGAAAAAATCAATTTCAAATAAAGTTCTTTTATAGTACATTTATATTCAATATTTTATAGCTAGAGTATTCAGAATTCATTATACCTCTATAGATTTCTTTGAGGAGTTTGTCCTCTCCTCCACCACTAGATTTGTTGTGTCTCCCAGGTCTGCGATCTGACTGTCATCCTTACAGCTACAGCACAGCTCCCAAACTCCGGCCACTAAAATCCTGTACTGTAATAAAAACACCAACAATACAACACAGCTCCCATATCCCGGCCACTAAAATTGTGTACTGTAACAAAAACACCAACAATACAACACAGCTCCCATACCCCGGCCACGAAAATCCTGTACTGTAACAAAAACACCAACAATACAACACAGCTCCCTTACCCCGGCCACTAAAATCCTGTACTGTAACAAAAACACCAACAATACAACACAGCTCCCTTACCCCCGCCACTAAAATCCTGTACTGTAACAAAAACACCAACAATACAACACAGCTCCCTTACCCCGGCCACTAAAATCCTGTACTATTACAAAAACACCCAAGGTCAATAACAGTTAAGTTATCCTTACAGCACAGCTCCCATACCCCCGCTACTAAAATCCTGTACTATTACAAAAACACCCAAGGTCAATAACAGTTAAGTTATCCTTACAGCACAGCTCCCATACCCCGCCACTACATCCTGTACTGTAATAAAAACACCCAAGGTCAATAACATTTATCCTTACAGCACAGCTCCCATACCCCGGCTACTAAAATACTGTACTATTACAAAAACAACCAAGGTCAATAACAATTACTGTAGAAGTACTTTTTTCCACAGGGTCATAATTCCGCGGAATCTCAATTTCTGTTTAATCCACTGGTACAAAATTTCGTGGAGTTCCTAGATTGTCACTATATGACTCACATTTATATTAAGTACGCTTGGACAAATTTCCACGGAAAATTTGTGACCGCGTACATAGCGTAAATTAATACCACACGGAAAAAAAGTACTTCTACAGTAAGTTATCACTATCGATGACACAAAGTTATTCTTAAAACACAGCTCCCATACCCAAGCCACTGAAATCTTTTTCTGTAACAAAAACTACCAAGTCAATTTTACATTTAAGTATTTAGTTCATTAAAAATCAGAGAAGTACAGAGAAGATAACAAAAATTGCATTAGTTTTTGTTTCTCCATTTTAATTACCTTTGGTATTTTGGTATTAGCTATACATTGTAATGTCTTTGCTTTTAAATCCTCCATGGATACAAGACCTAGTCTGGGAATAAAGTCCTTACCCAGAATCACAGAACAGATAAAGTCTCGACAGAAAACACTAGCATTGTAACTGAAACAAACATCAGGACATGGTAAATATGAGAAAAAAAGTATTATCCTTTGCTTCTAAATGAAATTACAGTAAAGTGATTTATTTGACCTAAAAGGTCCAGTCCATTTCTTAGTACATGTATAAGCATGTAAACAAACAGTATTCAAGAAGAAGATTGTATCAACTGTATTTTCTCTACTCTATATAAAGATAATTTTCAAGGCATGTTCCTCTAATCCTATATTGGTAAAATGTGAACCAAAGCTGTGGTCCTACCATAGCCACAGGGGCCTGTAACATACTATATTTGATTTTACATAATCACTATATGTATAGATTGTGATTTCTAATCCTATTTTAGAGAGAGGACTTTGAAGCCTACCTCAAAAGGCCTCCCGGGGGAGAATAAGCAAAGCACCGCACATCTGGGTAATCTGATTTCAATAACAGAGCTAATAATGAGGCTACACCAGCTCCTAAACTGTGACCACATATCATAAGACCAGCCCCCTGTAATATAGATACATTATAATCAACCATCAGTAAACTGTGGCCAGATATCATCAGACCAGGTCCCTGTAATGTAGATACATTATAATCCACCATCGGTAAACCCTTAGGTTACAACAACTCCTAAACTGTGACCACATATCATCACACCAGCTCCTTGTACATGTAGATATACAGTATATAATAATTATCTTCACTAACACTTACACTGAACATTGTCAATGTAAGCTTACACCTTGGTTAGAAATACATGTATTTCCACAGAATATTAAGAGTTTATTCTAGATAACATTTGCATAATAAAATAGTGATGTGAAAGTTTAGTAGGGATGTGCAATTCTATCGGTATAACAGTATATCACGATTTTTTTTTTTGCGTGATACGTATTGTGATACGAAGACCTAAATACCGGTCTTTAGGTACATATTATAAAGTCCAGAAATTATTCATTTATTTGTTCAGTCTTTCAAATCACAATTACAGAAAGTATAAAAAATGTTGTAAAAAGTGAAAAGAACAGCATCTTACCATCCAAACGTAATTGATTTTATATATATAAAAAATTCAAGAAAGTGAAAATTTGTTTTTCTAGCATATTTTTTTAGAAAAATACTTGGGGGTAATGACTTTTCATATAAAATCATTGTAAAAAATGCTTTTAAAAATATCATATTATTGTGATATTGTGGGAAATTTTTGGCGATACCCATCCCTAAAGTTTAGCATCATATGTTAAGTTGAGTTACATGACTGTATAAATAAATATGAAATGCTGTGTCTAGACATTAGAATGCCTTTAGTCTGCACTTGTTGATATACAGTACATTCTAACCTGAACTTGTTGGAATGCAGCGTTTAGAATGCCTTTAGTCTGCACTTGTTGATATACAGTACAGTCTAACCTGAACTTCTTTGAATGCGGCATCTAGAATGCCTTTAGTCTGCAGCTGTTGATATACAGTACATTCTAACCTGAACTTGTTGGAATGCAGCGTTTAGAATGCCTTTAGTCTGCACTTGTTGATATACAGTACATTCTAACCTGTACTTGTTGGAATGCAGCGTTTAGAATGCCTTTAGTCTGCACTTGTTGATATACAGTGCATTCTAACCTGAACTTGTTGGAATGCGGCGTCTAGTATGCCTTTAGTCTGCAGCTGTTCCTGGATATATTTAGCTGCCTGGAGCATGCCTCGATGTGCCTTGGCATCCTCTAACATCTCTAGCGGGTCAGATTCTGCAGACATGTCCGTCACTGCATCCTGTGTCAAAAAACATGTATAATCGTAAACAAACAAAAAAATAACAGTAATGGAAACTGGAAATGAGCGGTTTGTGGCACTGACGTCTGCGTATGAGCCTCTACGACCAATGCTAGTTATAGGAATCTTTTCTGAGCTAAAAACTTATGATTCAAATGAATTATTTCATTCAATATTAAAAATATATACATTAGTGTTACAGTTTCATGAATTAACAAACAAATGTCTCACAAATGATCTTAGTATAATAGAAGTACATTCTGCTTTGAGGAGTTTACCTTCAGTGACAGCGTGCCTCTAACAGAGACCACCACGGTCTGCTGAGCTCTGTCTATGGCTACATAGAACGGGATCTGAAAAATCTACAAACCAACAGGAAGTCATAGCATGGAATGTATCAGAAGTATGGTGAAGCAATGTGTCCTATTCTTAAGATGTTACAAAAGGTATCAACAGTTCTTAGTATAGTCACCATACATTTTAAAGAGACAGGACAAAACTTTATGTACAAGCTACATTAAAATTCAGTAGATTTTAATATACAAGATGGTGAAGATGTACAGTGACCAGTGTTCATAGTTTCCTAGGATTTTGAGTTAATCTAAGCCAGATCACTTGCCTTATTATGGAAGGTGACGTAGGGAAGATCTTGGTCCGCTATACTGGTCTGTCGTCTTATGGCCGCCGTGTGACATTGACAACAGTTGTCGTCTATGACTTCACCTCCATGGTAACATGTCTGGCATCTAACAGAAAAATAACATTGGATATTACAAATTAGACTGTTACAGTACCCATTTAGATAATGACAGGATAATCATGTGACTGGGAATAAATAAGAATTATGAAGTACGAACGACAAATACTCTGAAAAAATTCCTTTAATGATATACTCATAATAAACAGAATATAGTTGTAAGCTACATGTATTTTATTAAATCAGCACATGTTTGTTAAAGAGTATCATAATTCAGAAATATCAATTTTTGTATACACTGTATTTATTCATTTCTCCTTACCTACACATAGTCAAGCAAGCCCAGTTATGGGTCATCATGTCAGAATATACATTGTGTATAACATCATACTATACTCCCTTACCTACAGGCCCCACAAAGTCTACAGAGCCCCGTTGCTAGGTGAGTAAACATATACATTGGCCATCCATAGCTGCCTGCTGCATACTTCATATAGTGATGCATGTTTGTGGAGGTCATCCAGGGGGCAGGGCTTATGGGGGCATCACTGCTGCTGCCAACAGGTGCTTTTACACTACAGAACATTACACATATCTTAAAATAAATTATGCTAAATAGTAAAAATGCCTTACTCAAGTGTAATTATATATTAAAGGTGCATCTGCAATCAGTGCATTTTCAGTCGTGAACTATTTTGCCTCATGCTATATTTTAGAACATTGTAACCAGAAAAAACAGTCTTTATATTCTGCTGATCCCTGTTTGCTACATGAAATTATATCATTTTTTTATGTTTTGACATAACAGTCAACACCTTTGCATCCTCACTAGGTCAGGGGTCCTGAGTCAACAAACTGCTGATGAACCCCTTTAAATTTCATTCAATTTTCTATAGGTGATGATGTCTTTTAGGGGGAAATACAAATCTTGATGTAAACTAGTAAACATGATAGAAATAAAAGTAATCTGGCAAGAGTTGCTGAACTGTTTGATTCTGACCTTGTCTGAAGTTCTGTGAAGGTGTTGTAGGACCTGCCCCCACTGTTGTAGAGTTTCTCCTGATCCCTCTGAACCAAGATCAGACCAGCCGCAATGTCAGTAGGCACCAAATCCAGGTCCTAAAAATAACACATATACTCACAGTACTTCTCAACTTTAAACATAATATAATATATAAATAAGTATAATATTTTGAAATTCATACACTGTTTGAAGAAGAAAACAATTATATAAACTTTAAATACTCTGACTCACAATCAATGTTCAGTCAAACTTACCCATGTTTTGAGAATATGAGAAAAATTTGAAATAAACTCAAAGTTAACAAAAGGTATCAAACCTCGAAGAAATCTGCTAGAAGTTGACTGATTTCATCAAAAGCATCCTTGCTCTGTTCATCACCCAGTACACAACAGCATAAGAGTCTGCATCTGGAAAAGAGGATTGTTAAATTATCAGTCTATCCCAAAAGCACCGGTCTGTCGGACAAAACAGGTGAAAATCTTAATAGTCCGATGTACTAAATAGTAAAATCGGTCTGTTTGTCCAAGGTTTGTTTTGGTTGGGTTTTAAATTTTATATTTTCCATTTCATCATATAGATGCTTTAACTAATACCAAAACACATACCCTGGTAATTAAAAATGTTTTGTCGATCGTAATTGTTTTATTAACCTACTTCCGCAATGATGTTTCAAAAATATTTCGATAAAACAGTACCAGGGAAAAAAAAGAAAAATTTCAGTTATATTTTAATATGTTATTTGTTTATTGATTCCTATAATATAAATAAACATTGTTATGATTAATATATGATAAAAGCTTTGGTCAACTGGACTGGCGAAAACTCGTTTGGTCCTGTGAAATTGTTTTAACTGTCTGTCCGAATGTCCTTTAATGATTTTTCTTTTTCGCGAAGAGTGAAATATGACTCTATACCAGATTTAAGGTTAAAGAAGGGCATTCATATGGAAAATGTAGGTCAGATCCAGCATCCAAAGTGAGTCTAGAAGAGTTCATCCCTAGATACATCATCAATGCAAGTTTGGTTGAGGTAGGGCTTATATACTGAAAGGAAAAAGAAACGCATATTTTACTTTTAAATTAAATTAAAACTATTATTTCGAAAATGTTTTCCAGTATTGTTATCAAACATTTTAATTCATCTTTAATCTACAAGTTACCAAAATCTTGTGTGACTTTGACTGATTATTCCTGAGTTATTGAAATTGATACGTCGATACCCCCAAAATTAAGATAAAAATTCTCATCATCTCCCTTGCACATTGGTAACAGCCTTGATTCTCCTGTGCATTGAGTTCACCAGAGCATTTATCTTTCTCATTTGATTATTATTCAATGCTTCCGACAATAGTCTTAATGGTTGATAGAAGCTGTATTATTCCAAAGCCAACAAATCCCCCCGCCAAATGAGTGCCACGAATTTTCATTTAATAAGAATTTACAGAATCCAGCTGGTTTGGTACACGTGAATGTTTGTGAAAAGTCTCGACAAACACTTTACATTTTCCGAGTGTAAACATGCTAAAAACATTACGCACACGACGCGTACGTGCGCGCGTGAGAGTAAAATCGACGTAAAAGTTGCCAAGCTCGCGGACCAAATTAGAGCAGAGAATTTCTGTCAATTTTAGGGTGAAAATATTGGTATGTTAGTTTGCTGTATAAATATCGGGTTCAGTGATAACACCTTGACAACAACCGAGGTGACATGATGAAAAGCCCTGTCTTGATGTGACGTTGTTACGCGTCAACGTCACCGCCATCGTTGGTTGGAAACGTTTTAATTTACTCTCTGACAACTGAAAAAACTTTTTTTGTTGAAAAGTTTAAAACAAACTGCACAGCAACATCTTGTTGCCTTTTCATTCACTTACGCAATTCAATTACTGGAACCAGTGTAACTTCCGTCAGCCATACCATGATTGCACGAAATTTATACTGATTTCAAATGCGGAAAACGATGTCTATAACTCCAATGCATCGATTAGCACCACAAAATGTGATCATAAAATTGTCATCATCAACATGCACGTGTTTTTGACTTTTTAACATTTACCCTACGTGACGCCATACATTTCATGGTTGAGTAATTTTGACCAGCAATTTTAGTGCACAGTATTCAAAATACACATTTGACAAATTTTCATAATTTTCGGCCATATCGTTAAATATATTTCGATATTATGCTATTATGCGTTTCTTTTTCCTTTCAGTATAGTAACTTGGGAATGGAATTGCTCCTAAAAATTTAACATGGTCACTATATGGAAAATGTAGGTCAGATCCAGCATCTGAAGCAAGTCTGGTAGTGCCCATCCCTAGATGCATCATCCATGCAAGTTTGGTTCAGGTAGGGCTTATAGTTACTTGGGAATGAACCTGCTTCAAAATGTTTAACTTGGTAACTCATCTGGAAAATGGAGGTCAGATCCAGCAATGAGCATCCATAGAAGTATTTTTCATGCAAATTTGAGCCAGGTAGGGATTATATAGTTACCTGAGACACCTGCTCCAAAAACTTATTAAGAAGCCAAGTAAGGAGGTCCAAGCAACTTCCTTATAATAAGGTTTTACTGTAAATCCTTTCCTTAATTTGTAACAATTACAGTTTAAATGTTGTGGGAAGATGATGACAGATTAATACTAGCAGTATAAATTAAAGTTAACTCATTCTTTTCATGATTGAAATTATTTTCATGAAACCAGGAAATGTGAGTAACAAAGCTACAGTGTTAAAACTTGAATTACTATTTCCTGATCCTTCCTAGTCCTTTGTAAATGCATTACACAAAATGTGAGTGATCTATCAAATCTGAAAACAAACCTTACCTCTTTTCCCATGCCTTTTTTGCAGCACTCATAGCACCCTCTATAAACTGTGTTGATTCTTTGCTTTGTAATTCACCAGAAACTCTAGGTTTTATCTTATTTAGTTTTCCTAGTGGATCAAACACTACGATTATTCCTATGATGACTAACACTCCCATGATCCACCCCGTGAGTACCGCCCCCTGGACGGTCTTCACAACGAACTCCTGGCAGTTACTGGACCGTAAAAAGGACCAGTATGTTCCCAGAATGTTCCAGACAATCTCTGGGACTGCTACAGCTAGTTTTAAATACAGTAATTTGGCAAGATTTTTCCTTGGTCCAGCAATCATGATAATTCCTCTTGTACTGACATAAACTATACTGGCACATATTATAATCGCTACACTTAGCAGAACCATGAAACCAATGTAGTAGGTCTTCAACAGATTTCCGTCTCTGCATTGGTATATGGAATCACTGTGCACACTGTATACAATCGCGATCACCGTTAACCTGCAAAAAAAAATTAAGAATATACTTCTAAGATCAAGAAATACAAGGCGTAGTGTGTTTCACACAGAAAATTGTTATACTAAGTATGGCCAGACCAGATCAGCTGGTAGAGCACCGGCCTTAAGGGACCAGATTAAAATTATGGTCCGTCACATCCTCTCCCTCATTACATTTGGCGCCTTGTCCTGGAACAACGGCTAGGTACAGGACCTGCTATAGCAGTGTAACAGGAAAGGAAGAAATGCTACGCACCAGACTGGGATTGGAACCGTCCAGTCTAGACTCCACCAACTGAGCTATGTGGTCACCAGTAATTGAACCTGCCTGACCAACACATTTATCCCTCCTTAAGGTCATTGGCCCCTGAAGACACAAACCTATGCTATAATTAACCTACCAACTTGTAGTCCTTTTATTTAATTGTCACATCTTGCATGGTCACTTGACTTGCATAGCTCCATATGTAACCGGGTGGGAGCTAGAAGAATAGTTTGGGAAGGTGAGGGGTGGTGGGCAGGGGGAGGGGGATTGAAAGAGTTTGTGTAATTGTGTCGGTCAGGCATTTTCTTTACTATGGCTAGAAAGCTTTGTTTAGTTCTTTGCCTCCTGATTCAAATACTGGTCTTAACTTTGTTTTTTAATCTTCTGTTATACAATATGAGACAGTACTACTGTGAATTAAGGTGGGTATAAATCTGAGAGACTGCCACTTATTTATATATTCTGTCTATTACTTTATTATGTTTATATGTAAACATATAACATATATATATATGTTATATGTTTATGCCCAATGGGCCCTGATTGGTAATAAGTTCTATTCTATTCTATTCTATATAACTTACATACATCATGTGCACATGTATATTAATCAAATATTGGTGCATAAGCCACTTAACTGCTTAATTCATTCATATTAGAAAAATAACGGGTCAAAGTGAGATGACAGCTTCCTAGTTCCTGGTTAGTTTAAGACAAATATACCAATATCTTAAAGATTTATTTTTACTCGTGAACTGCATATACATATTATGCCATAGAAGTAAATTATTTCCTACGATCTATAATGTTAAATATGATAGTAGTCTAAAATGATATGACGCATTGGTGTGTGACCATCAAATATAAAAATACTTTACCAAATTACACGCAAACATAATTCGAGGAGTTCTGGAAAGACGAAATCATCAGACCCTATTCCCCATCTTCTGTTGAAAGCAATCAGCCCTGGCATCTTTCAGTTCTATAAAATAAACATCGTCGTTCGTTTGACACTACCATTTGACAACAATGCGTTTACCTCCCTTGCCACCGGAAGCACGTGCTTAAAAGATCCGAAGTTGCTTGCCGCAAATGATTGCCGATCCCGCATCATGTAACAAGTGTAAGTCACTTAATATGACAGTTATGAGAAACTCATCAGGATGATTTTGGGGGGGAAATACTTTGATAACATACCATTTTGATGCCATGTAGCTTGGAGATTTACCTGAAGAAAATAGGATGCACAGAAAGCATGCACAGTCCACAGTGCAGACTGAGGACTGAGCATTGCTGAATGGCTGCGATCTCGAACTGTAGATCTCCAAGAAAAAAAATCTGACCGAAAAGCTACAGTGCCACGCAGTGAAAAAATGCATAGAGGCATTGCACACAATTTGCAAAGCTTAATTTAATCTAAATCTAATGTCAGATAGGAATCTAGCTAATGTCATGTTTTTAAAGACTTTGTAAATATATGGTTGTGTTTGGTTATAAAATTAAAAATATTCACTAAATGTAATAAAGTAATAATACAGTTTGTATAGTTTTACTGTGAGTGAGTTAAATCATCTGTCATCAGGTTCACAGATGTGAGTCATGCAGTCAATGTTTCGGGTCTCAATAGCTCAGTTAGAGCGCTAGCACAGTAAGCCAGAGGCCCTGGGTCCGAGTCTCGGTTAAGATTAGATTTTTCACCTCCTGTAACATATAGTTGAATGGGATAAAATCTGTACCATATAACTATGATAACAACATTGCATATTCTCCTATAGATGATGATATACTCCTTGGCTGACATATTTTATATGAGGTAACCACTAATCAGATGGGCAGGGTTACGGCAGAACAGTGGACAAAACTGAGGAACCTCCTACAGCTCCGGGGATTTGTATCTCAGAAGACAGCGCAGCAGGGCGGGAGCAGCTATAAGTTTGGACCAGCTGGGACATTACTGAAGAGGAATATTAGACAGACATGGTATGCTAATTATCAGTGATGGCAATTCAGAGGAGTAATAATCTAGCCTTACTTCTATGCTTTACCTTACTTTAATGTCGGTCAAAAGCTCTACAGAGCTTATGTTTCTGTTATAAAAATCCGACTCAAAATAAAATTTTCTGATTCTGATTCTGATTCTGACTTCCTTTTGCAATAGTTTGGTTAAAATTTCTTTCAAATCATGACCCCTAGGGGTAGGATGGGACCCATTTTAAACTTCAGGTTTGATCTATAATGAAATATAGAAAACTATGTTCACAAATTTTCTTTTCAAGTAAAGCAGGACCATAATTACAGTGATAATATGCTAGCTTCCACAGTTAGTGCAAATTTCAGTTTGTCCAAATCATGGCCACAGCAGAAAGGATGGTGCTGCAAAAGGGTACCAAGTTTTACCTAGAAATATATAATGCAATTTTTAGCTCACCTGAGCCGAAGGCTCAAGTGAGCTTTTCTGATCACATTTTGTCCGTCGTCCGTCTGTCCGTCCGTCTGTCTGTCTGTCCGTCTGTAAACTTTTCACATTTTCGACTTCTTCTCAAGAACCACTGGGCCAATTTTGACCAAACTTGATACAAAGCATCCTTGGGTGAAAATTAAAATTGTTAAAATGAAGGGACATATCCCCTCGCAAGGGGAGATAATCAAGAAAAGGCAAAAATAGGGTTGGGTCATTAAAAAATCTTCTTCTCAAGAACCACTGGGCCAGTAAAGCTGAATCTTATGTGGAAGCATCTTGGGGTAGTGTAGATTCTAAATTGTTCAAATCATGACCCCCCGGGGAACAATGGGGAATAAAGTTTTATATAGAAATATATAGGAAAAATCTTTGAAAATCTTCTTCTCAAGAACCACTGGGCCAGAAAAGCTGAAACTTACGTGGAAGCATCCTGGTATAGTGTAGATTCTAAATTGTTCACATCATGACCCCCGGGGGAAGGGGGAGGCCACAATGGGGAATCAAAATTTTACATAGAAATATATAGGAAAAATCTTTGAAAATCTTCTTCTCAAGAACCACTGGGCCAGAAAAGCTGAAACTTATGTGGAAGCATCCTGGTATAATGTAGATTCTAAATTGTTCAAAAAATGACCCCCCGGGGAAGGGCGGGGCCACAATGGGGAATCAAAGTTTTAGATAGAAATATATAGGAAAAATCTTTGAAAATCTTCTTCTCAAGAACCACTGGGCCAGAAAAGCTGAAACTTATGTGGAAGCATGGGTAGTGTAAATTCTAAATTGTAGGAATCATGACCCCCGGGGGAAGGGCGGGGCCATTATAGGGAATCAAAGTTTTACATAGAAATATATAGGAAAAATCTTCTTCTCAGGAACCACTGGGCCAAAAAAACTGAAACATATGTGCCCATGGAAGGATCATGGGGTAGTGTAGATTTCAAATTGTCTAAATTATGATCAGTGGGGTAGGGTGGGGATGCATTAAGTATAACAAGGGGGAAATCTGGTAAAGAACAGAATGGTCAACGCTTCTCAGGTGAGCGATGTGGCCCATGGGCCTCTTGTTTTTATCACTGGGACCACACAAGAAAAATATTTTTTTTTAAAAAGAATCTTCATGTAAACATTGTAAAGAACAACATGGTCTTGGTTATAGTCTTATTGATATACATGTACAAGCATCCTCAGATTATGTGGATCCAAGCTTGTCCCCTGGCTCTAGGTAAGGACAAATATTTTGAAGAACAGCAGGGTCAAGGTGAGCATTAAGGCCTGTGGGCCTCTTTTCTATAATATATTGAGAGTAAGTACATATTTCTATCAAAGTATGCTTTACAGGGTCTTGATAATATTTTTAAAAATCTGTGCCATTTTGTTTTATGTAGGTGGGACTGGGTGGTGGTGAAGCAGGATTGGAGGGTTTTCCCAGTAGAGGGAGGAATCCTCAAAACAGACAGGTAAGGTCAAGGAAAAAGCATCTGAAAGTTCATAGGTTGTCATGACACAGAACACCCAACATGGCAAATAAAGAGCACCTAAAAAGTTTTAATTAACTTAACAGCTGATTGAAAAAAAAGACTAGGTAATACTGACAAAGAGCTCATTTAACAGAGCATCCAAAAGATTATTTATAAGTTAACAGCTGGTTCACAAAGAAGTCTAAAGAGCATTCCAAATATTATGTTGACCTGTGATTTGTTTGCCAATTGTAAATGGATATTTAAGAGCACTACATTCTCCATAGTTTTTCACCAGTACCATTTCTTTTATTTCAGGTCAAATAATTCTCTGAGAGAAAGTTTCCAAGAAGGTAAGCCTGTTTTAGTAAATCCAAAGATCTATTTTGTAAAAGATAGAAAGGTCATCTCAGGCTATTGATGTGAAATGTAATATTTTGACAGAGTGTTTGGATCATGTTGGGGACATACACAGAATGTTCAACAGTGGTCTCCCTTTCTCTCTGGCTCACACTGGAGTCTGCTTCAAACACTCGGTTAAAGAACCTCACCATTTCCTCTTTGAGTGAGTATTGGTAATTACATTGTATATAGTATTTTTACCACATTTTTACTTGTTGATAATAGTTATATCACTGATCATTTGTTCATGTGAGAGTATTATTTCTATGCCCCCATATTGCTTTGCTGCTGTATGTCGTTCAGTCGAACAACAGTTTCAGTTCAATTTCTTTGCAGAGGTTGCACATACTGAAATGAAATTTGGAATACAAATTTATCATAAAAATTTCTTGGTCAAGTTCTGTTTTGGGTATGATCAAACAATTTTTGACAGAGTTGTGCCCCTTGGACTGAGAAAAATTTCAATTATCTGCAGTTTCCATCTTTTTTTTTTTTTTTTGCAGATTGTTAGAGTACAGTTTAATCATTTCATCTAAAAATTAGACTCCATGATACCATTTAGTGTTTGTCTTTACAGCTCTAGAGAACTGACCAGTCTTGTGACCTTCAGTTTCTGTAGACCACAATCCTCAGTCAAACAGTTTGACCAGCTGGTGACCTCTCGTCTCATGTGGTGGCGTAAGGTGAATCAAGAATAGATACATGTAGCATCTTATTCCAATTAATCTTTATTCATTCTGTAAACTTTTGAAATTTTTTTTGTTGATAGATGATTTCGTGTAAATCAACTAAAACTTCAGGAAATACTGGGTACATTAACTGTCATGCTATCATCTCATGTACTCAGTGTCCTTTGTCTGTCAGTTTGCAGGGAGTCCCTCCAGTTTTACAGAGAACGTGTCAAAGGATGAGGAGAATGTTATACACATAGAGTACGAGTTTCCGTGGGGACCGGATTCCGTGGAGGTCATTAGGAATCACGGGAGCAGTTTTCTGGAATCCTCGTCAGATCCAGATCTCAAGGAACTGATGTCATCCAGCCAAACTCTTAAAGTAATTATTCAAATAGACATTCTTATGTGCTCCTTTTATTAAATAGTTTATGTCTTCTCTTACTATTATTACTGTATAGTCTGTATCTGTTTTGCTTTACAAGTATACTCTGCACATGTGTACTCTGTACAAGTTTACCCTACACATGCCTACTCTGTGTTTGTATTCAGTATTTTGTATTATTTTCCAGCCCTCTAATGGACAGGAGCAGTGCATGCCTTCAGTGATTGAGAGCAATATGTTCCTAGAGGGCGGCATGCTGGCTTACATACTGGATGCCTACACAGAGAAAAGGGCCTTCTCACTGGACTCTGAAAGCCAAGGCAAGGGAGCAAGAACAGTAAGATAGCAGTAATGTTTTAGGGGTCAGGGGGTCAAAAGATTTGGCTTCTAGGTGCTAAGGTAGATTTTTGGTCTGTTTGGATGGTTTTGGATGCTTGTACATTGTATATATGCACCTTTGGTAAAAAAAATTTCATCTTTTTAAGTTAATCTGAGCAAAAGGGGGGAAATAAAAAGGCATTACATGTAAAATTTACCTGTATACACTGTGTCTACTGATGAAAACACAAATGGATTGATGTTAATTTAACTATTACTAAACATCTTATCCTAGGTTCTGCAGCTTCATCCTGCCTTTGCCCCGTACAATGTGTCTATTGCTGTGACTGAGAACGGTGACCCAGTTCTTAAACAGGTCATCCGACACATCACCAAGGAAATCCACGATGCCAACATCCTCTCTCTGGATGTCAGTTCCAGTACAGACTCGCTAGAGGACCAGTTTATTAGGTACATTGTAGTTCACCAATAAACAGGCTATACATTTGTTCCATATTCTCAATGCCCAGCTAGTCCATAATAAACAGTCAAATCTGCTCATTATGGAATCATTGGGACTGAGTGACAAAAATTGATATATTGAGGATTCAAAATACTACAGCAAAGCTCGTTTAGTACGAACACGGATATTGCGAATTCACAGTTATAGCGAAGTTATCTTGGAACCCCCAGCTTTATAAATTTAACAAATTTCTTATACAGATATAACGAATAATTGATATAGCGAAATAATTTTTTAGGTCCAGGTGAGTTCGTTATAACCGAGTTTTACTGTATTAGGTTAAAATACATAAAGGAAAATGAGACTGGGACAAAAATCACTTTATATCCATGATATTCAAGATATCAGTGTTTGGTATAAAAAAGTTCAACTGTTTTTCTCTCAAACTTATTTTTCATAAACAGGAATGATGAGTTAGGGATTCCGTTCAGTGTGGTGATAGATGACACGACAATAGACATGGCCTGTATTGGTGTGAGGCATCGGGACAGTACGCTGAAGGTAGGTCTGAGTGGACAGAAATTACGGAACCATATAGCTTCTAATGATTGATTATCTAACTACTAAATATACTTTGCAGGAGAAAATCCACATCACTGAGATAAAAGATTTCATACAGAGACAAATTCAGTGAGAGAGGTTTACAGAATTCCCATATACACGGTACATTGACAAGGAAAGGTGTTACTTCTGAACTATAAAATTATTATTTGTAGGCTGTAGAAAAAGCTCTGTTTTGGTATTTGTTATACATTTTAAAAGTACATATTTTCTAGTGCCCACTTAAAGCTTGTGTTCATGGAATTTACATTTACTGTTGGCAGGTCCATTAAAGGTTGTCAGCGTAAAAATATATTACCGGTATTACTTTTTAGCTCACCTGAGCCGAAGGCTCAAGTGAGCTTTTCTGATCAAAATTTGTCCGTCGTCGTGTTCGTTGTCGTCGTATATGCACATTTTCATCTTCTTCTCAAGAACTACTGGGCCAATTTCAACCAAACTTGCCACAAAGTATCCTTAGGTGAAGGGGATTCAAGTTTGTTCATATGAAGGGCCACGCCCTCTTCCAAGGGAAGATAATTATGAATTAGTGAAAAATTATTGGCATTTTTCAAAAATCTTCTTCTCACCACTGGGCCAGGAAAGATGAAACTCATGTGGAATCATCCTCAGGTAGTGTACATTCAAATTTGTTCAAATCATACCCCTGGGGGTATTTTGGGGCCACAATGGCCTTTGGACATTGAAAGTTTTACATAGGAGTATAATAGGAAAAGTCATAGGGAATAAAAATCTTCTTCTCAGGAACCACTGGGTCAGGAAAGATGAAACTCATGTGAAAGCATCCTCATGTAGTGTAGATTCAAGTTTGTTTAACCACTGGCTGAAAGTTTTACATAGGAGTATATAGGGAAAAACTTTTAAAATCTTCTCTCAACACTGGGCCAGGAAAGATGTTCTCATGTGAAATCATCCTCAGGTAGTGTAGATTCAAGTTTGTTACATGCACTTCACTGTGGGACATGGAGACCGGGGGGGGGGGGGGGGACAAAATGGCTGTAAATTCTATACAGTACTAGATAGGGAAATCTTTTAAAATCATCTTCTCAAGTATTTCAAAGCCATGATTAGTGATATTTATGTGGAATCATCCTCAGGTAGTGTAGATTCTAGTTTGGTGAAATCATAACCCCAGGGATAGGGTGGGCCACAATGGGGGATCCAAGTTTTACATTAAAATATATATTAAAAAAATCTTCTCAAGAATAGCAAAGCCATTATTAGTAATACTAGTATTTATATGGAAGCATTTTCTGGTAGTGTAGAATTAAATTTGTTCAAATCATAATCACTAAGGGTAGGGTGTGGCCACAATGGTGGATGAAAGTTTTACATAGAAAAATAAAGGAAAAAATCCCAAGAACAGAAAAGCTATATGTTTAGTCATATTGATTAAAGCATCCTCATGTATTGAAGATTTGGCACTTATTCAAATCATGGCCCTTTGGGGTAGGGCAGAGAAACATGGAATCAAATTCAAATAATTATGAAGTTATATATAGGAAGAAAATGTTTAAAAAAATCTTTTTTTCAGGAACAGCAAAGTCATATGCTGTAGTAATATGAAGGCAATCTCAAGTAGTATCAAAATTCAAGCGCTCCCCCCCCCCCCCTTCAGTGAATCTTTCAGTTCTGATCTGATTTGTGGTTTTTCCTAGCCGATTTGCTCAGTTGAGCGATGTGGCCTCTGGGCCTCTTGTTGAAACAGACTTACCTTATTGTGTTCATGTTGTATATGCAGATTTTGTAAATCTGTTTAATATTTTATTCCTTTTATCAATGATAAAGTAAATTTAACTCGGACTACAAGTTTTGGTGATATATGTAAATGGAGAAATTGTATAGCTACAGAATAAATTGTTGAAGTTTAAAACTATTTTTCTCTTATTTTACAAAATGTAAAAAAAGATAAACTTGCTCTCAGTTTTCAGACTTTCACAATGAAGCTAAAACAATGTTTTGTCCAACAAAATGCACTGCAATATACTGGGTATTTTTACTTATATAAACCTTTGGACATTGATTTTTAGATGCCTTCTTTAAAGTTTTAGTCTTTGAAGTCTTCATAATTAGGAAGAGTCATTTTGTAAAAACAATACAAGTCTGCATGTTAATGAAGAGATTTTATACTTAGATAGTAAACCAATTTACTTTAACCACTGAATGAAGCTCAAAAGATATTGGTGTCTTCCTCTCAACACCTTGGCATGAAGATATTCTCTTTAAAATAGTTAAAATACCTTTACTGCACTTCACTGTGGGACATGGAGACCGGTCCTTGAGATGAGACAGTATAAACCAAAGTCCCGTGTCGCAGTTAGTGCGAGCACGAAAAGATCCCTCCCTGCTCAATGCCCTAAGTGCAGAGCAAAGGACAAAATTTGCAGCTCTCCACCAGGAAGTGGTGGCGTCTCCATATAAGTGAAAAATTCTCAAAAGGGACGTTTAATATAATCAATCAAACCTTTACTGTGCTAAAAATATGCTTGTTTATTGTATCTGAAATGGTCATTTCATTAGTCTTGACCTATATTGATCAAGTAATTTCCAAATTTATTTTCTCCACCTGTACAGCAAATATGATCTCAACTCTATTTATATTTTACTCCTTTTATCAATGATAAAGTAAATCTAACTCGTACTACAAGTTTTGGTGATACATGTAACATGTAAATGGAGAAATTGTACAGATAAACTATGAATCAAACCCAGGACCCCTGCATCACTATGTTAAGTGCTCAACCAAGCTGCCTAGGTTGATAGTCATAGCCCAAAACCATTACATTCATCCCTCCTTAAACTGACTTTACTCTCAGTGTCATTGTACTTATTTGTCCCGGACAGGACTTGCCTAACTCTAGGGGTGGTCAATGGCATCAAATTATGATGCAGGAAAGGAAATATGCATGGCTGGAGTGGAAAGTGAACCCTGGATCCCTGGTTCTATCTGCCGAGCCATCCAGGCTTATAAACATGTATCTATGACTAAAACCATTCTGTAAATGCATACACAAATTTATTTAAAAAGTTTGAATCATGGGAATCATAATTCTAGAGCAACTAATATGTCCCCAATGATGCAGCCACTAAAATGTCCCCAATGATGTTTCTGCTGTACTGTAAACCAACTTTTATTCGCCTGCCAGAAATTTTCATGATATTCGCGAAAGCCACATCATTCCTGATTATTTCTCACCACTAATCGGTTCTTAAAGTCTCTCTGTCTATTAAAAATAGATAAAAAAAGGCTTGATAGTGAACATTTATCGTCGCAAACTAGTTTACCCCCAGTATATCATGAAATAAAGTGGTCGGGAATAAACGTTGGTTTACAGTATGCCTATTTCCTACACTTCATGAAATTTAAACAGTACAGGTTTCTTATTATTTAATTGCACATTAATATAAACACAAAGAATTCAGACAACAGCACTACATTTGGACAAAGTTATTTTTAACAATTTTTTTGCCCAACCATGAATTGTAATAAACCATGGCTGCTTGACATCTACATCTGTACATCTAGTTTTCACTCACAGTCTTTAACACAAAATGGACAATATACACGTTTCTGAAACTCTATCATTTTCATTCTGTGTTAGATGTAATGTCCACGATCACTTACTGTTCACGATTACTTATTGTCCATGAACACTTACTGTATACACTGTAACTGATTGACGGGCAGTGTATGTATTGTCTATGACACTGATAATAAATGAGGGTCTATGTATGTATTGTGTTCCACACAGATTATAAATGTATTGTGAATGAGAATTGATTCCTTTGCTTTACTGCATTCCCTGTGGCTTTTTCCCACCATGGAACTCCTCAATACACAAATGGCAACTCCAATTCCCTGTAAATAGATAAATGTTTTAAATGTACATAAAAAAAATTGAGAATCCCTGTAGAGAAAGAACCAAGTAAAGCTAACAATTTGTAGGGTGTCATTTTATAAACTTTGTCCACAAAATTAATTTTGCTGTAGTACAGGTATTAATTTTATAACATTGAATTTATTTTTATCAATCAACTGTTTATTTAATCTGTTAATGTTAAACTATAAATGTAACTATGTTTCTAATATATTTACACAGCTTTATTTTATACTTCAATGTAAAATCTAGTCAATAATTGTTTGGTGTGTTGCCTCCCTTTTTGCACTCAAATAGTGGGAGAAAATTGCAATTCAACAAGGTTAACAACAATGCAGTAACTTGTAGAAAGTATTTATTAGTACAGTGAGTTTTTTGTTGTTCCTCCCCGGTTCTGACAGAGGGGGACAAAATAACAGCTGATCCTACAAATAAACATCAAAATAACAGCTGATCCTAAAAATAAACATCAAAATAACAGCTGATCTTAAAATCAAATAGCAACTGGTTCTAAAAATCAGTCACAAAAACACACACACACACCCTCACACACAAAAAAGCTAGTCCTAAAAAAAAGCTAAAACATAACAGCTGATTCTATATTATAAACTTATTGTCTTTTTTGAACAGACTTTTCCTTTACAGAATTAGATCATTTAAGAATCCTCTCCAAATTCTCGCTACTTTTGATTTGGGAAATCCATTTCTATAAACTTTTTAAGTATATAAACTTATTTTAAGAAGGATATCAATAATGAAATTTAAGTTTGAAAAATTCCTTGTGTCTGCCTAACAATGATCTTATTTGTGTTAAGATCCTTACGTCATTATCTGAGGTTCCACACAGTCCACATGATTTACACTCGATACACTGCCAGGGATACTTCTTAACTGAGATGATCATGTTAGCTGTAAACTGCAGGCAGGTGGGGTGGCCTGTAAAATAGTACAGATGATGCCAATAAGACATTTTGATCAAAAGATTTGATTTAAAACCTGTATAATTATGTGTGTTGGTGTAATAAAGATTTTCAAGCCCATAGCTTGAGGAAGAAAAACATCAAGCTATTTGAACATACATATATAGTATAAATGAAACTACAAGTCAATCTCACGCCCGTAGTTGAATTCTCTCAACACCAACAGTATTAAACCAACAGTTTTAATGCTGTATGATACCTGATCTTCCACAGTCACTACAGGACACCAATTCCTCCGGCTGATTTGATTTTTTATTCTCCTCGGAGTCTCCTAAACAGAAATCGCAGTAGTTGTTGGCGGAGATGTCTCGCTTTTCCATCCCAGAACGACTTCCTTTATCTATAAAATACCTATCATTCAATAACCTGCATAGTTATATTATGTCAAGTCTACAAGCAAATAGAGTGAAACAAAACTAAAAGCTGCAATTAATTTGTAAAACTGTAAATCATAATTATAACAGAAATTAACATGCAAAAATTGAAAAAAATAACAGGATTTGCTTTTAATATCAGCTGTTGATTAACAAAAACCTGGACTACATCTAATGAGAATTAATACCTCTCCCCACAACACACATGGTACCCCAACAACACACCAGAATGTTCACAAAAATTACACACACAAGATTTATCTTAAAAATCATTTTACAACTGGGTCCATTCTGAAATGCACTTAGTCTAGTACAAAAAACCCAGGGATTTTTGCTTCATACAAAATAAGGATTTTTTGTTTGCATTGCAAAAAATAAAAGCAGTTTGCCTCCTTTCAATGCACATTTCTGTAGCATTCACAAAGCTGCATTGCATGATTTGTAGAACTTTTTGCATCTCAAGGCATCACATACATTTTTATTTAGATTTTTGTATACATTTATATGCTCATTATTACATACATTTTTTAATTTTCTATGATCAAAAGTTTTTTGTATACATTTATATGTTCATTATTCCATACATTTTCATCTTCTCTGATTGGAAGTTTTTTTGTATACATACATATGTTCAAGCCTAATAAACCTTCTATCACACTTTGAACAATTCTCCAAGCCTACTATGCTAACCTACATACTGCCACACTTTACAATGTAGGACATTTACTTTCACAACTCTCTACATGCACTTTTTATCCATGCTTCTTAATGAAATATAATTCCTCTTTACTGTATATACCGGTGTATTAATTGTAAAATGTACAAAAAATGTAGTTTTGTTTTCATCAAGTATTCGATACAGTGTACATTAAAAAATGTGTTTGTCTTGATAAAAGGTTAAAATACATTTGGCTCCATAATCATGTTTTGTTGGCAAGTGTAACTTCTGGTCTGTTAGAATTCATCACACAAAATGCACACAAAGATTGTTACTTTTTAATTAAATGGAATTAAAACTAGAACTGTCCAAACGGGACAAAATACCCCCCGCTGGGTTTTTCAGAAGTAAGTTTTTCCATAATAAAGATATGTATCACATATGAATTATGAAATTTTTCTTCCAGTGACCTTGAAGTTCCCCAAATGACCTTGGGTCAAGGTCATGACACATGGGTCATGGACAATCTTTGCCTGAAATGAGAACCTACCAAGTTTATCCATAAGAAAGATGTGGACTGGACACGAATTATGAAATTTTTCTTCCAGTGACCTTAAACTTCCCCAAATGACCCTGGGTCAAGGTCATGACACACCCTTGGGTCATGGGCAATCTTTGTGTGAAATGACTGCCAAGTTTATTCATAAGAAAGATATGGACTGGACACGAAGTATGAAATTTTTCTTCCAGTAACCTTGAAGTTCCCCAAATGACCTTGGGTCAAGGTCATGACACACCCTTAGGTGATGGGCAATCTTTGTGTGGAGTAGTAGATTCTAATGTCCCTCCGTAAGAAAGATATGGACTGGACACATTTGCACAGACAGATGGACAGACGGACAAGGTGATTCCTATATACCCCCCCCAAACTTCGTTTGCTGAGGGTATAAAAAAAGATCTCTAACAAAACTGTAGCTCTACTGCTTTGGACTTATAATTATAAGAAAAAATTTGCTTTAGACTGAACATTTTTTTACAGTCACAAAATCAAATCTGTGACTGTGTCCTGTTGTTTCTATTCTTGCACCAAGTAACCAAGGCAACACTAATTCAACAAAATAAAAATATTAAAATAATTTTTGTAGAGCATATGATGTTAATAGTAAGTCAAAGTGCTGAGATTTCTTTTTGGTACATGAGTGTCATTAATTCACAATATCATAATAAACAGTTTACTTTTTCTTATACTTGATGTATTGTTAAGTAATTTTGCTGATTAAGTACTATTATTTAGAAGACAAAGTCAATATCACATATCAAACTTCTGGCTTCCAATGTTGAATGATGGTGAGAGAATGAATATTAAGTTCTTGTTAAAGAAATACTGGCTGATAGTCTATCCCTCTATAGGAATGTGTGTCTGTGTCCTATCCAGTAATTTGTTAAATAGGAAAATCTCTAGCGGTGTGGTTATAGTGCAGTACATTGTGTTCTGTATGATCTGATTTACAAAGAACAATCAAGATGCTGTTTATAATGTGAGTAATTTTAGAAATGCTACAACCATAGCCAGCCTTACAAATACCTGACGCGGTACCAGATGAAGAAGCAACCAGGGACTTAATGACTGAAACAAAAACGGGGAATTAATGGTCTACATCTAAAACAATCTCAAAATGTTACACACAAAATGGCATGCAATATTACCAGACATAAACCACAAAAAGTAGAGTATACAAAATACATGTACTCATCAGAGTATACAATATTGCAAAATTGTGTCAATTTCTGTATATTGAAGCATGCATATTACTGCAACAGACAATGAGGAAAAAAAGTACATTAAAAAATTGTAAAGAAAAAGAGCTCTGATACACTATATTCACAATTTTCAAAGTCATGTGCTGTTAGTTCACCTCAATGTTTTTATTATGTTTCATTAAATATTCATTTTGAATCCTGTATAAAGTGTATATCATATTTAAAAAAAAAAATTATATCCTGTTCCTAGAATAAGCAATAAATAAGTCTGTTATTGGGATAGGAAGCGTTTAAGCTAACACAATAAAATGGACGGAACTAGTCTTCTATACATCAGTTTTACTTCCTGTTATCTGTACTAGTGAAATTAATTAAAATGTTTTACAATTAAAATCTATAAAATGTAAAAATATAAGAGGTAAAAAGTTAAGATGGAGGAGAAAAGCTTAGTGAAGAGGGTTTTTTTTTGCCTTATCTATGACTACATTATAGAAAGCATATACTAAATACAAGGTTACTTTTTCCCTTTCACTCTTGCAAACAATTTTGCCCCATTTTAACAGGTAAATTCGCCAATCACAGTTTTGTTTTAAAATCACACTTTGTTCTTTTAATTTGTCCTGTTTTAAATTCGCCCACCTGTTGAAAGAGTGAAAGGGAAAAAATAAAATTTCCCTGTGACATGTACATTGACTTTTGAGCCAAACATATTATGAATTCCCTTTTTATAATCCCTCCCTCCCTTAACCCTCAAACACCTGTATTATTTATATAGAACTGATGTATAAAGGAGCTAGTTTCCTACTGACATGGAATTAGTGTGATCGTGCATGCCACAGTACTGACACAGCGTTTAGAAATACAAACCGGCGTTCCGACCGGAGGCCCGGGCGGGGGGCTTAGGCGAGGGAACCGTATCCTCGTCGATCATGCCATTATGGAAATGATTGTAATGGTACTGTAGACCTGGTCGTGTCTTGTATCTAGCCCCACAAGCTGTCCATCAGAAATAGAACAGCTAGTCAATCATCAGGTCATCACATACAGTACTCAATTCATCTTAACTCCTTCTATTACACTTTAACTTGTTACAGTTCTCAATGAATCTACACTCCATCTATTTATTACACTTTATCTTGTTTCCTATAGACTTTTAATTAATCAATCCTGAGTGTAACACAGCTAATTTGGCAAAATTATTAAGAGAATGTAGTTTTTTCATCCTAAAAGTTCATTTCTTTTTTTAAAAAAACACTGCATACAGAAATGCACAAAAAGAAACAAGAAAACAAATTAGACTACCCTACTATTTTTTAAAGAAAAAATCTACTTTTTACCTTAATATTTGATGTTAAATAAAAGATTTTAATGCACAACCATAATTGGGATATTGTACTATGATTTGAATACACAACATTATTTCTCCACAGTAAGCATTTTGTTGGAAGCAAGCTCCAAAGTGCCTAGCTGTTCTCCTTATCTATCAAGAAGCTTATAGAAAGCTCAGAATGTACAACAAAACACAGAATATTAAATATAAAAAGCAGAATTACAAAATTGTCAAATACAGGGAAAAATAATTTATATACATGTACATAGTATGTGCTTGCAAGAAAATTTGCAGTGTGCCATTTTAATTAATTATTGTTCTACAGATTATTCTTTAGCAATCATTAAAAGCCTGCCACTTTTTTTAAGTGTGTGTTACGTTCCTGGTACTTTGGACAGATTTTTGCTGCAGTGAAAGTCCCATGCATATACCAATATTTTTTGCTTCAGGGAGCAAAAAGTACATGTACATGTATTATTATACAGTAATAGTACTGAATGGAATTATGCTCCAAACCTTAGAGCAAGTATCATCTGTTTCAGAGAAATAGAGAGGTTCTTCATAGTCAGTTTTGACCTAGAAGAAAATATAAATTTGCAGTCTATGAGTCTGCTAGATTATCTGACAGATAAGCATGTTAATGCAGTCATTCCAGAGGAAGATGCCAGACTAGCAGTTTACACAGTACAGGGCACAGTCTCAATATAGACATGCATCTGCCGGCAGGACCCAATCGCCAGTACAAAGGGGATTAACTGTGTGCAGTATAAAACAAAAAGCACAAAAATCTCCATGCAGTCACCTTTCCATGACTTTGTCCGTCCTGTAACGATGTATTATAGTTATACCTGATGGTCAGCCAGTTACGTCTTACCTGACAGTGGCTTATACCTTATACACAAGCCTGTTACTAACAATTAATCAGCTCATCACATTTCATCATGGACCCACAGGTGTTTGAAATAATTATTTTAGTTGTTTTCTGTGTGTTGTAGGAATTACAAATCAATTAATTCAATGTGCAAATCAATCTGTGCAGTAAAAATCTGAGAGATCAGTCAGATGACCTGTGCACTGTGTGAAATGAGGAAGCTAGGAGACTTCGTAATGATGCGATCAGTCAATAGTTCTCCATGCCCTTCAGTGGGTGGTTAGATCAGTGAAATGCAAATAACTCAGAAAAAGGGGGTTAAAAATTATAGTAGAAAGGTCATAACATGCTATATTAAAAAGGTTTACTTAACTTGCAATCAATTTTTAAGTAGTACATGGATATGTATTTTTGACTCTTAAGACTTGTCTTAGCCTTTTAAGATAAGACTGGCTATTAAATAATGTTTTTAAAAGAACAACTGTTTATTCTTAGCAGATATCTAAATAAAATTTAGAATATATTCATACTCTAAACCATATTTGAGACACAAGAACATATCGGTGATGTTTTTTTTCTATTTCAGTAAATGAAAATAAACATTCATGAAGTATAAATTCAAACATGGTCTTAGAGTGTCTTTTTCCTAAAATGTATAAATGGAAAAATCAAGCAAAAATAAAAGAACTGAATCTCTACAAACAGATTGAAAGCAAATAGCCAACTGATGACAGAGGAGAAATCTGACCTTCACATGAGTAGGGTTTGTCTTTATCCTCCGTGATCGGGGGAGGCTCCTTCTCCGTGTTCTTTTTCCTGCCTCGTCCTGTCCCCTGATATCATAAATAAAGATTACAAATCATCTATTGATTACACATGTCCTGTCCCCTGACATCATAAACAAAGATTACAAATCAACCGGTCAACTCATCTATTGATTACACATGTCCTGTCCCCTGACATCATAAACAAAGATTACAAATCATCTATTGATAACACGTCCTGTTCCCTGACATCATAAATAAAGATTACAAATCAACCGGTCATATCACCTATTGATTACACACGTCCTACCCCTGACATCATAAATAAAGATTACAAATCAACTGCTCAACTCATCTATTGATTACTCATGTCCTGTCCCCTGGCATCATAAATAAAGATAACAAATCAACCGGTCAAATCATCTATTGATTATCCATGTCCTGTCCCCTGACATCATAAATAAAGATTACAAATCAACTGCTCAACTCATCTATTGATTACTCATGTCCTGTCCCTTGGCATCATAAATAAAGATAACAAATCAACTGCTCAACTCATCTATTGATTATCCATGTCCTGTCCCCTGACATCATAAATAAAGATTACAAATCAACCGGTCATATCACCTATTGATTACACACGTCCTACCCCTGACATCATAAATAAAGATTACAAATCAACCGGTCAACTCATCTATTGATTACACATGTCCCACTACTAATTAAGATAATGCACACTAACCTTTTAGGACAAAAAATGAAAGGGGAGGGAATATAAACTATATATGTACATCAGGACAATTTCTGTTTTACATGTACTTTAAATCGATGTTTTTAAACAAATTTAAATGGATTAACAGGATTAACCTCCTCCAATATTAATATGATATAACATGTAGTTACAGATCTCCTGAGACAGACCTTCTTCTTCTTCCTTTTGATGTAGGTCTCCTCGTAGTCACTGATGTCCGATTGATCGTCCACCATTTCCCCCGCATCAGGAGGTTCGCTGAGGTTGTCAAAATCGTCGTACCATCGGTCTTTGCTGGTTTCACTGAATTTCTCTCCTTCCTCTTCTTTACATATAGCGGGGTTTTCCACCGTGTTTATCTGATGCATATCTTAAAGGTGGTAAAACACAGAGGGAAGAGTTGTAAGAAAATATGAAGAGTGTATCACATCATTCATTTATGTTAAGTTATGTCAAGTGGGATGGTATTAGTATACCCCCAAAATTTGTCCTATTTTCAAATTATTTAGAGTGAACATATTTTGCAAGTTAGAATGAACTTTTTATGACCTAGCCAATAGAATTAAATGACAACTAACGACTATTTATTTTGTACCTGACTCCCCAGTCTCAATTTCACTGGCCTTGTTTGAACGACTCTCTGTGTTCATGAATGCTAGTCGCTTCTTCTTTTTCCATCTACTGGCTGGGTAGGAATAAAGCTGTCCATAATACTGACCTGCACAAAGAAACATTTAGAAAATTTAAAACATTTTAAAATCAATTTTTACATGCTGATAATTTTAATCTTCCGTAGTGGAATACAAGGGCAAAGTTGTCAATGTGACAGCATACCAGGTTTTTTTGTGTGACCAATATATCTTACTGTATGTCTACTCTTAATATTTGAAATATATAATTTTTTCCAATGTTATGTTAAACCTCTGATTGAATTAACATAGCCAGTTTTTCAATTTTAAAGAAAAAGAAAACAGAGATAGGGTGAATTCACCATGCATCGGACACATACCTTGCATCGGACAACTTTAGACAATAAACTCTCTTTCAACTTAATAGTTCCGTGTATTTATTTGTTTCTGTCTTGAATTGAAGACTTAAATTTTTTAATGATACCGATTGTTATTATCATGTTGTGATAAAAATACCTGGCCTTGAAGTTACGTCATATTTTACATCATCAAAGGGGAACAACCAGAATTTAAGATTTTGCGATTTTTAGAGTTATCGTTCTTAAAATTCGACTTCAACGGAACGAGGCAGACTTTGGTGAATAAAGTCAAAGATTGATAATTTTACATAAATTTTAAAGAAATTTCACTTCAATGTTCGTATAATTCTTTAAAAAGCTGGTTTTCACTAGTATGTTCATTTCTCCGTACATCGGACACAAATTAACCATGCATCGGACACTTTCCGATGCAAAGGTAAGCACTACCATTTTCATACAGAACCCAGCTGATAGCTGTTTTTTGCGGAAAAGGAAAATAAAAACTCTATATTTTCAGTCAAAATACAGGTTATCGATGTATAACGTCTGGAATTTGACTCAATTTATTTCTACAAACCAGAGTATGATAAACCATGAAAAAAGGTCGAATTACCGCATTATAAGCATTTTAAAGCATTTTTAAGGCAGAGTGAGGTCTCTTGAATCGTTCTACATTTGTGCAACGATATCGTCAATTAGATTTAAATTGAGGGTTAATTCTTAGATAAAAGATAAAAATATATCCATATCAAGGATTTTAAAGCACTTTAATAAAGGTATGATATTTATCCAGTCAAAATACCGTCTGTCCGATGCATGGTAAACAATGTCCGATCCATGGTGAATTTTGAGTTATTCCTAAAAACTCGATTTTTGAGGATATTTTCTAAATAAAGGGCATATAATTGTGTCCCAAATTGATATTTTAATCACAAACTAAATGTTAAACTCCATTTTGATAATTTTCCGTCGGTAGCGATATCGCTAGAACTTGTTGAAGTACAAGGGTATCCGATGCATGGTGAATTCACCCTACACATCTAATTCATTTTATCCTTGCCAAAGTTGTATGATATTAATTAGACATAAAAAAAAGGTAACCTGTGTAGCCTGCTGATGTTCATTACATATGTAACAGACATTTTTGTGCCTCTGCTGGGGATTGCACCCGGGGCTCTGGCTTGCCTCTTTTGGAGTGCCGACACCTGTCAGTCAAAGTTCTAGGGGCAATCACTCTCACTCACCAGAGAACACCTGGGTCCCAAATCGTGGGCGCCTAATGTAATAGAGACAATTTTTTGCCACTGCTTGGGATTGAACCCCAGGTCTCTAGCTTGCCAGTCCAGTGCTCTACCAATTGAGCTAAAATGTCAAACCACTAGACCAAGCTAGTAGGATGCTGTGTATCTTACACCACCATACATACCTGGTAGTCTATCTTTATAGGGGTGCCTCTGTGAAGTATGACTCTGTGCTACCTCCGTTCAGTACACACCTGGAAGTCTATCTTTATAGGGGTGCCACAGTGAAGTAAGACTCTGTGCTACCTCCATTCAGTATATACCTGGTAGTCTGTCTTTATAGGGGTGCCACAATGAGGTATGACTCTGTACTACCTCCGTTCAGTACATACCTGGTAGTCTATCTTTATAGGGGTGCCACAGTGAAGTATGACTCTGTGCTACCCCTGTCTGTGAGTCTAGGAATGGCAGCCTTAGTTTACGCTCGATCCCCATTCTCATGTTCAAGCTGGCTGTGTGCTCTATCGCCTCCTTGTATAAGGAATCACCTCCCATACTGAAAAATTATTTCAGCATTAAATGACTTTTGGAGCATTATGTCAATAAAAAAAAATTTTAAAAGGTGTGTCTTTATTTTTTTTTTGTTATGAACTATGTAGAAGTAACCAATTACCTGCAATCAGTATGCATATTTTTGATAAATATCATATATGTCACCTCAACTTTTTTAAAAACAGGAAGATTTACAAAGTGCTATATTTAATTTACACCAAAAACATTATTTTACAACAAAGTTAATGACATGATCTCTGATTCACATTATAAGTAATACTGTATGTGTACTTAAACAAGAGGCCCACGGGCCTTATAGGTCACCTGAGTATCACGAAACAACTTTCATACCTAATTCAATACCCAGGAGCAGAGAAGATTTTCAAAGAAATAATGCTTTTTCACTATATAATCTATATAGCCCCACCCTAGCACCTAAGAACCCCTGACCCCAGGGCCATGAATTTCACAATTTTGGTAGAGGACTCAATGCTGATTACAATCATGCAAACAGTTTGACTGCTTGATGTCCAGGAGTAAAGAAGAAGAATTTTAAAGATTGCATTAATTTTAGTGGTTTTGGCCCCACCCCTCAGGCCCCAGGAGGGCAGGGTCCATGAAATTCACAAATTTGAAAGAGGCAGCATTAATCAACATAACTATGTATTTGGCTTGTTTATTAAATACCCAGAAGTAGAGAAGAATATTTTCAAAGAAATAATGTACTTTAACTGTATAATCTATATAGCCCAACCCTAGCACCTAAGAACCCCTGACCCCAGGGCCACGAAGTTCAAAATTTTGGCAGAGGCTGCCTTATTCAACAAAACTATGTACTTGGTTTGTTTATCTACTGCCCAGGAGCAGAGAAGAAGATTTTCAAAGAAATAATGCATTTTCACTATATAATCTACATGCATATAGCCCCGCCCTAGCACTAAAACCCCTGACCCCAGGGCCATGAAATTCACAATTTTGGAAGAGGCTGCCTTATTCAACAAAACCATGTACTTGGTTTGTTTATCTAATGCCCAGGAGCAAAGATTTTCAAAGAAATAATGCTTTTTCTCTATATAATCTATATAGCCCCGCCCTAGCACCTAAGAACCCTGACCCCAGGGCCATGAATTTCACAATTTTTGTAGAGGACTCAATACTTATTATAATCATGCAAACAGTTTGACTGCTTGATGTCCAGGAGTAAAGAAGAAGATTTTTAAAGATTCCATTAATTTTTGTGGTTTTGGCCCCACCCCTCAGGCCCCAGGGGGGCAGGGTTTGTTTATCTAATGCCCAATAGCATGAAATTCACAGTTTTTGTTCCCCTTCATCCATAGATGCTTTATTCCAAATTTGGTTGAAATTGGTTGATTGCACAGTTTTTGTTCCCCTTCAGAAGAAGCTGAAAATGTTCAAATGTTAACACACGACGCACGACGGACGAAAACGGATAGCAATAGGTCCCCTGAGTTTACTCAGGTGACCTAAAAAGCAAGCTTCATATCTTAGCAGCTTAGACAACAATGCGTTAATTCATGAATATTGCCAACGAATCAATTATATTAAACAAGAGGCCCACGAGCCTTATAGGTCACCTGAGCATTATGCAACAACTTCCCAGTTACAGTGTATTGAATTTGATTCATGTTTTAAGCCAGATGCTATATGGCATTCACAATTTTGAAAGAGGCACCATTGATCATCATAACTACATTTAGAAGTTGCTTAGCTTGGTTACTGAATACCCATACGCAGGGTAGGGGAACAAAAATGCACTCCAACTAATCAGTAATATTCAGCAATAATCAGTAGTGCCCCTAACAATGTGACATAAACCCCTGACATTAGGTCCATACATTGCACAAATTTTTAAAAGGCACCCTTAAAATTGCCTATCAAAAAATAAATAAATGTTTTATAAATACAAAGGAGCAGATTTCAAACAATTAATTCATTTTCAGTATATAAGTAGAGCCCCCCACCCCTGACCCTGGGGCCTTGAAATTCACAATTCTGCAAGATTAGGGCCCTTGCTCATCATAACTATATAGGTAGTTCATCTGCTTCATACCCAGAGACAGAGAAAAAAAAATTCAAAGATTTAATGTATTTTCACTATATAATCAATAGAGCCCCATCCTAACACCAGAACCCCAGACCCTGGGGCCATAAAATTCATAATTTTAGAAGAGGCATTCTTCCTCATCATGACTATGTACTTACTTAGTTTATTTAATTCCCAGGAGCAGAGAAGAAGATTTTCAAAGAATTCATGTATTTCTACTATATAATCTATAGAGCCCCGCCCTAACACCAGAACCCCTGACCCTGGGACCATAAAATTCACAATTTTGGTTGAGGCACACTTGCTCATCATAACTATATACGTAGATAGATTGTTTGATACCATGGAGAAGAGAAGAAGATTTTCATAGAATTAATGGATTTTCACTATATAATCAATTTTGCCCCCCCCCCCCCACACACACACCAGAACACTTGACCCTGGGGCACTAAAATTCACAATTTTGGTTGAGGCACTCTTGCTCATCATAACTATGCACTTAGTTAGTTTATTTAATACCTAGGAGCAGAGAAGAAAATTTTCAAAGAAATCATGTATTTTCACTATATAATCAATAGAGCCCCACCCCCCAACACCAGAACCATTGACCCTGGGGCCATAAAATTCACAATTTTGGTAGAGGCACTCTTGCTCATCATACTATGTACTTAGTTGGTTTATTTAATACTCAGGAGCAGAGTAGAAGATTTTCAAAGAAATAATGCATTTTCACTATATACTTATTTAGCCCCACCCTAGCACTAGAACCCCTGACCCCAGGGCCATGAATTTCACAATTTTAGTAGAGGACTCAATGCTGATTACAATCATGCAAATAGTTTGACTGCTTGATCTCCAGGAGTAAAGAAGAAGATTTTTAAAGATTGCATTAATTTTAGTGGTTTTGGCCCCACCCCTCAGGCCCCAGGGGGGCAGGGGTCATGAAATTCACAAATTTTGTTCCCCTTCACCCATAGATGCTTTGTGCCAAATTTGGTTGAAATTGGTTCAGTGGTTGCAGAGAAGAAGCTGAAAATGTTCAAATGTTAACACATGACGCACGATGGACGACGACGGACGAAAACAGATAGCAATAGGTCACTGAGTTTACTCAGGTGACCTAAAAATGGCGCATAAGTGTATACCCCTAATTCATGAATATGCCAGCAACTCAATACCAAGTGATTCCACGAAATTTTGAATATGCCAGTTTAAGGACATGTACATTATTTTAAATGAGAATACAGCTTTTAGAGACAAACTTTAAATATGGTCAATGGAATGAATTCTATTGACCAAATTCATACATGCCAACTTTTGAAAATTCCCATGGGGGATTTTGCGCGTGACGATAATTTTCAAAGCTTTAAATTCGCGACATATTGTCGTGAAAATAAATGATTATGAATTACTTTTTTTTTATTATAATATTGATAACACTTATTAATACAACACAAATAAAACAATACAAATTAAAGTTTTTTTCCAAATTTAAATATCTTTGCTTATAATAGTTGTCACTGTTTTATTAATTTACATTTTGTTTCTGGTATGTACCCTTACAATCAAGTGTCATTTTATTCCCTATAAGTAAGTACATAGACAGTGCATAATTTATTTTATCTCACAGCAGATTTGAAATTAAAAGCAATCATTTCTCTGCTGCAATAACATTTAGCAAAATAAGTCCCAAACAAATTAAAAAAAAAATAAAAGAAAATAGTTTTGTTAAATATTATTGTGGTAGGAAAATCACTGCTTTTAACAGGGGCATATAATAAAGTATATATAGGTCCCTCACTGGACCCTGCTTTTAATTTACTGTGATTTGTTCAGCAGACTAGAACTTAGTCCGAAATACCTGACGTTTTCCTGGCTTTTTAACGATTTTGATATATTTATGTGCCGGGAAAACATCAGAACTGGCGCCATTATGAAAACTGGGAAATTGCCACCTCCATCCGGAGGCGGCATTCTCCAGTTGATTTTAGACACTTGCGAACCAAATTAAATTTCAAAGTCACAAGTTATCAATAGTACAATACTATTAGTAATTACCGTATTTCGGGGAATACAATACGCACTTTTTTCCTAAAATAAATTACTGTGAGAAAGGGATGCGTACTTTACATCACAATGGGATTTTGACAAGTTTTTCTTTCAGGTGAAACACGGCTATCATACGTACATACCGTAGTATTACCTGGTAACAGGTTCGTTCGCCCGATCTACCTGTTCGCCGGAGTCTGTTCGCGCAGGGTCCGTTCGCCCAAAAATTTCTTCGCCCAAAATCTTGTTCACCCTATAATATTGCCCAATACTTATATATTATATTATATATTCTTATATATATTAACTTATTTGAAATAAAGATTAGCATGTATTTTTATTTCCTTTAGGAACTTGGCTTATTTCTTCTCAAACCGGGAACAATGTTTATTTAGTCTTAATTAATTTTTGATTTGATTCTAATGCATTTATTAATGATTTGTTGTTTGCACTATAGTTAATTAGATGACTAATATCAATGTTAAATTGGGGGGAACACACGATTTTTACGACGGGCTATGTTTTGAAAACAATTGAGGGACTGAGACGTTAATAGATCCCTTATAGAACTAAGCAGCGTGTAAAAAGAAATTCATTATATTATATTCTATATAAAATCTGGATGGACCCTGTGCGAACGAGAAATTGGGCAAACGGATTCTGGGCGAACGAAAAATTGGGCGAACGGGATGCGGGCACTTTATAGGGCAACGTACATGGAACCGTATTTAATACATATGCAATTTCTTTTGATTGCCATATTTTAAACTTCGGAAAGTTATTGTTGGAAGGTATGCTTCTTAAAAATGTCACTTTCACAAACTTTTGATACCAAAATAACATGAAAAAGTAAGTTAAAAGTAATTTGAGCTGCATGTTGATCGTCTCCGAGGAGGCCGCCATTACCGATGTTATTTTTAGACGTTATTTTCACGTGTTTCCGTAATGATAGTGCACATGCACCTTATCTGCCAGACAAAGTAATAAATCATTTTTTAATGAAATACAATAAAATAAATTTTTTTAGGTTTAAAATAACTCATTGATAATCTGCAACAATATTTAACACCCCTCCATACGTCCCAATGAAAGGAAGCCAATGTTGTGACACACGTGCGCTTGTCAAATGATAATTACCTATCAAACCCCTCGGGGCAATTAATTGTCTTTTTCCAAAGCAATGTTTTTACAGTTACAGCACTGATTATTTACTGCCATGTTAATTGCTTTGATTATTTTCTTTGTTAAAAAGGGGGTCGGTTTATGACCTTTCGTATGTGTGAGCATGTCATGTGTTATTACGGCACTTTAAACAATTAAACACTTGTTAAATGTAATTTTACCTTATCTTATACTTATCGGCCTCTTGTTTAAATAATTGAGAGTTGACAAATGAAATATAAATTATGCTAAAACTTTTAATAAAAGTGGTATCATTTAGAAAATAAGATATCTGCAAAGATTTAGAAGAGGAAAATCGTAGTCTACTTAAAGAAATAAATACTTTGATGTTTCAATTTCGTTTCCTGTTAAAATATTGTAAGAAAATTTTCAGCATGATTATCTTGAACCAAAATTAAATATGAGAACTGATAAAACTTTCGACAATATCTCTTGCTTTGTTGAAATAAAATTATTTCATCTAAGAATATGGCGACACATTATTTCAAAATCACCGTAACTATTCTTTTAAAAAATCTGTTAATACTTTTTACGCAATATTATCTTGTACTTTTGAAATAAATGAATAAATAATTTTCTGATATGGAATGTCGGATTAACTAAGAGAAGTTATAAAGTGTGTATTTAAAAAAAAGTGTGTTCAGTAAATTTTTGACACTTAATCCATCGCGCCGAGGCGGCGATTTTCAAAGTTGAACATCGCTTGGTAAATTTTTCTGTTGCGTATAATACATCTTGCGAACTGCGTTTTTTCCCCAGTTTCATTTCAAAAAGTCACAAGTTATAAATAGTACAATACTATTAGTAATACGGTACCAATATCGTTTTCATGGTTCACTCATAAAATATACAATCCGATGAAAACATTTTATCAGACTGTTGAGATTTGTATTCATTTTTCGTGCATTTTGCAAGTCCTGTAAGGAAATGTGGATTGGTGTTTTCTTTTCATCGTTATATCAGGTTGGGCACACACCCCCAAATGGTCATTTAACCCCTGTTTGGTGGTCAATCGCCCATATTGGCGTCTTTATTACCTACCAAATGGGAGAGAAAAATCGTTTTGTTCAGTTCTCTGGAATGATGTGAAATGGCGCATAATTTCAACTCACGGGGAATAAAATATTGATATTTTTCTAAACTTTGAACGAAAAAAATCAGAATTTCAATGCGGACTTTTTTGCGCAGTGTCGTTCAAATATTTAACAAAATCGTAACCTGTGTAAACAAGTGTAACGTTTCTGTGTTTTAACTTAAAAAGAAAAATTCCCTCCATCTCGCAATAGTTGCACCTATCAATCGTGTTTATCACTTCATATTTCTGTCATCCGGGCAACTGATCAATTATCTTAACCAATTAAAAATGACGATCTTTTCCAAACTTGGGTCAAATGACTTATTTAACTACGGAGGCCCATTAGTGTTAATTTTCAAAAAGTAAAATACAAGGAAGGGTAAGAATTCGCTTTTATTTCGTTTATTTCATATGCAATGGCTTTATTTTTTACAAACATACAATATGCAGTGAATTCATGATAAAATAATCGCTTGAAAACTATAATCTTGGAATAAAAACAAGAATAATTGCAAATGTCACTTTGTAAATCTTTTATTCAAAAATATTTAATAAATATAGTAGATACATCATAGATATGCATACTAAACCACAAAGGGTCGCACAGAAATCGTAACTTCATCCTATATGGAAATAAAGAATAAATGTTACATTCAAATGTAGATAAAAAGAATATTATAGCAGTAAGTGCCCACCATACAAATAAGATACGAGGAGCTCGTGTCTAACAGGATTTTATAGAGATTTATATAGACGCAGATTGAAAGATCATTTGAAAAATTACTTCTCTAGATTAACACCTCTTGTTTAAATATATTTTTTACCGAACTACACACAACAAAATAATTTTTCTTATTGTTTGAGCAAATAGTTCGGCCGTCACGAACAACTGTGGCTTTCGTTTTTACGAAGTTCCAAAGAAATTCCACATGGAAAATTGACTAATTTGTATTAAATGTGCGAGGAATATGTTAATTAAAATTCCCCAATGCCTAAGTAAATGCGCTTTTGCTTATAAATTTAAATAAAAATTGGATTTGAATAAAAAAGACCACCATTTGGTAGGTAAAAAAGACGCCGATATGGGCGATTGACCACCAAACGGGGGTTAAATGACCATTTGGGGGCGTGTGCCCAACCTGTATAGAAGAATTACACGCTTAGTTTGGACTTTCAGTAAGGCGTGGCATTCTCGACGTTACCTAATTAGCTTCTGAAATTTACACAGCTTCCCTTCACTGTTGAAATATACATATGATAGAAATGCGGCCGAATGTCAACTGGTGTAGTGAATAGCCAATTAAAAGTTCTCTCACGGCACAGAGGTGGGACATAAGTCGTCTGATCATTATCAACAACAATTTTAAGTTCCTATGTTATCAATTTCGTAACCAATGAGAATCTACTTGTATTCTCCATTACGTAGCGCCGAGAAAGTCACGCCCTACTGAAAGTCCAAAGATAGGGTAAAATACTCCTATGTGAGTATTAGAGACATTGTGCTGTTAATAAATTATGATTTCGGCATTTAGTTTGGTTCGCAAGTATCAAAAATGAACTCTGGTTGCAGACGGAGAAATTTCCAGTTTATGTCATGGCGCTGGTTCTGATGTTTTCCTGGCACGTGAAATATCAAAATCGTAAAAAGGCCTGGAAAACGTCAGATATTTCGGACTAACTAGAACTGTTATTTATGTAACGTGAGCGCACGGCAGTGGCCAGCAAATGAAATTTTGAAAAGCAGAAAATAATGGTTGATTGCGCCTATACTTCGATGCATTTGAAGCGACTGAATTAAAGAAAAACCAGTTTGCCAATATTTGGGCACAGTTCTGCACGCTATAACGAGATATTAAAAAACAATTCAACAAGAGATACATGATACCAAACCATGTCACAGTGTTGACAAGTTGGAAAGAATATTTTGACTTCACAAACACACCGCTAGTTAAAAAAAAATCAGTTATTGTAGGGGAGTATACCATTTTTTGAGTACTTCTATATCAATTCGGAAATCCATCGCCATCTTGTCTTTGTTTTCTAAACTGGTACTCCTGAAGGACCAGTTTGCCGCTAGATAAGTCGTACTTTAAACTATTCCAATTTTAGCTAGCCTACCGTCGACTCGGTACTCAAAAGATAACCCCTTTTTTCCACTTTTGCAATTCACAGTGATAAACATTTAATCAGTCCAGCGCCCAAACTTTTAATATTACCCAGTATGTGTTATTTTCAATTATTCATCCATTTCTTCCCATCTCTAAGGACATTTGTCTTCAAAATGCCTAATTACAATTTATAAAGTAGGACAGGTAATAATAGGTTCTTTTTTAATGAATATCACAAAAAATATCCTGAATAGAATATTTAATGTATCCCAATATATTATATAGTTCATCAAACTTAAAATAACTGAGGCTTTAAATAATGTATCTGCTATTACCCTTTTGACATTGTTATACAGGATCATTGAAAAAAAAAAGGGGGGGGCAGAATAAAAAAATTGACAATATATGAAAAATCTTTGATAAGCAAATTATATTTTTCAGGATTATCTGATTATACTTTTTAACAAAGGTTTCGCTCTGTATAAATTGGCACATAAAATGGATATGTTATCTTATTTTATAAGTTGTAGAGAGAATTTCATGGAATTAACAGGTTTTGGTTTGCATAACTTGCCTAATAAGTAGCGAATGCAAATGAGATGTCAATTTCTGTAAAATATTTTTTCCAGTGATTTCTCTAGTATGTTATTCTCAATGGTTGAATTTAGATACAAAGCAATATTAATATAAAAGGAGTACAACTGTTTTAATAAAATGATGCCTAATAAACGAAGCAAGCTTATTTTTAGGTAACACTTCCTAAAAAGCTCTTTATTTTGATAACAACATATAAATAATACATTTCACACGAACAATGTATGCTGAGTATATGACAACTGTCAAAATGTTTAAAAAATGTTTATATTCATTAGACAACAAAAATAACAAATTAAGTACACATGTGTAGCATATAGAGAGAAAAAATCATGATCATGGGTCCTCCTCACACCTTAACTTATGTTCCACTTATTCAGCATTAAACCGGCATATCCACCATTGAAAAATAGACAGGTCCAGTAGTTAGGCAAGTATCAAAATCTGACACTGTAGCACATCAATGTTTTTTTTTTAATCTGTTATCGGAACTGGTAGACAGGTATGGAATGGTCAGGCACATGAGACAAATTCAGGGACTGAAACCTGGAATTTAAACAGTAGATTTTTTCAATATGTCTAAAAAGAATCTGTGAGACAGTGCTCACTAGTAATACATCCAATCTGATGTGAATATACATAAGTTCTGTTAAAGAAATATTGCACTCTAGTGTGGTAAAATTTCAATTATCTTTCTTCGGTAGTTGCTGAGAAAAGTGTGACAGAAATTTGGGATGGATAAACACAAGCATCTGTGACTATAAGACAATTTTTCCATTTCAATAATGTTCCATATTTCCTTTAACTTTCAGTTTGCTATCTATCAATCAAATTCAATGTACAGTGTTAAATGCTCCTCACCATTCTGAGGTCCGGTGGTAGTAATAACCTTCTATGGTGGTGGTTGATTTCTGGAAGCAGATGTAGTAAAACCCAGCAAAGGAGGCACCATTTATGTTCTTTATGGTGTGATCTGGTACAAGAAAATGTTCCTAAAAACAAGAAATTGTTAAAATAATCATTTTAGGTTTATTAAAAAATTGTCCTCTTTAAAAAGTGAATTGTAAATTTATAAACTAACATAATACACACCATCACCAAAAAAATCAAGAAATTTAATATCAATCTGTTTCAGTTTCATTTATATGCCCCCATAATTGAAGATTCTGGGATATATAGATTTGCCCTGTCCATCCATTTGTCAGTTTATCTGTCTGTCTGCAAAAACTTCAACATTGCCCAAAACTTCTTACTAGTTGAAGCTATGGCTCTTCTATTTTCAAATGTGTATCCATTGTGACAAAGCCTTTCCTTGGATACCACAATAAATGAACTCTTGACCTAGACCTTGGAGTTTGACCCAATTTTGCAAGAATTACCAACTTAAACCTTTGCCATAACTTTTGAGCAGTTGTTGATGAGGCTTTCCTGTGTTGCATGTGTTTTCATTCTATTAATAAGACCTTTCCACAGCTTTTTATTGGTTAGTCCTTTCTTTGGGTAACATTTTTCAAGACCTTGGAGTTTGACTTGTATATGAGAAAGTTCAATCTTTGTCAAAAGATGTCATACAGAGTCATCAGTGTTTTGTCTGTTCCTACATCTTAATTAGATGCATATTCAAAGCAATATTTTGGGGAGTCCTTATCTTTCTGAAACAATGACACTTCTCTCAAAGAGGCACTGAACAAAAGGATCCCTATGTGTTTACAATGTTATGTTGAATTGATACCCATGTGTTTAAAATGTGATGTCCTTACCTTCCACCTCATAAACACAAAGTCTGCATTAGTCAGGTTATCATAGTCAAAGCTGTCAGAATTAAAGGTTTTAGCAAACTGGAAAAAAGACAAAAACTTTCCCTGGAAAAGAAAAAATAAATTGAATTCATTTATGAAAACAATATGTACCACTGTCTTAACCTCAATATAATTTGTAGGTATATTTTATAGCAAAAGATTTAAAAAAGACTAAATTTTGTTCTTAGAGCTATTTTTATTAATACACTGAACACTTATGATGAATAACATGCATTTCTATTGGTCATGTTTGTGAATAAACTTATTATATTTTTTGGTCCCAATACTTTATAATTGACTTTCATATACATGTGTACCGATCATTCAATAATCCAAGTGTGCTGATCATTAAATAATTCATTAACAAGTACATGTGTACCCAGTGTTTTCTATCAACATCCTCGTCTGCCTCCCATTTTCTTGTCAGAAACGGATGCTTTTTGCTGATAATTTCACCATCGAAAAATGTTGTCAATGTTGGATATTCCTCGGTTAGACCTTTGATCTTTAGGTATCCACACAGATAAGAATTCTCTAAATCCACATTCTGAAAAAAAAGAAGTGTTTTTTGAATTACTATCTTCATCACTCCCTCATATCAGGGACACAGAGTACTTGGACAAAGATGAGTTTGCAATATGATGAAAAGTTGAGAGGAATACATGTATTAATTCTCTCATAAACATGATCCTTAATCTCTTTCAATTTTATATGAATTGCATAATGGCTGCATCTTGTTAGAACAAGCCCTCTACACAGTTTAATGTTAGAATACATCCCATACAGTTGCAAAGTCACAAAACTAAGCAGGTCTTCTCAAAGATTATGTTGAAGAATACAAGGGGTATCATTGAAAATAACTAATTTGAAATTAATTATAGCAAAGCTTTCAGAATTTGTATATGCCTTTCAATTAAACATTTAAAATCATCCAAATAAAGACTAAACTTTTCTAAACTTTTTTTCTCCTTTCCATTATATATCAAACAAGCCATGTTGGCATTTGAACTCTCTGGATTGTTTACAGTAAATGTTACTGATCGAGTTAGAGTTATCATTGCCAATATATGGAACAAATTCTTCAACATGCTCTGAAGGACCAAATCATTTTAAAGATTGAACGTTTTAATCTACCCTTGTGATTTTTTTCTTTATAAAAATATGATGAAAAAAACTGTTTTTTCTAAACAGTCCTACTGTGGAATAGTTTTTGTGTCATTTACCAATGGTGAAATAGTCATCAAACTATTCTGTTTCTCTCACTTTTCATTTCGGAACTCCTCTGGTTTTATCCAGATTGTTAACACAAGTAAAGTCCGCTTGGGTATAATACAACATCTATTTACTGACTATTTGGACAATAGCCAGTTTATCATCACCCTAGATTGCAACTATTTCTTTGTCGCGCCTCAGGAAATATTTGCTGTCTTGGGGGATGATTTAAGGAATCACTGTCTAGTTAGTATAGTATGCCAGGGACATCAACGATAGTGGGAAACATGGGATAATTTATGCATAACGGGCCCATAATGCAAATTATCCCATGTTTCCGGGTTCCCACTATTGTTGATGTCCCTGGCATACTATACTTAGTCTAACTAGACAGTGATTCCTTATATTTGCATTTCATTGTGAAATAAAATTGTAGATTTAGATTATAAAAATGTAGACATAGATTTAAATTACACGTGGACTCCTATGGCAATTTCAATAGTCCTCCGCCACTGATGTCAAACACAAAGGCAGCCGCACAAGATTTACATGCATATTTGGCCTCCTTAGCGTCAGACAGTCAGAGACAGATGCGCACAAGAATTGCATGCATATTAGGCCTCCCTAGCTCCTGACCTATCAACCTGCCTAATTTACATTCCGGTAGAATTATCCAGAAATCAACTCCTCTAACTTTCAAAGAGTTATCACAGAGAAAAAAATTTAGAAATGGAAATATAAACTTCCTAATGCTATTGTCCTCAGAGCCAGTAAATAGGTGTATACTATTATATGTAGAGTCAGAGTGATTTTTGAAGATGACTACGACCAAAACATTTGCCAGACTGAGACGCTCTGTCAGAGAGTGGTGAACAAAGTTTTGTGCACATACATCAACATGGAAAGCAACATATTGCAAACTCTTCCATTGTCATTTACCATTATAAAGTAAAAGACATTAGGTTCAAATTAAAAAAGGCAGTTCCGTTTTTTTTATGTTTTAGCAATTTAAGGTAATAAACTATATTTACCATTATATATCTAAAAATATGTATAATAGGTCCCTGGTTTCATTTTACCTGCAGAATAACTTCGACGTCATAGCAGTTGCCTTTGCTTTTCTGATGCCCCTGGAATCTGGATCCGTTATACAGGAGGGTGGTGGTAACACCAGGCTGCTTGGAATTAGCCGGAGGTGGGGGATCAAGCTTTACCGGCATATTTAAACAGTTTACCTCCAACTATGATCCTCTCCTCAAATCCGAAGCCATCCAACCGGAAGTCGGATAAATACAACAGTAAACATGATTGGACAAAAAGTTTAAGCTACAGCCAATGAAAAACGTTTTCAATTAACACGTTCGGAAAAGGTGTAAAGATGGCTGCGCCCATGAACACATGTAAATCATTTTATAAAATATTATCCAATTTTCACAAATCAAAGGCAAATAGATTCATTTTATTACGGAATTACAAATCTGGAGGTGAGATGGTATTTATAACTATTGTTGGAAATCATATTTCATAATATTTCATACTAGTACTACTAAGTTATCATAAGCATATTTCGGTAAAGGCTTTGTTTTGAATTCAAGATATGTAGTGATTGGGTAGGCAAAAGGTCAATGGGACTATGGCGCAACTGTCAACATTTTAAATACGCCATTTAGAAAATGAATGGGCCATCAATATAATCTGAGGGACCGTTTTTACAAATAACAAAATGACAAACAAATATAAAATAAAAAAGAAAACACATTTTTAAGTATAAAACGAATCTAATGTTTAACGTGCAATGCAGCAAATTTAAAGGAACCTGCAGAGAATATAATTTACCCTTATTTTGTGTTAAAGTATGTCAAAATTTGGATTGAGGGATGAGCACCACCGTACCCTACAAATGAATGTAGTTAAGTACCTAATCTAGGTGCTTCTTTAAACCGGAAGCAGTTTTTGACAGGCTTCCACCAGTGAGATTTGTTGTTTTAAATTGACTGCATTTAAAATGAAAGTAAAACAAGTAAGAAAGTTGTACATGTGTTGTACGCAAAATGTTTCCAAATAAGATCGCTAAAAAATTGAATGTGCAACTGGCACCGACATTGATTGATTTAATGAGCAATTTTTCACTTTAACGCGACTATGGTGCATGGTGCAAGCCCTTCCCAACCACTGAACATGTACCACTGGCACTGACATTGATTGATTTAATGAGCAATTTTTCACTTTAACGCGACTATGGTGCATGGTGCAAGCCCTTCCCAACCACTGAACATGTACCAAAGTTTTTTGTGCGTTTGCTGTTTAACTTTCTTCTCGAGAACTTTTCACTCATATGGAGATGCCAAAACTTCCTGGTGGAGGTGAGGGCAGCAAATTTAGACTTTTACTCGGTATTCAGGGCCATTTAGCAGTGAGGATTCTTTTCTAGCCAACTCCTCCTGCAACACAATACCTGTTTATATGGTCTTTTCCGAAGAACTCATTACTCCACATCCCACAGTTGGGATTTGAACCTCTGAAGATCATTTGACAACTACTTAATCATGTCCCTAGAGTCATTTTATGCTCTTACATAAACCACTGACTATGCCATGCGGGCAACACTTTTGCAAATAAAGCAAAGAAAAAGTAACATATTTATATATAACCTTGAAAGGAATTTTATATACATGTGTTTAAGAGTTAAAAACAGAGCCTACAAGGCAAGGTTTTTATTTGCCAGCAAAATCCTGAAACTGTCAGTCTCAAGATTTTGTTGGCAAATAAAAACCAAAGGGGTATATTTTCATATGATTCCACCAACCAGGGTAAGGGAATAATTTCTATTCTGCTGTAGCAAATTCTTAAATATCTATGTAGATAAATTCAGAAGCTGGTTTTGTATGTCATTGTGTCTCGGGATGTCACAATAGAATGCTATGATATCCTCGTTTTTGAGTTTTTCATTTGACTCTTAAAGATACTGTAAACATACTTTTTCCATGGGGTCATAATTCCACAGAATCACTATTTCTGTTTAATCCATGGGTAGAAAATTACGCAGATTTTTTAGACTCTAACTATAAGCCTTATATGCGTTTTAAGTACAATAGGACAAATTTCCGTTGAAAATTTGTGACAGCATACATAGCGTAAATTAATACTACACGTAAAAAAATACTTCTACAGTAAGAAAAAGTATGATGTACAGTAAACGTATTACATTTGGCTGTGTATTCTTTTTAGTGCTTTTGGTGGAGTGAAACTTCCGCTAATTCAAGTGCAACGCTAATTGTCTTGCACATATACACATAAATAGGAACACTGAGAAATGTGCTAAATCAAATCTACGCTAACTTGTTCAAAAATCAATTTCCGCGAAATATCGTACACGCTAAATATAATACATTAACAGTAATTGGATCCAAATCTAAAATAAATTTTTCCCCACCAATTTTCATCACAATCATGAGATATTTCTGTCATTTTTCTAGTCATGCTAGTGAAGGCATCAAATTAGAGAAAAATATGTAAACACATCAATTATTTGTTCATGATGTTTGTGATTTATTGGAGATGTAAAGGAGAGGAGAAAAATGCAGCGGATTAGACCGGGATTCAAATCTGGGCCCCCTGAATCTCTGGTCAGGGGCTCTACCATCTGAGCTATCTGGCCGCCGTGATTGAACCATGCTAACCACCACATTTCTCCCTCCTTAAAGGTCTTTGACCCTCGAAAGATCCCAACCCAGGCTCATCCCAGGCAGGCCTATCACCTGTCAATTCCAGGGCATGGCATGGCACCAAATGTAACGGGAAGGAGAAAAATGCAGTGGAGTAGACCAGGATTCAAACCCAGTCCCCCTGAATCTCCGGTCAGGGGCTCTACCGACTGAGCTATCTGGCCACCAGCGATTGATACTGGCTGACAGCCACAGAGAATAATGGTCGCATCATCTCTTTAACTGTTGCAATAACTGTAGTAGAATTACATTTAAACAATCTACAATACTACCAAAGTTCATTCCGAAATTTTGTATAATTCCAGAGATTTGCTGAAATCCATTTCAAAATCTTAAGTAATATTTACTCATGCAGTCCAGTTTATTTGAATGTAGTGTCTAACTTATTAACTCTTCACAATTGTAATATTGTAATATTAAGGGAATAAAAATTAAAAAGAACAAAACACATGTACACATACTGGTAAGACATAATCCTTGTAATGTCGTAATATACTGATGTATAATTATAAAAGTGTTGTAATTTTGTTTTTATCTTTATATAAATCTTTATTATTGAAGGATTCTGTCATTTTATGTGTTTTTCTCAGTTTATTCTTTAAAATTTTATTGCAAAAATGTATAATGATTTAAATGATTTTTTTTTAGAATTGAAGAAATTCTTTAAGAATGCCACAATTGTACAGAATCAAGGTATCGAAAATCTATATAAATCAAATACTCAAATTTCATTTATAATACAATTTATTGAAAGGGTCCAATGTACATATTTTATGATTTTTTAACTGCCCTTATATATGAAAAATGAAGTAAACAAAACATATTTTATATACTCATCCAAGTTTTCATTTATCATGTTTATGTTAAGCTGAAATTATAAAATCAGAAAGATTTGTTCTCATTCTGTTTTAAAACTTTTTATTATTTTTTTTTAGGATGGTTTGAGGTAAATTTGGATCAAAGGAAATTACGCACCCCCTCAGGAAACCTATTTCAGGTCCCCAGTGAGCCCTTGGCCTTAGCAATCGCAACTGAATGGAACTCACAGAAAGACACAATCAAACGGCAATCCATGCACTTGGTAAAAAAAATATATGAGTAGTGTTTGTGAGAGAGAGCATTTCTCCACTTGATTGTGAAGGTTTTGATGAAATTTCATGCGAAGTTATGCTTATCCTTTCATTTCATTCAGATTAATTAAAATTAAATTTTTTGATCCAGTCATTGGCAACTTTCTTAATAGTCATCTACGTGAGCAAATAAAAGGATCTGATTTTAATCAGATGGAATACATGTACCAGGGTATATGTAATGAGCTCAAGGCTTTAGTTTTATGGTGTAGGACTCTCCTATGCATATCTTTAATAGTGGATCATTTCTACCTCTGAAATTGAGACAGGAAATATTGCTGCTGCACCTCAGATGGTTTGGGAGTTTCCTTTTGTTGTAGTTTGTTATCATTACAGACTACCCTTAGTAATACCGTACTGGACAACCCCATGCACAGATCACGGGAGGACATCATTAGAGGAGTACTTCACTTTCTAGAGACAGACACAATATTGTAAGTAAGAAGGCAGAAAATCTATGCTATTATCAAATCTTATTTTTGGAAATACAATGTGCAAGTACTAAATTATTTCAAGCAACTTAATCCTTTGATGGAACCAAGGTACTGGTATCTTATTCATCATCATAAACAAAAGTGTCAAGGCATTAATGCTAAAATTATTTTAAACCAGATACAGAACCACAGAACCCCCCGAGTTTTTAGAATTACAGACGAGGGAGTGGGATCCAGTAATGGAATGGCTGAGGGCCAGGTATTGTCTGTTGTCACTTAATAACTATTCTCATGAGACAACATGTATTTAAGATTGGTATTTGAGATATAGTGTTTAAGCCATAGAAGTTTATCTGTATATTAAAGACCCAAAATTTTTTGGTGGTTACATTTTATGCTTGATTAGATAAGTGGAAAAATTCATTCATTCATTGCAAGTCATTGGGGAACTGAGGAAAACAAACAGGAACAAATGGGGGGATATCATGATAATTTTTTCTGTTTTAAAATACTGTATTATGAATTACAGTGTTTGTGAAATGTTTTACTTGATTTTACCAGTTACCAGGTGGAGCTGGAGTCCACCACCTCATTGATGCCACCCGAGATACCACCCAACACTGTCAGTGTTATCTCACGGAAAGTCAACTCACTGAACGACTGGGCATTAGTAGGTCAGTATGTCACTGTTCAGTAACAAGTCTGGTATAACAAGTCTCGTATAAATAATGATTGTGCTTGTTACCTCTTTCAATGGTTTCATGTATTAACTTGTATATTGTGAAAACATTTGATATAAGTGTGAAGGGAAGGTCCATACAGATACAATTACAGAGATGATGAATATGTTGATTTTGACCAGAAAAAAAATTAAGTAATGTATTGATTTACCACTTTAAAATGTCTTGTTTGTTTTTATCACCAATGATTTTATTGATACCAGTGCAATTGATTCATTTTTCAGTAAGTTATAGATTTGATTTAGTGCTATCTGAATGTGGTAGATATAAACGTATAATAAACAAGACATTTAGTGATATACTTGATTTAACGGATTCTGCTTTTTGCCAAAATCGCTAAATAGAATACATCGGCAAATGTAGTTCGTTTACAGTATATTTTGCTGATGTATAAGTTATAATTTTCCACGCATTTGACATCTTGAGGTGTTGGATTGTCCTGGGTTAATGCGGCAAATGCTTTGCACCACAGTTATGTGTCAGAGGAAGTTCAGTCGTCCAAGCATAAAGTTCAATACATCTATCAATAGAAACACTGAAATGACATAAATATACCTGCCATGTTCTTAATTTTCTTATTTTTGTCCAGGATTTCAATATGGAGTGGAGAACCTTAAGTCTATCATACTTATGTTAGGGATAACAGATAAACAGTTAACAGTGGAGAAGGCGGTACAGCTCGCCAGACTGGAGACAGTCTACCAGGTAACTCGACATAAACAATACTCTTTTCTGGTAAATAAATTGTAATGCTGAACCAAATCTCTGATTCAAGTTTTCTTTATGTCCATCAGTCTGTATCATCTGTAAACTGTTCATATTTTTTATTTCGTCTCCTGGGCCAATATCAGCTAACCTTGCTACAAAGCATCCTTGGGTAAAGCTAATTCAGATTGACACAAATAATCCTTTTCAACAGGAGATAAATATGTAATTCAAAAATTGAGACATATAAAAATTTCCTCAGTAACCACTATTCCAGAGAATTCAAGGCACATAACCTTACCTGTCGAAGCTTCCTTACATATTCATCTGAAAAATTTACCTAACGTATTCAAATCTTAATTGAAAGCAAAACAGTTCCATGATTTACTGGGTAATTCAAGTTTGTTTAAGTAATAAGTTACAAAAGGGAGACAAAATTTTACAATAGATTAGAGGGAAAAGAAATCAATAAGAAGTTTTAATACATGTATGACTGCATACCGATCTACCAAAGAAAGTATGTTCAAACCATTTTCTCAGGGCTGGGGACTAAATAGAGGGGGCCACCAATCTGACATGGGAGTATAAAGTCCATTATTAAATAGATGACTCTTGGTATGTAAATTTCCCATGTAGGGTAAATTCATTTTCGATTAATTCATCAGTCATGGGGTGGAAGGGTAGAAATTTTACATATAGTTAGTTTCAATATACCATATTTTGTGGAAAAAATATTTTTGTTTGTTATTGCAAAATAAGGTCCAGAATGCACATACCGGGTACATACAAATAAGACCATTAATCTAATTTAAAATCTGGTAATAAATGTACTTACATCTCAAAGAAGACTAAGCTCCATCTACTTTACAATGGGAATTTGTGACTCTTAATTTGGCATGATCTTGACATTGAAGGAAATTTTACTTTGATTATTGCCGAGATCAAAGAAATGCCGTGGACATTATTCTCCAATAAATCACGAACATCATCACAAAATTATCAGATCAAAACACGTATCAAACCTGTGCAGTTGAAATGTACATTTGACTTAAGAATGACATACTTATTTAGACCACATTGATGTGTGCAAGTTAAACAATGTATATTGCAGAAAGTAGCTGATGAATGTAGGTTTTAAAAGCCAAGCTGGGCTGTTTCACAAACCTCCCTATGCCATATTTAAACTCTGTGATTTTAGTGATAATGTGGTAAAATAGGAAACTGATTTCGTTATAGTATATTCAAAATGATTAATTTAAATAAGCTTTAAACAGATTTATACCCGGTAATTAATAAAAGGCTCATTTTAATGCAGCGAAATCACACAAATCGTCTGCATTCTATTCACAGGTAAACAAATTTACACTCTGGTGTTAAATGGAACAGCGTTATCGCAGCATGATCGTATTTTAGACCTGCTAGCACATGTAGTAGAATAGAAATAAAGTCCTTGTTGTTGTGAATGTTGCAAAATAACCTCCTTGGTCTCGAAATGTTGTTTGAAATATAAAAGTCTCGGCTTTTATCTTTCAAACAACATTTCTCGACCTCGGAGGTTATTCTGCAACATTCACGGAAATGCGGACTTTATTTCTTAAGTATATTTTGTTATATTGCAGACAAAGACTTGGGGGAATGTGGAGTGGCATCACGACGCTGACATTTATCAGCTCCAGTGTCGCGTCGCTGCGGCGGCACTCTTTGTACACTGGTGTAGTAATGACATGGCAACGACACACAAAACAACTTACAGTGACCAAACATAGTGGGAATTTTTGTAATATTTATTCTAATAATAAAGATTTTATGGAATGTGATTAGGTCTTTTTCCTCATTGATCATCATTTGGCAAACACTTTTTTTACAACAATATTGACATAGGTATATTGCAACTTTTCTAAAATTTGTGAGTTGCTTCTTGTTTGTGGATGTGTGTGGGTTTTTTTTTTTTTGGGGGGGGGGGGGGGGGAAAAAAAGATTTTTGCAATGTGGAACATTTGCAAACACTTAAGCACAACAAAGGAAGAATTTGAATTCTGCTTTGTTATGATATAAAACCAAACATATTTTAAATTAACAATGTTTTACAACAATTAACAACAATTATCAATATTTTATTTATAACTTTTCCTTATCACAGATTTTCAGATATTAGTTAAGTACTTCACACATCTCTCATAAATACATGTACCTTTTGTACATAACAGTTATAGGCTACACTAAAGCACTGAATTTGATGTAGTCCTCTAGAACTTGTAAACAAAACTTGAAAGTCCAATATAGTCCAACAACATAATGCATGTAAAGTCCATAGATTGAAAAATACATTTCTTCCAATCACAAGGCATTTAAATCAGGCTGTCTGACTTGCTTTAGGATAAGTCTGTCTGGGAAGCTTTAGACACACACTGCCTAGTTCTGCATCACCTCGAGATTGTCCATTTCCTCCCGCAGGTGGTCAATAAGATTGTTAATTTCTGAGACGCGCATTCTGTTACGGGTGATCTCCTCATCCTGGTGAATCTGCTCGATCATGTTTTTGAGCCACTGGTTAATCCGAGTCACCATGTCATCCTCTTTATTGTCTATCTTCAGCAGGTGGACGTCGTGTGAGGAGGACACAGCATTGATGATTGTGTCTTTGTCCACAAGTAACTAAAATAATTAGACACAAGTAACTAAAATAGTCAGACAGTAACTAAAATAGTCAGGCAGTAACTTAAGTAATCAGACACAAGAAAAAATCAAAAGAGCTGCTTTTAAGGGGAAATAACTCTTGCATTTACCATAAAGAAATCTACAGAACATGAAAAATATTTGATTTGAATGAGGAGTATGAAATTACCATTTTTAAATCATCAGATATTTCATCATCCAGTTCATTTTTTATGACTTTTTCAAGAGTGACAATGGCAATTTCCATCATTTTTTCGTGGTGATTGTTTTCCAGGTCTCGGCATTGAGAAAGAAGAGCTTGGACATTCTCCACAAATGAGCCTACCATGTCCTGCATATTTCTCTCAAATTCTTTAATTACTTCCTGAAATTAATGCAATGTAAATTTATTGTATGCAATGTTTTGAGATTTTCATGTATTGTAAAACAACTTTTTTACACAAAATCTTTTTATTCACAAGTTGCCAATCGAAAACTACCATGTAATATTCAAGATTGAGATTTCTCATTTCATAAATCTTTTGAAGTCTTTTATGTAATATATGTGAAAATCTATTTTCTAGATTTCTCGTTTCATAAATCTTTTGAAGTCTTTTACTGTGCAGTAAAGATATGTGACCTGGGGCTGTTTGCAAATCCTTATTAATTTAAATATTTCTATTCACAGCCATAACACATTTTAATATTTCAGTTGTACACCCCTCAGTGAATTCCTTATTATGTGTTTGCAGTTGTGTGATTCCTACCTGCTTCTTCATCTCGGTGAACTCCTCGTTGTACTTCATCTGAATTTTATGTATATGTATTTACAGTTTATATAAGAGGATACCTACCTTCTTTTTCATCTCTGTGAACTCCTCGTACTTCATATGAATTTTATGTATATGTATTTACAGTTTATGTGCGTTGATGCTACTAATCCCATCAATTTTATGTTTGTCCCACAGCTCCTGTATTCTGTCTCACTTGTAATCAACTTGCTAACGCATCTGAATTCAAAACATCTTAGGGTCACATCACCCCAGTTCTGATTTCTTTGCATTGGTTGCCAGACATCTCCAGTGCACTAGGGATGTCACCGTGGACCTCGTTAATTTGTAGGATCATTGGAAAATTCAATCTCGTGCTCGAACCAAGTCATATGGAAATCGTCGTTTTAAACATAAAACAGTCTCCCATCAGTTATGAGACATGAACAAAATCTTAATATTTTAAAAAGTGTCACACTTTTTATCCTTGACATATAAATATTATTGAAAACTTTATGTTCCTTTCACATCTCTTTAACACATTTTAATATTTCAGTGCTCTATATGTGAGATGAAGCCCACCTTCTTCTTTATCTCGGTGAATTCCTTGTTGTACTTCATCTGGGGTTTATGTTTGTGTTTACAGTTTATGTTAACTTTTATGTGTTTGCAGTTTAATAATGTGAGGTGATTCCTACCTTCTTCTTCATCTCGGTGAACTCTTCGTTTATATAATGTACATAGTTGTGCCTATTTTCATGGGGGCTAATTTTTATGTTTTTATAATTGTTTTCATTACTTTTATAAATTTGTGTCTAATTTCAGTTCTTAATTATTATGTTTTAATTATTATGTGTTTGCGCTTTAGTTTTTTAATATATGTGATAATAATAATAATAATTTACAGTTTATGTGCGTTGATGCCTACCTTCTTCTTCATCTCGGTGAACTCCTCGATGTACTTCATCTGAATTTTATGTATATGTATTTACAGTTTATGTGCGTTGATGCCTACCTTCTTCTTCATCTCGGTGAACTCCTCATTGTACTTCATCTGAATTTTATGTATATGTATTTACAGTTTATATAAGAGGATACCTTCTTCTTCATCTCTGTGAACTCCTCATTGTACTTCATCCCGAGCCTCTTGTTGTCCTGCTTGGCCTCCTCCACACATTCCCAGAAACTCTTCACCTCCTCCTCCCGCTTCTCGTGCTCACCGATACCAAACTCAAAGATCTGCATACAGTACTGCATAAACTTCTCTTTGAAGGTACAACATGTTAAGGTCAATATGTATAAGATGTCTTTTAGATTTTACAAAAAGCGAGCAAGATTTACGCATAGAAGTTTATGTAGTGAATCTCTCAATTACTAGTATGCAAAAGTCTATAACAGATTAGTAAGTTTTCTCAATATATACATGAGAATAATAAAGGATATCTGTGGAGCTGATCCTCCAGGCCCGGCATCTCGTTCAGTTTCTGTCCCTCCTTGTCCTCAGCGTACATTTGTTCAAATAGATCTGGTCCATTCATCAGCTCTACATAGGCATTCTACAATCATACCAAAACATTAAAGATAAATGCATGCTTATTTTGCATGAAAAATCTTTGACTTAAGTACTATGCATTAATTAAGAGAAGTCAGCAGTCACCTCCCTGAACATTTACTGTGAGTCCTGCCTAATTATATTTCTCTATTCACAACCCTACCTTGTGTTTCTCCAGTTCCTGTAATCTTTTGACCTCCTCCTCTTTTTTCAGTTCTGCCTGTCTCTCATTGTGAAGCATCTCATCTCTGGAGACCTGGTATTTTTCTATTGCAGCATCCCTCTGAAAATAACATATTTATTTATTACAAGTTAATAAATTTATTTACAACTTTTCATTATCCTAATAATTACTGGTAATTAAGTTTATTTAAATGGATGTAATAAAAAAAATGTTTTTTCGTATAAAACTATAAGCCTGTTTTCTGCACATCTAGATTGAATGAATACATAATAGCGGTATATGTACCAGTAATGCAAATCACCATGTCTATATGAGAATAAGCTAGTATATTAACCCATTGTGTTTCATTTCTTACTGTAACTTTGTGTTTGGGATTGTATCATTTATACCAGTATCAGAGTTTGAAGAGCCCATTTTAAAAATATTCTACTTACTGACTGCTGATCAATAAGTCTGTAATCCAAAAATTCCAGATTTGACAAAAATGCTATCACATATTGTTTATATTCCTCTTGTTTACAGAAAGGGTTGTCTGATAAGTTTAATGTCTTCAGGTTTTTGAATCTTCTTAGGTACCTCAACTGAAAGAGAAATTCAAAAATCTGACATGAAAAATTGTATGACTATGTACATCTACGGTATTTGAAAAAATGAAGAAAATGGTAAATTTAATATCTGAAAAAAGGGCCAGTCCTTAGAAATGCTAGCTTATATGAAATTTCACAAGACTTCATTATCTTATACTTGCATGGAAATCAAAAAGTATATATTACACTGAGATGATGCAGGAGCCAGTCATACCAAGAATGATTCTTTATATCATACAGATTTCTATGTACAACCAATAGGCATCATGCATAGGTCTGTTTTATGATTTTATGATTAGCTTTAGCTGTAACCACTGCAGTGCTACTGCTTACATTTTCTAGATCTGTGAGTTGGTTTACTACTTTCGATCTGTGAGTTGGTTTACTACGTACATTTTCTAGATCTGTGAGTTGGTTTACTACGTACATTTTCTAGATCTGTGAGTTGGTTTACTACATACATTTTCTAGATCTGTGAGTTGGTTTACTACGTACATTTTCTAGATCTGTGAGTTGGTTTACTATGTACATTTTCTAGATCTGTGAGTTGGTTTACTACTTTCGATCTGTGAGTTGGTTTACTACATTTTCTACGTTCTACATTTTCTAGAACTGTGAGTTGGTTTACTACGTACATTTTCTAGATCTGTGAGTTGGTTTACTACATACGTTCTCTAGATCTGTGAGTTGGTTTACTACGTACATTTGCTAGATCTGTGAGTTGGTTTACTACATATGTTCTCTAGATCAGTGAGTTGGTTTATTACGTACATTTTCTAGATCTGTGAATTGGTTTACTACGTACGTTCTCTAGATCAGGAGTTGGTTTACTACGTACATTTTCTAGATCTGTGAGTTGCTTTACTACGTACGTTCTCTAGATCTGTGAGTTGGTTTACTACTTTCGATCTGTGAGTTGGTTTACTACGTACATTTTCTAGATCTGTGAGTTGGTTTACTACGTACATTTTCTAGATCTGTGAGTTGGTTTACTACGTACATTTTCTAGATCTGTGAGTTGGTTTACTACATACGTTCTCTAGATCAGTGAGTTGGTTTACTCCGTACATTTTCTAGATCATTGAGTTGGTTTACTACCTACATTCTCTAGATCTGTGAGTTGGTTTCTGCCCAGGGAGAGGACATGGAGGTTTAGGAGAGTGTCCATGTTGTCTATAGTGGAGATTCTGTTACTATACAGGGTTAGATCCTCCAGTTTGGTCAGGGTTTCCAGGTTATCTATACACTCTATGTTGTTGAAGGACAAGTCTGAAATACATCATAGTTATTGGTTATTATAACAGTGATCATGATATGTTACTTTCTGATGAAAAAAAAAGATATGATTATTGAAATTATTTATCTTTTAATTGTGCTGTTTATGCTTACACTTCATCTATTGAAACATAACAAACATATCGACTAATGCACTGTAAACTTACCTTAATAAACCAAACTAAGTTATATCTAATTCACTGTGAACTTAAACTTACCCAACCAAACTAAGTTGACCAAACTCTCTAATCCTTCAATTTTTTCAATAATATTATTGTCCAGCTGTAATTTGGTAAGCTTTGTGAATTCCCACAGGTTATCAATTTTCAAAATATCTGTAAAATTAATGAAAAGTCATAAAGAATTAATTAATAATAAATTCAATTCATTTTTCAAAGAACATGTTTTTATATAAACTTTTATAGGTTCTAATGATGGAAAAAGCTTACTTAGGAAATCCAGTCGCAGAGATAGAACATCACCAAAGTCGATTCCCTCTTGTTTTGCTATCTTCCCGGCTTCTTCTTTTGGTCCCTGTTCTTCTACTGCTTTCTTCAGCATTTCCTCATCTATAACAGCTGGCTCCACCGTATCATATAACCGACTCATTTTGATTCACTTTCTTTTCCGTTAAAAAGGAAATAAACTGCAATAAAAATCATCAACATTTACTGCATTGCAATGTTAAGGTCACTTACCTCCTCTAGCAACTGCCCTATCCAGGCTAGTATACATACGGTTCATATAGCCCAAAATACTACTTTATCCCAACTCTTAAAATGCTTTTTTTTTTCATCCTAAGCACATGTACCCATGTATGCATTATTAAGCCAATGACAGTTCTCCGCGCATAACGTTTCAACTTTCAGACGTGTAAATCCTTAAAGTCGTTCGAATTTCCTCATAACGTAGAGTTAAAATTCAAATTCTGCCGATCCTGCAGTTAAAACTAAGTGTAAAAAGAATCTGTAAAGTAACAAATTGCAAAAACTTACCCTTATAATATTGCTGCTTTCAAATATCAATTAAGGACTAAACAATTTCACTTAAAAGTTGCCGACACTATGTTGACAGCTTTTGATTTCTAATTGATTTAAACAAATTCAAATGCTGACAAATAAAATCAATTTTTTTGAAGAGCGGTATGTAAGTACATTCCGCACAAGACATTCAATTAATTTAAATATCAACAATATCCTTTTTTTAAATACTTTTTCTGCGGGCACTGTGCATTTCAAAAAGAAAATGTGTACAGTTGTTATGGTTATTTTCAACATCCGGTATTTGACTTCCGGGAGAAAATGATGAACTCGGATGAAATTGAGTTATTTGTTGTGAATATCTGTTTTCATGAATTGATGCCATCCTGGCTTAAATTTCCCTTCTATTTGTTAAAATTTTTAATTCTATTTTACATTCGATATTCATGTTATTACAATTTGGGAGGTTATTTTAAAAGTAATATTTTTAGCTCGCCTGAGTCGAAGGCTCAGGTTGTATGTCGCTAGTTATTGTCGCTGTAAACTTTCTCCTTCTCCAAAACGACTAAGCCAGTTTCAACCAAATATGGTAGAGTATCCATAGATGAAACGGACTGGTTAAATCTTTTTTAGTTGCAGGGTTATTTCCTTTTTTCAAAAAGAGTTAATAAAGAAATAGTGAAAATAGGGTACTTTGGCTTTCCCATCAAAACCACTGGCCTGACAGGGCCACATAAACACTACCAAAGATGAAATTTATATTACATGTATTTAATGGGGTCACTTTAGGGGCTATCAAATTTTTACAAAAGAATATAAAGGGAATTTAAACATGTTAAAAAAAATCTTTTCAAGAACAGGAAAATTTTGATTAATTATATTAAAGCTTAGCATTCTCGAATTTTGCAGATTCAATATTGTTCAAATCGTGACTCCCAGGGCTAAGGAGGGACCACAACGGGGTATCATTAAGTGAGCTCATTGCTCACAATACCTCTATTTTCATTAGCAATACGGGTATTGTTGCGAATATAGTCACTGGCTGTTGTGTTGTTATTTTCAACTTTTTACCACAAGGCTTTGGCAATATATCTACTACAATATTCACACAAAAGCATTATCAGATATATGTTTTGAAGACTGTTTAAGTTTTGTTTAAATCATAAACCTACATTGAAAAAAAATTATGGAGTGATATAAATTTTTAAGCATCGAATCTTTCTGCAGCTATGGATTATTCAGCAATTTTTGCCGTTCGGCTATGTAGTATGCAGATTTACAGGAATATTTTAAATAATTATTTTTAATGAAAAAAATGTCAATATATCTTAGAATTTGAATGTTAAATACCCGGTATACCTGAAAATAATTATGGCAAATATTTATTGGGAATTTTGTTATTGGTTGAGATCTAACTTTGAACATGATATATTCTTCTATGGTTGTCCTGATCATGGGGTCAATTAAAATATTCAAATATTTGAAACAGTACATGCACCTGTAAATAGTAGCAACAGGACATGTCTTATTTTAAAACACCATTGTATATGTGTAAGTTTTCTTGGTGTTAGGAAAACTGTACACTACTTATTCACATTATTTTTTTCTTCTTTCTTTTGTCCTTTTCCAATGCCAGTTTAATTAAAATTATATCACAGTGACCCTGAATCACCTGTCCTTGATTGGCATGAAAATAAATAATCCGACTCGTAAAAAAAATAATACCCCCCCCCCCGGAATCAAATTGTATATATATTCAAATTTATGAAACCACCTTTTCGGGTGCTCCTTATACATAGGAGGGAACTCCATAACTGAACTGAACTGATTGCCATCCCAATTTTTCCCTGTCTAAGGAACCTATTTCTGAGCATTTTCCAGTGGATCCAAGTTTTTTTTCGAATCATGATCTTCATAGAATAGGACATATTTACAATATGTAATCTATGTTTTACAGTATTCTATGTTTTACAATGGATCATTGATTAGTAACTCGGGTGAGCTTTGTGACCCGCGGGTCTTTTGTTTTTCATTTTCTGAGATTCATCTGTCAATAACTTTTCGTTTAGCCAGTGTTTTGATATATAAAAATTACGGGATATATCACCTGGATTAATGTCTATACTAGTGTGATAAATTAAAAAATTTATTCATCAATCGATGTGCAGTTCTGGCCTTCGTGGTAAATATACCTACACCATGGGAAGATCACAAGCGTCTGACTCACCAAGAAGTGGGTCAATGTAAGGGTGTGACGTCATATTGTTATTTACCTGAAAATGGCTGCTCTCTTCGGACATGGAAATCCTCTTGCGACGCAAGTTGGACAGTTGATTGGTAGGCGTGTAGGGATGTCAACATCTCATAATTTTTGAAGCATGTATTTTAATTTTGTCGTATATCTGAGGATATGCAAGGAGTAAACCTACTCAAACAAAATTAGAGACACAGAATGGCCAGATAAAATCCTGGAAAGTCAGTGGATGCAATGCCATTGATTGATTGATTGTTAACCCGGAATCACTCGGAATAATTTTCCCTAGTAATAAATATATAATCCGAGACAGGTATATTTTTATAAGTATGAAATTGAAAGTTACACCCATCGGTAACCCCAATATAATGATAGATACGTAGATACATCAGCTGGGCTGACAGGTTCTCACAGTGGACAGTCTATGCCCTTCAACCTCCCGTTGATTACTCATTATATTGTGTCATTGTTTGACCAACAAGGGGACCAATGCATGCCACAAAATACACCTTTCTACATCTCTATATTAGATCTTGTTAAAACAAATTAGATGGATGAAAGTTCCAAGCACTGTGTAGACATGCAGATTTTTTTATTACCCTTTTGGAAGTTTACATGAATAGATTATTATTGTTTAGAAGCATAACATGTTTTCTTGAAGATGAAAATAAATATTTTACATATATTGATTGAGTTCGAGAGCAACATGCGTTTTGTCGGACCCAAGAACCAAACTGTTTGCTTGAGACTGTTAGGCTGAAGGCAGACAGTTTGGTTCGAGGGTCGGCAAAATACATTTTGCCCAAAAACACAGTCAATAAATGTTTTTTTTAATACTTTTTGTTTTAAATCTTTTTTGACATGCCATGTATCTTATACTGTCTTTCGAGATATTAAATACATGTATTAGGTCCATCACTGTTAAACACCAACCAATACAAATGAGATAAGCTACACCCATTGTATGACATGAGTGGTCCAGCATCTCCTTGACAGGTCCAACATCTTATTTAGCAGTCAAACACCAATTTTTTTTATGCCCGCTCAGTAAAATATTAGAAATGTTAGACTTATTATTGTATAGATTTGTATAGGATTAGGATCAAATTTTTAAAGGTATGACAATATAATTTGTTAATTTTTTTTTGGTCTTTTTTTAATAATTGCTCCCAACTTCTTTGGCAGCTGCATTTTCATATGGATTTTAACAGTACAAATGTTTTTGTTTCTTTTTATGGTAATTTTCTTCATTCGGTTTTCAATTGAAATCCTCCCTCTGATCATATACACATAGGATTTTAGTGGTAATTTTCTTCATTTTTTACGGTTCTCCTCACCTATGATATTAATGTACAAGTATTTCAGTGGTAAGCATGTTATATGCAGATATTTTGTTTTAATTTTGTTCAGAGAGAGGCACAGATGGATCACAAGCCTCAGAAAACTGGATGGTTTTGATGGAAGTTTGTGATATCATCAATGAAACAGATGAAGGGTGAGCCCTTAGAACATGCTCAACTGTACACTCTTTTATTTTGAAATAGCCATACACATAATTTTTTGTGCAGTTTGTGAAGATGTTTAATGTCAAAGAAAAGTACATGTGTAATTATTTTTTGAAAAAGAAAAGTTCATTGATTAAACATTCATTAAATTTCTCTCAAATAAGATTGTCAAATCATCATAATAACCAGAAACAGTATGCTAAAGTTGTTTGTAAATTATGTTGTAATTAACATATGAGTTTTGTGTTCTTTATTCAGTCCTAAGGATGCGGCTCGGGCAATCAGAAAAAGGTTATCACAGAACATGGGGAAAAACCACACAGCGGTCATGTATACACTAACAGTAAGTAAATCATGCTTATTATACAGCTTTATAATTATTCTATACAACGCATTATCTGATTGGTTGTAGATTATCAAGTGACAAGGCCATAAAACTTCATATTTCCCTGTTGTTGGCACGCTTTTCATCAACGTCTTTGTATATATAGTGCATTTCCCGCAATAATTATCGTTCATTGAATGAAAACTTCCAAGAGCAGTAGACATCACAATAGCCTGGTTCACGCCGCAAAATTGCTGATTGTAATTGTAAGAAATACTACATGTACGTATATTCCCATTGGGCAAAGCCCTCTGAAATTATAAGTTTTCTTGGCTAAATAAATCTTCATAATTTCCTTACAATCATGCATTAAATGTATATTATTAATTAACTTTGATGGCTAAATACACTGCACCTCATACAACAATAGATGGGTTACATGATTTCAATCTTTCAGTGCCTGGAAACGTGTGTAAAGAACTGTGGCAGAAGATTTCACCTCCAGGTGGCAACCAAAGACTTCCTGTCCGACCTGGTCAAGGTCATCGGTCCAAAGTACGACCCCCCACAGGCAGTTCAGGAGAAAGTTCTCAGTCTTATTCAGGTAAATTTACGAAAAACAATCTTGAGGAATATTTTTATTGATTTATTTTTTTGTTTGCAGAGTAGAATCATTTCAGACACTACTGTTTGTGTGTCAGTGCTCACACCATTTATCTTTTGAATTAAAAAGTATAAAATGAAATTTCATTTTAACTTATAAAGTTTGTCACAAGATACTTTTTTTTTAATTCTGGGGTTAACCATAGTGGACCCAGACATTATCTTTAACTTTTCTATGAATAATATTTTATTCTTTAAAATAACATCTTATCTGTTGAGCCAAGAGGTATAAAGCTATGAGTTTTGAGAGCATTGATCTAAAGCATACTCTCAATAATTGTTCTAACTTTGGAATTGTGGAATGTTAAGCTTAAGTTGCAGCAGATAAATAATTGGACATCAAGATCTCTAAAAAGTACTCTTATACCATGCTTCAGACTTTGACCTTGACCTTTAACCTTTTTTTCACTCAGACATGGGCAGATGCCTTCAGGGGGACACCAGAGCTAAAGGAGATAGACAAAGTTTACCAGGATCTGAAGGCAAAGGGGATAGAGTTTCCCATGACAGATCTGGACCACATGGCCCCTATCCATACACCAGCCAGGGTAGGCTACTCTTACTCAAATCACTGTGTGACTGATTTAGTAAAAGAATACTGAATAACAATAAACACGAAAGTTATTTCCTGGAATTTAATGATCTGTTTTTTCTGTATATATTGTAAAGTAGGGTTTTTAGAGTTATTTTACTAGATTGTGTTACTAGTATATTATAAGGATATTGATGCTATGTAACAGATCATATTACATACATGTAATAGAGAATGTAGAGTAATATCCCTGGATTGCATTAACTGATAATGTTTTAGTATATGAAATTATTTCCCTGAACAGTATTATATTGTTGGGTTTATAGAGATGTTTCCCAGATTGTATTATATTATTATATTATTATATTTACAGAGCACATCAGAGGTGGACCCAGGATTAAGTCGATTAAGACCGTCAACTAGAGCTGTGAGTAGTCATTTTTGTTTAGCTGTAAAGTTTGGGTAATATTCATGACAGAATTTATATACATTTATTATAAATGGCGAAACCAAGGTGAAAATTCTGCTGATTCACAATTTCTGTTCAACCCATGGGTAGAAAAGTAATGCAGATTTCTTTGACTGCCATTGTATGTCTTTAATATTCTTTAAGAATGCTGTGTCAAATTTCAGGAAAAACATATAGTGCTAATGAATCTCAATCTGAAATAGTACATCTTCGGTATTCTAAAGTTTTCATGCAGATGTTACAAACAGGCACCCTGAGCAGAGTTTCAAAATCTATTAGTACATAAACTAGCTGAAATCATGATTGTGCCATAAAAAAAAAATTGAGAAAAATTTTATTAGTACATTTTAGTGTTATTGTTTTTAATCAAAAGAGTAATTTAATATTGTCCAAAGTCCATTAATAAAAGCCTTTTTGATTGTTTAGTGGACTTTTGCGAAGACACTGACTTTTACAGTTGACAGTTTACTTCATCATTTAAACCTATGTCATGTATGGAGATACAGAATTGATAATGAATAAGAAAACCTTTCAAGTGGTCATAGGTTTGGTGTTAGGGGCACTAGCATGTGAAGGGCGGTATTGGCGGGTAGGTTGATTGTAGAATTCTTAGTGGGCAACATGCATGCGCTTTATTTCAGTCCGTTATTTTTGTGTAATTAAATGTTGAGCTAAATATTTTTATTGCAAAAGAGCTTAAATACATGTATATTGTCAAAGTGTAAAAGTAAGCCGTCGACTATAAAAGTCAACGCTTTTCGCAAAAGTCCAGTAAGAGGAGATCAATAATGCCTTTTTATATGTAAAGCAGAAGACATGCCACTCTTTTCAATCTCAATGCGAAAAAAAAGTAGATTGGTGTCTAGAAAACTGAAAATGCTGTCTGCTTTCAAATTCATATTTTATTTAAAGGGGTAGCATGCCCTTGGACCTTACCAGCTGGTTGACATTGGGAATGGTGCCATTTTATATTGGTACTAGGTCTGATATTATAACATGTAATATAATTTTTGTCTGAGAAAAGGATATGATTTTATTACATATAATACACTATGGCTGAGAAAAGGATCTAATATAATTATATATTGCAATTTATGTCTGAAAATTGGATCTTATATCATTACATGTAATACAATCTGTGTCTGCAAAATGGGACCTTGACCATAAATCATTACATGTAATACAATTTGATCTGAAAAATGGGTTCTAATATCATTACAAGTAATACGATTTCAGTTGTAATTTGATATTTCAGCTTGTGGCATCTCTGTCAGTGGCTATTTCAGAGTATTTTGAGTCAAAAAATGTTACTGAGCTTGAGCATAACATTTCCAAATGTCCAAAGATGAGCTTTATCTCTTATAATTCCTAATTAGGAAATCCAAAATTCTAAACTTAGTAAAGTAGTAAAATGTAAAAAGTTGATTTGCTGGAAAACCTATGGAAGAGAATTAATAGAAAGCTTATTCAACATGTTCAATTATGGTCTTACATGTGTATTTTGAAAATTGACATTTGATTAAACATTTTACAGAGCAAATATGTAGTCGCCACAAACCCAGTAGATAAGGTCTGAACCTCTATTGTGCTTTGTATTATAATTTGTTGTTTGTTTAACCAACTGTTCATCCTCAAAGAGGAAAGTTTACTCAGAATTATTAAAGAAATATGTATACGTTTCTAGCTTTGTTGCCTATAGGCATGGAAGGCTTGTGCTACTGTATTGTTCCCATTGTATGTGTCTTAAAGATTTTTTTAAACTGCTTTTTTCTCCAATAATTTCTCCAATAAAACATGGTACATATAAAAAAAAATTACACGAAGAGACCAAATTTTCTTGATTTATTTATTTTGAAACCCAGCTTGAAAATCAATTATGTTGTGTGGGTTTTTATATAGAGATAGGGTTGTTCATTTCTTCATTTGTATGTCCAAGCATGTACATCTGTAACACTTCTATTTATGTCCTGATCAGAGAAATATTTGGGGTTTTCCTAAGGGAAAAAATGGTTTTTGCAGTTTAACTCATATTGGAGCAGGTCTATAGTTACTCAGGTCAGCATTGATGCCAATGGACCTTCTGTTCTTCAAATTATGGACCTTAGATTTGGGTGGGGTTAAAACTGGGGATCATATTCAACAAAATGCACATATACAGTTAATTCTCGATAAACTGCCACCTTTTGTAATTTAGAAATCATGGCGGTATAACGAATTTGGCGATGAATTGAATTTTCCATCTTGCAGGAAATAAGACGTAGAGTTATCGTTTTTAGAAATATCATTTAGTGTTTCTATTCTTATTATTACATGTACATGTATATATAAACATATTTCTAAATTTGAAAATACTTCAAGTAATTTTTTTTATGCACAATTTTGGCTAAAACAAAATATTCAGTTATGAAATATTAAAAAATAAAGACAAGTACATGTGTATGCATGTAAATCTGCACGTCTGATATTGAAAAAAGAATGCTGGGTCGATCGTCGTACGTGATATATTGCCTATAGTACGAAAAATGAGTTCTTGAATAAATTCATTGTTTATGACATCATTGTTAATGAAACGTTCACAATTTCTGACTAATTTTAAAGCAAACTTTGCATTGTTTTTAAAAGCAGAGATCATCAAAGTAATATTGTTATCGGCGTACTTTACAACGACCTCTTTCGTGGCGAAGCCTTGACTAAATGATTTTATTAAACAGAAATCAAAATTATTCTAACAGTTCATGTTAAAATTATTGTTTACTTAATTACATGTACCTTGACTGGCTTTGCATGCTTTATAACAGGGATAGCGTCAACCAATTAGTCGCGCTTCACTGACCACATGCACCTGTGGCGGTATTATCGAGATGATTGACACATAAAAATGGACGTTTGTTGTGAAAACAGGGTGGCGGATGGCGGTATGCGAATTTGGCGTTATAAAGAGAATTTTATATAGCAGGAAAAACGTTCTTGGTAAATCATGGCGGTATTGCGAAAATGGCAATGAATCAAATGGCGATAATTCGAGAATTGTTTGTTGAAGACGAAAAACATTTTGTTCTTTATTGTCCAAAGTATGATCAATATAGATGCAATTATAATGATATATTTAATGTAAACACATATACTAGTGATAACCCCATTAGAAAAATTGTCAATCCTACAAATATTTCAACTGCTAGAAGGATATGTTGTTTCTTGAAAAAGTGCTTTGACATCAGAAAAGAAAGTCAAAAATGAATATTAATATTGAGAAATACACAATTTTGTTCACCTCATATTTCTCACTTTATCTATGCTTGTATTAATTGTGTTAATTTATGTTATGTTATTCATGTTCATGACTGTATGCCGACATGGTAATTGTCAATAAAGTGAATTGAATTGTATATGGTTAAAATACAAATCTAGATTTTGAGCTAAGCAATAGATCTCCAATGCTATATATAAATATTTTATAATTAGATAATTATCAATGAGTAAAAAGTCTGGTTTTGTGAAGCCTATGCTTGGAGACTAAGGTTATTTTTAGTATTGGTCACAAGGTGAGGACTTGTTACGAGTTGACTGTTTACCTGTGACAGCTACCTGCTGTATATTTCAGCCTCCATCAAAATATTGATTATTCCTGTCTAACACTCACAGATATACAGCTAACTGGTCATTTGTTTTGTGCTGGAATTCTCTACGGAATATTTATTTGTCTAATACAAAATGGTAAACTGGAATGTTAGATCAGAGAAAATCTTACTGTTTGGTTGACAGTGGGTCATTTATACTGCTTCTGTATCATTCTTATCAATGTCTGTATATCATACCTGTAACAATGTTGTTCTTAAGAAAGAAGTACACTGTTCAGTGAATGTCTTATAGAATCATTTCCTTGTAATATCTATTGTGAAGCTTAATTGTTGGTTCTTAATCATATGTTGATGATCAGAAAAAGAAACTGGTCAGTTTTAAAAATTGGCAGTGTCTTGATAAGCTATCAAGCCATGTATTTTGTATTGCTTTGTGTTTCATTTAAAAAAGGGTAATTTTTTGTTACATTTCATTTTTGACTGGTATTGTAACTTGCTTCTCAGAGACTCAAACAAATCTTTAATAACTGTGTGGTCTATTTTAGCCCCAGCAGGCTCCAGTGTCCCCTCCCACCCCCCAAGCCCCTACAGGTCCCATCAACCCCTCAGCGGAGCAGATGACCAAGTTAAAAACGGAGTTAAACGTCGTCCAAGGTAACCTCCGCGTAATGAGTGAGATGTTGATGGAACTGTCTCCTTCTAACATTGACCCCTCAGACCTAGAGCTCCTACAGGAACTCAACAGGACAAACAGGCAGATGCAGCAGCGATTGGTGGAATTAATAGACAAAATAGCCAATGAGGAGGCTACAAGTAAGTCACATGACTTTTTCTATGTATGTTAACTAATGACATCTGTTCTTCTGTCTCGCTATCTAGGAGAAATAATACTGTATACAGGGAAATTTTTGTCCTCGTTTTATTTTCGACCCCTTTGCCCCAATAACAGTTGTGTTATAATCAATGAGTTTGTAAACGGGTGAATTTAGAGAAGACAGTATATTTTCTTCAATAGAACTGTGACTGGGCGAATTTAAAATGGGGCAAAATTGTTCACAAGTGGAAAATGGTGAAAATAACAGAGGGCAAAAATAACCCGGTATACTGTACTCCTTAAAAAAATACTTTTTACATCCAATCTCCTTGAAATTTCAAGGTGATATTTATATGAAGTGACTAGTTGAATGACTTAAAGTTCATTTAAAATTTCAAGGTCATTCAAGAAGATACTTAGTCAATAGGTGAAGGGTTGGGAACATGTTGCTTAAACTCAATAAGATTTAGATATTTATATCTGTACAGTTGGTTGTGTTCTCTTGGAGTGGAATCAGAGATGAAACCTTAAAGTGTGTGGATTTTCTTGCTATGAATTTTTTTTTAGTTATTTTAGAATGTTTAAAAGGGTTGGATATTTTATATATGTATGCCCACTTTCGAAGAAGGGAGGGCACATTGCTTTGCCGCTGTCTGTTGGTCTGTCAGTCTGTAGGTACACCATCAGTTTATCTTCATTTTGCAGAGATTGCACATATTATTGAAATGAAATTTGGTATCCTGATTTTTCATAAGAATATCTAGGTTTTGGGTACGATCAAGCCATTCTGGACAGAATTATGCCCCTTGGACTTTAAAAAATTCCAATTATTTGGGAAGGGGGGCATACTGTAAAATCACATATTTTCGTGGGGTCAAATTTTTGTGGTTTGAGTAAAAACTCTTGGTTCGTGGGGATTTGAATTTGTGGATGAAGAATGGTTGAGTAGTAATGTATGTATCATTTTACATTTTGTGGTGGACATAAATTCGTGGGTCTCTTCATACCTCGAAAACAACAAAAATTAAACCCCCACAAAATTTGTGATTTCACAGTAAGTGTTTTACAAACATCTCTTGTGTACAAAAAGTTACAAAGACCTAGATTTGGAGTGATTTTTTCAATTTTTTTGTTTTGTTTTTTGTTTCAAGTAAATTTTAGATTATGTGAAACAACTTAAGAATGACTTTGGATGTGTGTCCATACATGTATCTGTGCTATAGGTTTTGTCTAATCAGGTGTGTGATGGGTCCTTGTTATTAAATGGCATCTTCTCTTTTCTAAGAATAATTATTTTTCCAAAATGAAAGCATGCTATTCAGATTTGACCATAATATATAAACAAAAAATCATAAAAGACTCTGGCTCTCTTTAATGTGGGGTCTTGCAAGCTAGAAAGGTTCTTTTTGTCATTTGTCATTTGTATTCGTCAAGTAAATAAATATCATGGAGTAATTTGTTTCCCTTATTTTTTTTCATAGATGAGCTTTTACGCATTAATGATGACATGAACAATGTCTTTCTGAGATATGAGAGGTTTGAGCGATATAGAACGGGACAATCCGGGCAGCAGAGCTCCCAGCCTTCAGAACCCTTACCCTCCGAAAGTGTGTCACCACCCTCATACGAACAGGTCAGTATAACATACCATCATATGAACAGGTCAGTGTAATGTCTTAGAGTGTGTCACCACCCTCCTACGAACAGGTACTAGTAAGTAAAACTTCCCAAAGGTTTACAGATATATACCACCCTCTGAAAGTGTGTCACCACCCTCATATGAACAGGTTATCATGACATTTTAAAGGTGTACAGATACACCACCCTCTATAAGTGAGACACCACCATTATACAAACAAGTCAGTATAATGTATAAGGTCCTAAAGGATTACAGATACACCATCCTCTGGTGAAAGTGTATCAGGTCAGAATTCATTCATAAAAGTGTAAAATATACTTCTTACAAAAGTTTTCACCTCCCTTTCAGTATATTTTGAATATATTCAAGCTTGAGCATGCCCTTGCTAGTGATCTTTCAATGCATCATGACCAGTCACAAGAAGTTATTTCAAAGGACAGTAGGACAGTGCTGTGACAGAAAGACCTTGATGTTAAGGTTGCAATGTGAAAAGGAAGGGAATTTGTATTTTTATACGCCCGTCTTAAGACGGGACGTATTATGTTATAGGCTTCATGTCCGTCCGTCCGTCCGTCTGTCCGTCTGTCCATTCGTGTCCGGCTCATAACTTCAATACTATTAGGCCTAGGATTATCAAACTTTGTCAACTGATACTTCTTGGGTAGACGGTGTGTCGCGCACCAAAAGTAGGTCGCTCTGACCTTTAATAAAGATGCTATGGCCAAATATGGAAAAATCCTGTCCGGCTCATAACTAGAAAACTATTAGACCTAGAGCTATCAAACTTGGCAAAAGTATACATCTTAGGTAGAAGGTGTGTCGCGACCTATTTCAAGGTCACTGTGACCTTTAATTTTAGTGAAATTTTTTAAAAATTTAAGTTTTTTAAATTTTAAATTTCATAATCCTAAAAATGTAAAAAATAGAGTTGTATCCTTATTAAAAAGTATTAAATCAAGTAAAAACTTATTTTTTCATCATATACTTTCTGCAATCTTAAACAAATTTCAGTGTTTAATGAGAGGAATTCAGTTTGTCCCATGGGCATAATTATCAAGCACTGGTTAGGAAGAATTTTGATAGCAGAAAGTTGCATGTCAAATTAGAGAGAAATTAATGGGTTTAGTGTGAGGAGGTTTGGTGTTATCCCTTGGGTATTGGGCAAATGGACAGCCAGCCTAGCTGTTAGATTAAAAATAGCTCTTGGTGGCTAGCTAAGTTTTAAAATGAATTTGATAAAAAGTAATTAAAACTTATTTGATATTGCATAATAAACTAATAATCTGATATTATATGATATTAATTAATTAAAAACTAATTTTATGGGGTGGGGTTGAATCAGCATGCCTACTTGACCATATGAATTAAATATAAAACCTGTCTAGCATTAAATCTAAAAAGAAATCATGGAGTATTTTATATGTTTTAAAAGTGTTTTAGGATAAAAAGTGCAGATCCATTAATATTTAGGGAGTAATGAGTAGAAAAGCATCCAGTCAAAGATTAATTAATGAGTTCAATGTAGGAAGGCTATCTGATCAAGCGCTGCCTTATCTGTCTTTGGGGATTAGACAGAAGAAGTGCTGGTGATAGCAAATGTCATTTGATGGCCAGCCTTTCTTTTCAAAATTAATTTGACATAGATTAAGTTGTTAAGACTAATTTGATATTGTTTATTAGGATGGCCGGCATTTGAAACACAAACAGTACAGAAATCTGTCAGTTATGTAATATTTGTTTTAATTATGTCTACAGCACAGGGGATGGATAAAGAAATATTTTTTTTTAAAAATGGAAAAATCATGGAAATCTTAGAATCAAGGTTGAAGTGTCATTTTCTTGCAGTCTAAACTGTTAAAGATAATTGTGTAATATTTTGACGGGGGTATCATGCTGTGGCGTGGCACTTTATTGTTAACTAACAAACATCTCGATGTGTGTTATTTTCAGGCTTCGTCCCCTGCACCCGTTCCCTCACAGCCTGCCCCTGCTGTAGGGAATCTCATCGACTTGGGGGATGACACCCATGTCCCCGCCCCACAGCTGGCCCCACAAGTTACATCACAGATGGCCAATCTGGGTAAGAAATCTTATACATTACTCTGCAGATGGAAAATGGTTAAATGATATCACCATATGCATTACATGACAATGATTGCCAAGACTTGTCTGTGTAGGGATTACAAAATGTTCATACAAAAAAAAATCAAATTTTATGGTACGATATTTATTGAAATTTTCTCTGTTTTCTTGGTAGATATTGGAAAAAATTCAGCGCCCGCTACGGGACACAATGACGATGATTTTGACATGTTTGCCCAGTCTCGGCAGTCCTTTGATACCAACAAACAGACAATGGGGTAAGTATGGACATCCAACATAACAATATCACTTATCAGTATTAAAGAGAGAATTCCATGTCTGTGAGTCAAGTGCTAAGCTGAGCATTGTCCAATGTTCAATAAGAATTTAACAGCTAACTGTTGTTGCAGCATTTTGTAAATATTTTACATTGTAGAAGTTACGCAAATCAGCAGGAGGACCAGTTTAATAAAGCTGGATTAGGAGCTGTGGTCAACTCCAAAAACAATGTAAGTCGGTTCTAATGAGTCAGAGTATGCTAAGAACGTTTATAGGTTTAGTGCCGTGATCAACAAATCTAAAGAATTGTAAAGCATATTTATGAAGAATGATTTGTCAAAATGCCTTTTCAGTTTACAACCGATGAGGAAGTCCTACAGGTAATAAGGAATGATTGTAGTGACGGAATTTAGCTGGTTCTCTGCTTCATTTCATTGCTTTACTGTAATTCTCATACTAGATAACATATGGTGTGCTGCATTCTGGGAATTCACTAATTTACATCAAGTTTGTCATCCTCTATAGTTAATCATCTTTTACTCAGCTGAGCTCAGACAAGCTTTTCTGATCAAACATTGTCTAGTGTTTTTCTGTTTGACTGTAAACTTTTCACATTTTCAACTTCTCTCAAGAACCATTGGACCAATTTTCATTCAAGAAGGCAAGTAGCATCCTTGTGTTAAGAAGATTCTAGGATTCAATATTAGAAATGAAGGACCAAGCCTTCTAGGAGAGATAGTCATGAAATAGCAAAAGTGGGTGGGATCATTAAAAGTCTTCTTTTCAAGTTCACCAGACCAAAAATGGGAAATTATATGAAACGTTTCTGAGGTAGTGTTGATTTTAATTTGGTCAAACCATGACCCCAAGAAAAAGGGTTGAGCTACAAAAGGGGCTCAAAAAGAAACCAGGTATTTTGATATTCTTTTCTTTGTTTTGATGCGTACTAATCACAGTTTTTTAATGCTATTTTCACAATTCTATGAAATAAGTATTTTTAGCTCACCTCAACGAAGTTGGGGGAGCTTATGTAATACCGTCGGCGTCGGCGTCCCGGGTTAAGGTTAAGTTTTTTTGAGCAGTTTTCTTTTTAAGTACTTCTATGTCCTATATTGATTAGACATGCATGGAAGATGTTTCTAGTGTGTTTCATTGTACCAGTCAAAGTTTCAGATGCTGCAATTTCAGCAAAGGAATGACCAGGTTAATGTTTTTGGAGCAGGTTAACATTTTTGGTGCAGTTTTTGGTGTGGGTTTCATTTCCAAGTAACTATAAGCCCTATGTTGACCAAACTTGCATGGATGATACATCTAAGGATGCATACTACCGGGCTTGCTTCGGATGCTGAATCTGACCTACATTTTCCGGTTGAGTGAACAGGTTAAAGTTTTTGGTGTAGGTTTCAATTCCAAGTAACTGTAAGCCCTATGTTGACCAAACTTGCATGGATGATACATCTAAGGATGCATACTACCGGGCTTGCTTCGGATGCTGAATCTGACCTACATTTTCCGGTTGAGTGAACAGGTTAAAGTTTTTGGTGCAGGTTTCATTTCCAAGTAACTATAAGCCCTATGTTGACCAAACTTGCATGGATGATACATCTAAGGATGCATACTACCGGGCTTGCTTCGGATGCTGAATCTGACCTACATTTTCCAGTTGAGTGAACAGGTTAAAGTTTTTGGTGTGGGTTTCATTTCCAAGTAACTATAAGCCCTATGTTGACCAAACTTGCATGGATGATACATCTAAGGATGCATACTACCTGGCTTGCTTCGGATGCTGAATCTGACCTACATTTTCCGGTTGAGTGAACAGGTTAAAGTTTTTGGTGTAGGTTTCATTTCCAAGTAACTATAAGCCCTATGTTGACCAAACTTGCATGGATGATACATCTAAGGATGCATACTACCGGGCTTGCTTCGGATGCTGAATCTGACCTACATTTTCCGGTTGAGTGAACAGGTTAAAGTTTTTGGTGCAGGTTTCATTTCCAAGTAACTATAAGCCCTATGTTGACCAAACTTGCATGGATGATACATCTAAGGATGCATACTACCGGGCTTGCTTCGGATGCTGAATCTGACTTACATTTTCCGGTTGAGCGAACAGGTTAAAGTTTTTGGTGTAGGTTTCATTTCCAAGTAACTATAAGCCCTATGTTGACCAAACTTGCATGGATGATACATCTAAGGATGCATACTACCGGGCTTGCTTCGGATGCTGAATCTGACCTACATTTTCCGGTTGAGTGAACAGGTTAAAGTTTTTGGTGCAGGTTTCATTTCCAAGTAACTATAAGCCCTATGTTGACCAAACTTGCATGGATGATACATCTAAGGATGCATACTACAGGGCTTGCTTTGGATGCTGAATCTGACCTACATTTTCCAGTTGAGTGAACAGGTTAAAGTTTTTGGTGCAGGTTTCATTTCCAAGTAACTATAAGCCCTATGTTGACCAAACTTGCATGGATAATACATCTAAGGATGCATACTACCGGGCTTGCTTCGGATGCTGAATCTGACCTACATTTTCCAGTTGAGCGAACAGGTTAATGTTTTTGGTGCAGGTTTCATTTGCAAGTAACTATAAGCCCTATGTTGACCAAACTTGCATGGATGATACATCTAAGGATGCACACTACCAGGCTTGCTTCGGATGCTGAATCTGACCTACATTTTCCGGTTGAGTGAATAGTTAAAAGTTTTTGGTGCAGGTTTCATTTCCAAGGAACTATGAGTTCTTTAATGACCAGTCTTGCATAGATGATACATCTAAGGATGCATACTTCCAGGCTTGCTTCGGATGCTGAATCTGACCTACTTTTTGTGGATGAGTGAAAATGTTAGTTTTGATGCATGTTTCATTTCCAATAAACTATGAGCCCTATAATGAGCAAACTTGCATGGATGATACATCTAAGGATGCACACTAATGGACTTGCTTCGGATGCTGAATTCGACATACATTTTTCAGATAATAGACGAGGTAAAAGTTATGGTTGCAGGTCTATTACCAAAAACTATAAGGCTTATACATTTATAACATTGTATAAACCAAACTTGCACAAATGCTGCATCAAGAGATGAAAACTCTCAAATTTGCTTCAGATGCTGGATTTTCATTACATTTTCATGAAGAAGAAGTAGTTTAAATTTTTTATGTAGGTCTATTTCAAAGTATCAGATCAAAATTGCTTTTAAAAATATTTTCATTTTTGGAATGTATACTTTTTGTTGGTTAATTGTGTGACTTTGCCTTACTTAAAGACAACATTCGTTGAGGTGAGCTCTGTAATCTCTGATTACCTATGTTTATATATTAAAGAAAAGTTGCCATCATGATCATGATGTTTTTTTCTCTCATTCTATTTTTAAAAGTTAACAGATATTTGTTTAACATGTTGTGAATTGTAGTCATTATAGACAAAATCACACTGTTAGCACTGTCAAAGGTTACAGTATTTGTGATAGGCATTGTGGGAAGAGTTAAAACATAGGGATGATTTTGGTTCACCAATCTAAATCTGTGATAGGCATAGTGGGAGGAGTTAAATTTAGGTATGATTTTGATTGACATGTGTATGTTACAGCTCACTAAAGAAGAGGAGGAGGTCCTTAAGGTAACAATTAAGTCATGCATGAGGAAGCATGGTCAATGACAAGGGTCACTCATCCGTGACATGGTCAGATCCATAGTCAGAACAAATGACACCCTCAGATCCTAATATGTTTTGTTTTCTATTCAGTGTGTACACGTAGAAAAAGAGAGGTTGTTTTTACTTTCACTTTTGATTTGAGAAGTACAGACAGGCCTTGTACAGTTTTTATACATTTACACAACTTGTACACAGAGATGCAGCAATGCATTTTGATCTTGCTCTAGAGAGATAGGAAGGTAATTTTTAGATTTTTTTTCCCCCTTGAAAATGCATGATTATGATTTTTTGGCTATTAAGTAGTTGCTGCATCTGTGCATTACAGATTTTTCCTCACTTTACTCAGTTTGTGTTTTAAACAATTGCTTATATATAGAACAGTGTTGCTTTAACATTAATAACACACATATTATGAGCTAGATTAAAGAAACATAAACAGATTGAAACTTGGATGTGTATTCGGATCAGATACAAGATTAAAATAAATTTGGCCAATAACAGTATAGTGAGTTTGTACATGTATCACTTCAGAAGTAGAAACTGTTTTAATTAAGCCATGATGTATGAGGAACAATATTACATGGATAATATTACATTGGATGGCATTTAAACTTTAGCCTTCAGAACAAACCCACCCAACCCCCGAATTCAGATTTTTAATTGATGGAGACATATTAAGAATTTTCCCTGTGTGATAGGGGGAGGGAGGATTAACATGCAACTCAGTGTTTTCATGCCTTAGATATTTTATACATTACAGGTGGCACATTTTGTAGTAAAGAATTTTATTAAAATGCTTTGAGCTTGGTATGAGCTTGTAAAGATGAATGTTTGATAATAAAAATAAAATCTGAAAAGCAGTAAAGATTATTAACATAGAGATTGGTACATGTATATGAGAATGGGTGAAGCATCACAGAAACTGTTTAAAGAAATTAAACAAAGTTGCCTACAATTTTCAGGGTCAACCGTCAATGTAGACTTCTCAATTGTTGAAGTGTCCTTTAAGTATGCAGGACCCGTTGAGTGTTGTGATTTATAGGCTTCTTGTTTATTGGTACAGAGTAAAACTTTACCTATATTGAATGATTATTTTACTAACTTCATCTAGTATCTTTCAAGTCTAATACTAAGTATTGCCTATTTTTCGAAGGCAAAAAACAAACTTCATTCTGAATATATTTTGATCCAACTACTCCTTTTCTCAAATCAGACATTTTGATACAGTTTTTTGGTCTAACTGTTTGAAATACTTTTAAATGAACTTTTATGGGTTCCATATTAAAACATATTGTTCTTGTTTTGGCTGTAAAGGTAGACCAGCACTTGATAAACTTGGAGTTTCAGTGATGATTCCCTTCATCATCTCTAGCAGGATTTTCTGTTGACAGTGAATTAGAACACAAATGTTTTAATATTATGTGCACAAATGTATCTCATTCATTTTGTGTAGATATGCTGTATTCTCTATTATTATGCTTCCTGTCAGTTTGTCTCTATATAACCCATACCCTACTATTCTCGCATAGTGGTCTTCTGATTTATATAGCGTAAGCATACTATGCCGAAATAGTGCAAGGCCTTACTTTCTGAATAAAATTCTTCAATGCACTTACCGGGAATCGAACTCACGACCATGAGATTGCCAGTCCGATGCCTTATCGAATACGCCACAAAGACGATCACGGATTGGGAGAATTTTATTAAATATATAACTTAATTTATACAATTGACACAAGAAGAAAATAGACAAATATTATTTGAAAACAGTTATATTTATTCTAAGGAATCTTAGATAAATGTGTACAACAAAGTTTCAAACTAATTACATACAGATCGTTAGATGAATTGATATCATGGGGTCATTAAAACGCTTTTTTATATAGCGCTTGATTGAAGGATGTAAAAGAAAATTATCAATTTGAATCCACGTCTGTAAACAATTCAGTTTTACTAACAAAACAGAAAATAAAGATGAGTATCTTTGGGACACAAAATCCTGACTTATTTAGAGAAAATACTAGTAACCAAAATAACTAAGCATGCAACTAATTTTAGTATTAAGATTTTGAATGAGTTTTTGCAAGTGCGCTGTGTTACCAACATTATTTTCAGGAAAAAATCAAATGGATTGCCGCATAAATAATAACAACAGTCAGCATAATAATAACAATAGTATTGCATTATGCATGTACTATGCCTAAATAGTAGGCAGGGTTTGACACATAGTGCACTCGCCTCCGGCTCGTGCACCATGTGTCAAACCCTGCCTACTATTTAGGCATAGTACATGCATAATGCAACACTATTATATAAACAGCCTGTACTATATGCAGATACCCATAATTTATGTTTATGCTTCGTAGATTCTTAGTTTAAAAAACAAAACAATTCTTTTGAAATTAAATGTATTGTAGTTCTCATTCAAATACAATTTTCATTCATTTTTACTTCTAACTTGTCTAGTAGTAGCACTAGTAATTAATTATCCATTAATAGTTATTTTTCTTCCATATTTTACTTACAATAATGTATATAATTATAGTTACAAGACAAAGAAACAGATTATGCCGAGATGGAGCAATGGCTGACGGCGGAACAGAAAGCCAGTGTAAGTACCGAATACGTATTTATTACCTAGTTTTATTTTCCGTATTAAGTGTTCACAATTGTATATTACAGAAGATTCCCATACCATTATAAATTCAAATCATTGTAAAGTAATACCTAGATGTGGTGCATCTGTAATATTAATTAAAGATTGATTGTATATTGTTTAACGTCACTCTCGAGAATTTTTCACTCATATGGAGACACCACCACTTGCCGTTGGAGAGCAGCAAATTTTGTCCTAAACTCGGCACTAAGGGCTATTGAGCAGGGAGGGATCTTTTTCATGCCAACACCTACTGCGACAAGGGACCTCGGTTTATATGGTCTCATCCAAAGGACTCTACGTCCCACAGTGTATTAATTAAAGTAACTCTCATTAAATAAAATATCCTACCATTGAAATCATAGAATTTATAAACAATGTCCAAAGATCAAATAAAATGATTGTTTACCAATTCTGTGCAATGTTACAACATCTAAATTCGAAACCTGGATAGGTTTTTCTGAAATATGTTGCCATTCAATAGAACGCGCAGTCTATTGACCTGTCAGTAGATCGACGTCTATTGCCCGGCAGTCAATAGATCGAAAAGATAAGAAAAACTGAAAACACATACAGAATAGATGAAAATATTAAATCTCTAATAAAAGAACAAAATTCATTTGATTAGGTAATAATAAAAGTTGTCAGCCCTGCCAAAAATTGAGTAGCCAGAGAAAATGTTTGACTTTTATATATTTGTTATCACAATGATGTGAAGGGGGCCAGATCACCATACCTACAGGCTGAAGAATTCTTCCCTTTTGCATGTTGCACTTTGCTGCCATTACTATTAGTTGATTTGAGAGAGATTTATAAAATACCGATATCTAAATTTTAATTTATAAAAGAAGTGTAACATGTCTAGCCAGGCATCAATACATGCTGATTGCACTGGACAATGTTAGTGCATCTGGGCAAACAATAATTTTAAGCACTGTTACATTTAATTTTAATGTGTATAATATTACATTTATTTTCTATTAATTTCAGTTGAACGAACACAAAAATCAACAAAAGGATTCATTATCCAGTTCAGGTTGGTTTGCTTCAAAGTTAACCTAATTCAATCTCCATAGCAATAGAAAACGTTCTTGTTCATGTTTTAAAGTTGTCAAAATATTTGTCATTTGTTACTCCAGAGTGCTTCTATGACCCAATAGTTGCTTTTAAAAAATTCTGTCATTTTGATGAATTACAGATCATCTTTCCCTATTATGGATATGGTTGGGACATGTAATGTTTGTCATTTCCATCCTATTATCCTTCAGTTTGTCAATTTATGTTGTGTTTAGCTCAGATATTAAAAAAACTATTCAAGAAATATTAACCAAAATTTATACACATATACATATTAATAATAACTTTATAAATGTGGTATATTTTTTTAACTTTGACCTTCCCTGTGACCTTGACATTACTATTTCTTATTTTGTGATTAGCTAATTTCAAAGTAACTGTTTACAATATATTGCAGAAAATTTGATAAACTGTTCAGTTTGTTTGTGTTTATTCTTTGCTTAAAATAACCTTGAATACCAATAATTTTTTTAAAAAGCACTCAATTTTTTTTTCAGAGTTTGATTCTTTCCTGAATGACAGAGCGCAAGCTGCTGATACCCTCCCCAGCATAACGGCCGCTACAGGTCAAAGGTCACGGAAGCTACAAAAGGACGATGAAGAGAATCCCTTGTTTGCTTTATAAATTTTGAACCCTGTGTGAAAGTGTATGAAAGAATGTATGGAAACTGGACTAATAATAGTAACATGAATTGATTACTTTGTCACATGATCATAACATGGTCAGCCATTGTAAGCCAAACCATGGAAAACTGATCATCAGAACTTTGTTAGATTCTTGTTAATCAGAGAAAATATTTCTTGCTACCTTTAATTTCTTTTTAGTTGTAAGTATTATTTCATAAATTTATTTATTCATTTATCTATTTGCATTCAAATTTATATTTAAAGACAATTTTAGAAGAGATATATATGCAATTATTTAATAAGAAATTTATGAATGGTTTCATGTGTAAAAAGAATTGTCTGAATTTGTCCTTTTTGAGACTTAATGCCTTGTGTTTTTACTACAAATGATAATAAGAGAAGCAAATATTAGACTAAAAATCTCTTGATTGGCATAATGTTTTGTAATTATACATCTAATGTATACAGTTGAACTTTGATATACAGACCACCCTATATACAGTTGAACTTTGATGTCTTGAACACTTCTTTTCAGAATATCCTGAATACATTTGAACTCTGTTGATTTGAGTACATGTACTAATATTTTGAATACCATGGGTGCAGTTGAACTTTGTTGTTTTGAACACTAATTTTCTGAATACCCAGGATGCAGTTGAACTTTGATGTTTTGAACACTAATTTTCTGAATACCCAGGATGCAGTTGAACTTTGTTGTTTTGAACACTGATGTTCTGAATGCAGTGAGCCAGCAGTGCTGATCCGATCAGAAATCCACTTCTACATCACGATCTTAAACCTTCATATAAATCTGACAGTCCTGTAATGTTGGTCGACTGTAATAGGGGTTGACTGTATGTCATTCTGTTCTAAGACATGACTTAATTCATAGAAAACAAGGAGTTTTCTGTATTTTAAAAGGAATATAGCAATTGTTTATCGAGAAAAAAAGTTTTGAAAGGTTTATACTTGTCATTCAAATTAATTTATTATAGTTTCATTAAAATGTATTGCATGTACTATCATGTAAACACAAGCTGCAAATATTGATTTATACAGGCTTGATGTATACAATTTGTTTAGTTTTTCAGCTTAATATATAAATAATATGCTATTGAAAAATTGTGTAGGGTCCAAATTTCATAGAACTGCAGGTTATTAAGACGTCATTGTAAGAAGGCATTTTTAGAAAGGCATGGGACCTTATATATAGTACAGAAAACAATAACTCTATTTCTTATTAAAAGCCTTGCTCACATTGCTGATCATGAAAGCAAATTTTTGGAAAATATAAAAGATTCTAAAGTTTCAAATGTTATTACTTCCTCTACAGCTTGTGATTTAAAGGTTTAATGACTTTAGAGAAGACACCAACATCATGAGATGAGTTTGGTGTAATGAGTATAATTTATCAGTCCCTGCATTCAGATTTTATTTTTAAGAAAAAAACACAAGTAAAACCTCAAAAGACAAAAAAACATGCAGCTTGATACTGGCTGAAACTTTGTTAAAATCTAAGTTTAATGTGTAATGAGTATGCATCTATGTTTGTTTGATATAAAATTGTTAACTGAATATTACAGTGTTTTAAAGGTCATTGTAAAAAGGGCCTTAACTTTACTTGTGAAGTCCTATATGTATTAGTAATCTGTGTACAAGTTCAGTGAACTTAGATATTCAAGAACATTAAGTCTGCTTTGAATTTTGTAAAGCTTTTGAACTAATCTAATACCTTAAACAAATTAAGCTGTTTATTTTTAAATTGTTTTTTTTTAAATCTGGATTGATATAGACTAAAATTGAATGTCTATTCTTTATTTCTGATTTGGAAATTCAGAGTTGATAGGAAATTTTATCATAAAAATTGCTTGAACTGAATAATCATGTAGATTGATTTAGCTACTTGGGGATAAGAACATATTCCATAAGGTAAATAAACAGTCATTTGACAGGGTTTTTCTATTATAATTTTTCCTGAATGTACTATTATAATAAAATATTTATCTCTTGGCGAACAGAATAAATGTAAAAGAAACTTTGTAGTAATCTGTATCCATTTGAGTGTTTAACACACTTCTCTATTTAATATGATGTTGAAAATTAAAAAGAATATTGTTATATTTTCTTCTTTGGTAATTTGTTCAAAGATTAATTTTGTACAAGAAGAAGTACATTTAGCTGAGCGAAACATAGAAATATGTTGAAAAGAAGTGGTTACATTGTATTTGAAATTTTTACAGATGTATACAAAAATGGTGTTAATTGCTCCATGAATGCTTAACTTTTTTCACTCAAGCCCCCCCCCCCCCCCAATGTCTTTTTTCCCTCTTAGCTTATAAAAAGATCATTTAGAGACCATCTTGTAAGGTTTTGGTAAGAAATATGAAGACTGTAAAAGTATTCCTTTTAATATAAAACTCATATAACTTCATACAAAAATATACATGTATACATATGCTATGATTTGTATCTGATTAAAAAAACAATTAGCAATGACATTGCCGAGACAAACGATATTGTGTAGTAAAATAAAAGTATGAACACACATCATATAGAGACAAAACGTCAAAAAAGATAAAAACATAACAGTATTAAAGCAGAACCTATTGTGTAAACATTTTAAGCAATTTAGGGTCATATTTCCAGAATTCCAATCAATTTCATAAACTATACATATAAAACATTGTATTTAAATTGTATTGTTTATACTGTATTAACGAGGATTCAGTTTTAGGAGCATTGAAACTACCGGGAGAATACTTTATTTAAAACTCAATGATAAAAATTGTTTACGAGAAAGTTGATTTAAAATAAAACCGTCGGGTATTGCAGTAGATGCTAAAACGAAAATTATCTCCTATGGCCATAAATAAACCTATCAATTTATTCTGTAAACGTAACAAGACCTCTGATGCCATTTACTCGCGTAGTTTACACCATTTCAACTGTCATAACCATGATTCTTTCATAAAATCAAATTTTGCCCGCGTGGTGTACTTTATGTTTTGATTTTAAATTCCTCCTTTAGAACTGAATTCCATAAAACCCCTACATTACATTTAGCATACGATCATTCCTCCTTAGAATGCCGCTTCGAAAATGACTTATTGTCTTACATAAATTATATACACACTCCACTAATACAGTATCATTTCGTCCTCGTTTTGGCCCCGCCTACTGGCGCTTAAATTTGCCACGGCCTCGTCGTCGTCTTGGAAATGAAAGTTCATGACCCCGTTTGTCGTCCCCTGACTTTCTATTGGTTGTTTCTCTAATGTCATGTGAATTTCCTCTGCCGTGACAGTCTCACTGAGACTGATACTCTGGTTGTTGTTAGCAGGTGGCGATGTCATCGGAATATGGGTCGTCTGAGAATCCGTCACGACTTCCGTTACTATAACCTGTTCCTCGTCTTCTTCGTCAAAGTTTATTTGTTTACTCTAAATTACCAGGAAGATAATATTATATAAGTAATATATTCATGTTTTGAATGATATTGCAAGCATTTTGATTGTATGTCAAAAGCAAATTTAAAAAGCTAATTACCTTTTCTTCGTAACGCGGTGTTGGACTGTAAACATAAAAAAAGATATATATAGTTTATATTTCATATTTAGAGATAGAAATGATCAGCGCTCGTAATTGTACACTTGTACTCACATTTCTTGTATCCAGTGATCTGTAATTGGAGAACGACAGGCTCATAAAGATAGTCTTATTCTCGTTACATTATCATAAAATCGGTCAAAATTATGACATAAACTGTATAAAAGCGCATTTCGAAATGGTTTACCTGTTGAGACAGAATTATACACGGCAGTTTTAGAGCCTCCGTTTTGTAGTATTGTCAGTGTGCCGCCTCGCTGTGTAGAGGGCCGGGACCCTGGGCGTGAGGGCGTAGTTCTGGTTGATAATGGAAGACTTTGAGCTCCATTCTGCTTAGGAAACTCAAATTTAGGTTTCCTAGGCCTGGGAGATTTTTTCTTTCCTTGCCACGCTTGGTATTTTGGAAACCAATGATTCCTGTAAAACGCAATAGTACTATATAAATTTTCAGTGAAACATAATTATGGATACATACATTTGTTCTGTGAGATATAGAGAAAAAAAGAATGCTATTCATATTTTTTGTAACATTAAACGATCACTAACCAGGTTACAACTAGAACCAGCATAACAATCATGGCGATGAAGGCAAAGAATGTTACAATCGAGGAGGCAACCAGTCCGCCCAGATTATAGTTGTCTCCGTGTGTCCCTGTGAAATACACGTGCAGTGATGAGGACATTAGATTAACTACAGTCATACAACAATAAGATATTTGCACGCTTCCTTTTCCATCATGCAATATATATACCCATTATTATGCCCAATCTACACATATACTAATGTCTTTTAATCGTAGACTCCAGAGCAGAAAGTTTTGCCCTGGTTGTCCGTCCGTCTCTCTGTTTGTCTGCACCTTGCCCAGTGAATACCTTTTGATTGGATTGAGCTATGGCTTTCATATTTCCCATGTGCATTTCTTGTGACAAGATCTTTCCTTGGATATCTAACCTCTTGACCTCTCTACCAGAGACGGGATCAGCTAGATGCCATGAAGTATTCCTTTTGTCGGGAAACTTTCCTTTGGGTACCATTAATTTTGTCTCTGACTTTACCGGTGGAGTTTAAACCACTTTTAAAAAAACTTAACGTTGGCCATATCTTTTGAATGGTTGTGCTTGGCTTTCATATTTCACAGAAAAAAATCATTGATCCAACTCCCTTCTTTGGGTAACAACATTTTTGATCTCTTGATCTTGGAGTTTAACTTGCATTTAAGAAATTTAAACCCTCGCCATAAACAGCCACGCGGGGATATTTGTTTATTTGCTTTACTTTCAATTCAGATCAAATATAACTATTACGAGTTTCTGTAAACGTATAAAAACTTCCTTATTTTCATTCGGGAACGAGAACAAAATAAAGTATTTGATCTATATCCGATGTTCATCTGTCGCTTTATAGGTAAGAAGTTTTATGAAAATTGGAAAGACCTTTCAAAGCTCTAAAAAATTTGTGTATTTGTTTGGAACCTTGATGCACAGTTGTAATATGGGGAAATTTTAAAGTATGCATTCGTACTCGAATTACATGTGGAACATGCAGTATAGTCACCAATTAATTGCTACTTGTAGGACTTGAGGCTTCTAGAGACACTGAAGACATAAAATAAAATAATATGCCTAATACAGTTTACAAAGACGTTGTCGGACAAAACGCTGTAGAAGTCACGACCTTTCGCATATAGAGCTTCTCAATCATACAGCGTATACCCCAGGCCCCCTATTCATTCAGAGCCATAAATGCTGATGTTTTAATAATTTTCTTCCGCGAAAAGGGGTCAAAGAATCGTCTAGATAAAATCTTTATATTTTATTTTTTTTTTTCTGAATGATGGGTAAAATCTTCAACTCATCAACTCAATGATCGAATGATTGTAATATTAAATAAAAAAAAAAACATCTGAATTTTTGCTTAAATTCTACAGATCGCTTCAGTAAGTCACTATTGCGAATAATTACGAAAAAGTGCAGTATCAGAACAGGTTGTAAAATAAAGAACTTTGGATGTGTGTTCTTAAAAGAATAGACCACCACAGCCACAATATTCTACACACAAGAGAAACAGAATGTTTGCTGGGTAAAGACTGAGTATGGGCCGTCTGTTCTTTAATAATAAATAAACATGCACCAGATCAATATCACAGAACCGGTTTGTAATGTGTATTGGTGTCAGATTAAAAATCGATCGCCCATCTCACAATCTCTTTAATTCCTAACAGTAGAGATATCATCAGGTATAAAATTTAAGCTGTTGATGTCAGTATTATAATATTGCAATAAAATTTGAACAAGAATTGCAAAACTTAGCATCACAATATTCTGAGATGGGAAATGACACACTGTACATACCAGGTAATAAAGACAGCAATACCAGGAGAGTTTCCAGCAGCATATATCCTCCCGCCATGATGGCTGCCTGGAGCTAAGTCGGATCAATGTAAGAGATGTATTATAGAGGTCCTGTGACCATTAATACACAGAAAGTGGGTAGAACCCTAATATTACATCCTGAATGAAGCTTACAAGAGTACGCCCTTTGTAGACTCTAAGACTGTTCTTGTTGCGGGCATTGGAGCACGAAGTCCTTTTAAAAACGCAAACATTTAAATCTCAACACTTGAGCAAATATAACAAAAGTTTTTGAAGAGCTTGAGCGAATCAATTATATACTGGTCTTAATTAAGTTTTTCACAACAAAATAATACACATCCCAAAAATGAAAGTAAGGTTTGTACACTCTTTAAAACATATTCATTAATGAAAAACATATTCCTTTTGTATATTTTGACGCAAAAATGAACTAATGAAATATTCAAATATAAAGGGTGAAGATGACGAACTATGAATAAAATTGTTCATGCTTTTCTCTAACCACTTCCTTGTAGAAAAATATAGTATTATTATTGAAAGGGTCGATTGCAGGCTTTTCTAGCCCTTTTGATTGATGTGAAATAGATTACAAACTAAACAGAATTACAGGTATGAGCCACCTATGCATCTTTTAATTTGTTCCTTGTCATTTCACCTAATGCTTACCGCTGTCCCCGATCTCTAATAGGTCATGTCGGGTTTAATATTAAAAAAAAGAATATGGTTCAAAATTTTCATTTAAATGTGTTATAGGTCTGATGACGAGTTCCTCCATAATATATAATTGTTCCCAAGATTTTTCATTGGAGTATTGCTACTTAAACAAGCTTCTTCACCAAAACTGAGGTACCTTATTAAAAGAACTAATAAGATAATGATTATTTTGATACATTTGTTGTATATTATGAAGAGATACAACACATATAATAGAGCGCCTTGTCGTGAGACCTTAATCCAATAGAGTTTTCCTTGCTTGCTTTGACAGGGCTTATGCTGTGTGTAAAATAAGTTCATCTTCGATTAATCGCGAAAAAATTGTAACTGTTAATTAGGTTTTATTATAGACATATTTCTTTTGAACTGCTTACTTGCCATTCGAGCTAGAAGAATATTCGTTTAAATATACCCCTCGCTTGAAAAGGGGGAGGGTAAATAGTAATCGTTATGTCCGTCCGTTCGTCAGTACATCCGTCTGTTACACTTTGGGGTACCCATCTCTTATCCGCAACTCCTCTCATACCACTGAATGAAATTTGATGAAGCTTTCACAGAATCTTTATTACATATTGCCATTGTGACCTCCTATTTTACTTTTTGATCCGACACATATTTTGGGCTTCCCAAAGATGTTTCTACATGAAATAGTTTAATCACTATTTTACTCATAAGAATATATTATGTTTAACATAAAGTAATACCCCGATAATTAAAAAAAGTATATGAAACAACTAATATTGTCAATAATTTTATTTTTGAAAAACTAATATCACATAAGGAAAATACAAGAAGTAAAAAATGAATACTTAGCATACGTTTGGGATTGTGGTTCGGGTCCTAAACTAGTCAAGCTTTAAAAAAGCGATTTAACAACTATATATATAACAAAAATATGTTAATAAAACTCCTGATTGGATAAGAAGAAGATGTGACGTCATAGTCGTGCTTCCAGAATCCCAGGACGGAAATGGACAAGTGTCAGGAGCTGAAAATAAAGGGTAAAAATGAGTAAATATTCCTCTGGATAGGTAATAAAAATATGCTGGTTGATTAAATGATATTCATTTAATTACGAGGGTTGTTCGAAAAGTTCGTGGACGATGTCAATCTTCGATATATTACTCACTAGAAATTTAAAATAAGCACATTATAATAAGTAAATATATTTGTTTTGTTGATGTGTGAAATTTCATTCCATTTGATTTAACAGAAATCAATTTACTTCATTTTAAAATCAACATGTTTTGTACCTGCGGAGCACACTTAACGGCAATGTATCGTCAAAACATAGCGTCGAGAATTTCTAAAAAGTACTATCCCTATACATTTCACACAGTATAATACAATGCCAATTCATTAAATCCTTTTTCTAATACTTGAAATTTATTTTATAAGTATTATTTAGAGTACGAGTTTCCTACTGTATCAGAGATACAGGGCGGGGCTTGAGGCGAGAGCGATAGCTCGAGCCGGGCCCCGCCCTGTATCTCTGATACAGTAGGAAACGAGTTTCTAAATGACTTGTGACATGACCTTTCTAATGACCTCACCAATTTACATTCATATTTGGGTACATATCTCTCAACCAATCAGATGATTTAAGCAGAAAGTTGATTTAGTATCCCATTTTAAACATTCGCAACTGAAATGCCGAAAGAGGTGGACGTGCAGGTATTTATCATTTTAAAATGATTATTTAGGGGATGCATTATATAATTGGTTTTCTTTCTCTATTCAGCTGTTGTCGACTTTTTTTTTTTTTAATTTAAGCTACGATTAAATGCAAAACAATTTTATATATAAGAATCATGTGGGAATGTTTTTGAAACAAAAATACTTCGGGGAAAACGTATTCTGAGAGAAATGTCCGACAATGTCTTACACCTGTCGTAATATAAAAAATTGAAATATACATATGAAATGAAAACGGGGGGGGGGTTATTTTACCTTCATGTTATTAATAAAATGTAGAGTAATCAAAGGGTATCCCAGCACTCACTGGTGCCGCCCACTCAACCCTCCTGTGAGTTTTTTTTTCTTTATCGCTTTCGTAAATGATTTTTGCTAAACTTGTATACCTACGCTTTTTACTTTATCAACAAGAAACGATGGCACCAATAGTGTCTTGGTTGGCTATAAATCTACCCCTCCCCCCGAGTATAATATACGAGTTTCCACTTATTTTTTTTCGGGGGGGGGCATAGTAATCATTTGTGAACTGTCCCACTACTCCTTTCAAAAATTTTTGAATTCGACACTAACAACTTTATGTTGTAAAATTTTATTCTTAATTCATCTCAAATTTTGAGTAAATACTAACGGTGCTTTCATGGGAATTGAACGATTCTTGTGTTTGTACACAGATTCAGCCTTCCCTCATCGCTAAAAATAAATCGTACTGTATCTTTGATATTTTGCAGATACAGTACAGTTTCTGCTCATTTGCATAAGAAACGCCCACAAAAAGTGTTCTGTATCGCAGTTACAGTATGCTTGACTTCAAAGGAAAACTCGCCGGGCCATGTCACAAGAATTGCTCTCGTTGAATAATTTTCTTTGTTAAGGTTTTATTTTTTTTTATTACTAAACTCTGCTTTCACAGGATAAGCAACACCGAAGCGTCTATGTCTTTCCTTGACGTTCCAACTTTTTAAAGTTTTTTTGTTCAGATCTTTTCAGTTAAACCGTTTCTTTACAGATTATCCTCATCCAATACAGAGTCTCTGTCACTGAAATACTGACTGTACTATATGTACACACATGCACAACTTGCATGTGACATATTTTTCTTGATTCCTTCCACATTTTTAGAGTCTATTCAGTTTTTTTCTGAATAAGACACAAAACTGCATCGTTATCTGCTGCTCCGTGACTTTCTAAAACGTCGTCGATTTTATCGCATTCAATTAGGACTACCAATATTCTCAAGTTGATTTCTTTTCAACAAAGAAAAATATAAAGCCACAATTTGGAATACGAATCGATCTAACAATTCTTAATTTGAATTTCTAGGTTGTTTTTCGTTTTTGCTCCATTTTACAGAGAATATGACTACAGACATTATTTAGCGTATTGTCTGTAACTTACTAAATTTTGACCTGTTCCGCAATCCGATTTTTGCATTTTTAAAATCTTCATAACTTTTGAATAAATCGTAATATTTTGAAAAAATTAATACAAATTATTTAATTTTATTGTTAAAATATTTCTACCAAATTTGGATAACATGTGACGTCAAATAAAAAAAGATATGGCAGTTGTCCACGAACTTTTCGAACAACCCTCGTATACAAAAGTTACATTAATTTATTGTAAAAGGTCTGAACATTTCAAATATGTTCGGTGACAAAAGGGCAATAACTCACGTCCACAAGCGGTTGTCGTTTGGGTTTGTGTGGTAGTCTGTTGCAGAACTTGAGATAGTGCGCCATTTGTTGTTGTAACTTGTGGCGGTGTTGTCTGTTGCTGAACTTGAGATAGAGCGCCATTTGTTGTTGTAACCTGTTGCGAGGTTGTCTGTGTTCCTACATGAGATAGAGTGCCATTTGTTGTTGTGCCATTTGTAACAGCGACATTGGGTAACATTGATGTTTGCGGATGGTTTGTTCGAGTACCATCTGTTGTGGCAACAGATGGCGAAGTTGCTGCATTTTGGTGGGTTTGTAATGGAGTGAGATCCGCAGTTGTTTGGTGCTGATACTTTGACATAGTGGGACTTGTAGTTTCAATAATGGAAGGTGTGGTAGCCTGTTGTGTCCAATCATTTGTAATAACACGGAATGATGTGATTTGTTGCCGGGAATGTGACACCGCAGCACCTGTTGTAGCAAAGGGAGGCGAGGTTGTGGATTGTTCATTGATTCGGGTTTCACTTTTTGAAGAAGATGGAATGAAAAATGTCGAGGAAACCATGGGTTGCTTAGTAAATGTACTTGACTGAAGTGTATTAAGCTGACCTATCGACACAGGTGTAACAGATGTGTATGATTGGGAGGTAGTATGTGTTTCGGTAGTATGAGGTTTGACTGTAGTTTGATCAACAGACTGTGTATGTGTGTTTGAGGAAGTGGAGGCTTTCATCGTTGAGGAATCTCTATTCGTTGAATCAAAAGTTGAATGTTCTGTATACTGGGGAGTCGTTTTAGACATCTGTGTTTGGGTTTGAGTAGACGGAACCGTTGTCTGCTGATCTGGTAAGTGAGTTGTCCGATAACTGCTGCAATCTGATCCAGACGGGGTTGTTCTGCTAGGAACTGCATTTTCCCAGTTGCAGTTTGTAATTGTGATATCCCAAAGAGTTCCAGGATGGCATTCATATGGATAAGGAATACCATGTGCACATTGGTAGTAAAGTTTCATATCACATTTGTCTTCGTAAAAGTTTCCATGAATACAATTTGATGGAGCTGAAATTGATAAAACAAACTGGTCAACATATACCATTTCATGTATAATTTTCATCGAAAATTTCGAAACCAGACGAAAAAATAAGTGAATATTTGCAGCATAGTGTGAACTTACGACCACATCCACAGGGGGCAGAGGAAGTAAGGACGAGGTAATCCCAGTTACAATTTTGGATTCGTTTATCCCACACTGTTCCTGCAGCACACTCATAGTGCCAAGCAACACCGGAAGAACACTGGTAGTATTTGCGTATATCACAACTGTCCTCATAAAACCGACCATTTTCACACTGCTTCGGTGCTGTAAAATAATTTCTCCTTTAATATCATATACACAATATGCTTTTGTCTTTTTTTATTTTATAAGATTAGAGGTGCTAACGGCCTACCTCCACAGATAGACGATATCGTTGTTGAAAAAATATCTCCTGAAACTGTGCGAGACTGCGTTGTTCGCTTACTACTTAATTGGCTATCTGTAGATACATGATAGTTTGAACTAGAAGATCCAGTTTCTCTGGTGGTTGACCCTCGTGGAGATAGAGAAGAAGTTAAGACATTAGTAGAAGGGTACGTAGAAGAAAGCAATGGAGATACTACTGCTGATCCAAACAATTCACTTCGCAATAGGTTCATCAGAGGATAAGCCCCATCGCCACAACTGTTGCTGAAATCGTCTTGATCAAGAGACCAAACCATACCGCCACCCAGTCCTTTGGACTTGATGTAGTCAATCTATCGCGAATGAAAATAATATTTCAGACAGACCAGCCTCCTTAGTGGGATATTTTAAACTATGTAACTGTATGGGATCTAGGGCCTAGACAGCTCTTTACTTTTAAGCTTACCTTCACTTGGAAACTCTCCGTGTCGTCATATCCGATCCACTGGATACCGTGATACGCATACGGTACTTTGTGTTCACTGTGCCACTGTCTTGTCCAACCATTGTATTTCAAATTATAACACACCTGCAACATTTGCATTGATCTTAGTCAACATGATACATGTAATAACTCTTTTTCAAATGCCAGCTAGTTTAGATAAGTAGATCAGCAAAAGTGGCTTCTTAATTGAGATGACAAGAAAAACGTCACATGCCTCGTAATAGGCCAACAGCCCTGCTTCTCCAGTATATGTTCCAGCTGCTCCTGCTCCTACGGCAGGGGCTCCTACTCCTGTATTACTGGAACTAGAGAGGGTGAAGGATCTGCCGTACAGGCCCATTCCCAAAACCAGCTTTTCTGCAGGTGCACCGAGATTAATCCAGTAGTTCACCGCATAATCCTGCGCAAATAAATGAATGAAGGATTCGAGGCAAGTGCATCCAAAAGATCTATTTGCAAGGAATTCATACACGAACTGAAAAACCTACCACATTCATATACGCAGAAGTTCCACCTTCACCAGCACGACCAAAAAGCGCACTGTGATGTCCCGTGGTTGCTTCCCAGCTTCCATGAAGATCGTAGCTCATTAGATTGATGAAATCTAGCTCTCTGAAATACGGGGGGAAATTTTTAAACGTTCATGAGTGGACATAACAAATCAGGCACCCCGCACTGCGAGAATGCAACTTACTTGGAGATGAGGTCAATTTCATAGGCTTTGTCAATCGTAGTTTTGCCAGCTGCAACAGCTGCCGTCAGTAACAGAGGTGCACGGTTGCTGGCTACTCCATCAGCGTCAAACACTTGCCGAAGTTTCTGCAAGAGAAGGCAGACACAATGAGAACCTTGTGGCAAGTTCTCTGGACTTTGATACAGCTGCTCTGGAACGGAAGTTTTTATTATACTGACCTGCACAAAAGACGTGAAACGCTGTTTGTCCTCTGGAGGGCTTCCATTACCACCCGGATATTCCCAGTCCAGATCCAGACCGTCGAATCCGTATGTTTTTAAGTAAGCCAAGGCGTTGTTTGCAAAAGCTGCCATGTCATTGGGGTCATCTACCACGGCAGTGAAGGGCGCGGTGCCGTGAGTCCATCCACCTATGGCCAACAGGATCTTGAGATCTGGGTTCACGGATCGCAGGTTCATTATCTTCTCGTATTGGCCTGCATCGAAAATAGTCCATCATGTGAGTGCGAATCATTCGAGCAAAGCTCAACTACGTTTGTCGCCTCGAGAGCTGAAATACCTGACACGTTACCGAAAATGATACAATCATATTCTACCTACAATGACCAGGAAGACGTTTAACTTACCACCGGTGCCCTTGTCGTTCCATTCATAAGCATCGATTGTGTTGCCCACGACTTTACCGAAAGCGTACATGATATGAGTGCAGAGGAAAGGATCCACATCATCCGCTTTGAAGGTCATGGGAGAAGTTCTGTATTGTGCCCAGTTGGTGAAGTAACAAACTCGTTTGTATCCCGACACTGCAGTGCCTGGAATGGTGGTAGGTAATCTTGTGGAGGAGGACGGCACAGTTTGAGAGGAGGAATGCAAAGACGGTGGCAAAGAAGTGGAAGCTACAGGAGATCCAGACAGCCCACTTCGCAATAGGTTCATCAGAGGATATGCCCCATCGCCACAACTGTTGCTGAAATCGTCTTGATCAAGAGACCAAACCATACCGCCACCCAGTCCTTTGGACTTGATGTAGTCAATCTATCGCGAATGAAAATAATATTTCAGACAGACCAGCCTCCTTAGTGGGATATTTTAAACTATGTAACTGTATGGGATCTAGGGCCTAGACAGCTCTTTACTTTTAAGCTTACCTTCACTTGGAAACTCTCCGTGTCGTCATATCCGATCCACTGGATACCGTGATACGCATACGGTACTTTGTGTTCACTGTGCCACTGTCTTGTCCAACCATTGTATTTCAAATTATAACACACCTGCAACATTTGCATTGATCTTAGTCAACACGATACATGTAATAACTCTTTTTCAAATGCCAGCTAGTTTAGATAAGTAGATCAGCAAAAGTGGCTTCTTAATTGAGATGACAAGAAAAACGTCACATGCCTCGTAATAGGCCAACAGCCCTGCTTCTCCAGTATATGTTCCAGCTGCTCCTGCTCCTACGGCAGGGGCTCCTACTCCTGTATTACTGGAACTAGAGAGGGTGAAGGATCTGCCGTACAGGCCCATTCCCAAAACCAGCTTTTCTGCAGGTGCACCGAGATTAATCCAGTAGTTCACCGCATAATCCTGCGCAAATAAATGAATGAAGGATTCGAGGCAAGTGCATCCAAAAGATCTATTTGCAAGGAATTCATACACGAACTGAAAAACCTACCACATTCATATACGCAGAAGTTCCACCTTCACCAGCACGACCAAAAAGCGCACTGTGATGTCCGGTGGTTGCTTCCCAGCTTCCATGAAGATCGTAGCTCATTAGATTGATGAAATCTAGCTCTCTGAAATACGGGGGGAAATTTTTAAACGTTCATGAGTGGACATAACAAATCAGGCACCCCGCACTGCGAGAATGCAACTTACTTGGAGATGAGGTCAATTTCATAGGCTTTGTCAATCGTAGATTTGCCAGCTGCAACAGCTGCCGTCAGTAACAGAGGCGCACGGTTGCTGGCTACTCCATCAGCGTCAAACACTTGCCGAAGTTTCTGCAAGAGAAGGCAGACACAATGAGAACCTTGTGGCAAGTTCTTTGGACTTTGATACAGCTGCTCTGGAACGGAAGTTTTTATTATACTGACCTGCACAAAAGACGTGAAACGCTGTTTGTCCTCTGGAGGGCTTCCATTACCACCCGGATATTCCCAGTCCAGATCCAGACCGTCGAATCCGTATGTTTTTAAGTAAGCCAAGGCGTTGTTTGCAAAAGCTGCCATGTCATTGGGGTCATCTACCACGGCAGTGAAGGGCGCGGTGCCGTGAGTCCATCCACCTATGGCCAACAGGATCTTGAGATCTGGGTTCACGGATCGCAGGTTCATTATCTTCTCGTATTGGCCTGCATCGAAAATAGTCCATCATGTGAGTGCGAATCATTCGAGCAAAGCTCAACTACGTTTGTCGCCTCGAGAGCTGAAATACCTGACACGTTACCGAAAATGATACAATCATATTCTATCTACAATGACCAGGAAGACGTTTAACTTACCACCGGTGCCCTTGTCGTTCCATTCATAAGCATCGATTGTGTTGCCCACGACTTTACCGAAAGCGTACATGATATGAGTGCAGAGGAAAGGATCCACATCATCCGCTTTGAAGGTCATGGGAGAAGTTCTGTATTGTGCCCAGTTGGTGAAGTAACAAACTCGTTTGTATGGTTGTACATCTAAAATATTGTTTTCATGTTCAATTACATTAATTTATTTTAAAAAAACCATCTTTATGTAATTTTATGTAAAACTTTTGTGTTTGGAAATTTCAGACGTTTTCTTTAAATGAAAATGAGGAAATAATTGATTGCATACCTTGAAATGTAAGGACTAGTAAACCAAAGACGGCCACTTGCTTCTGTGAAAAGGAAATCTTTATTGAAAGACGTGTATGTTTGAAATATATGGAAATTCAAGTTGTATTCAGTATTACAATACGAAATTGGAGCAGTCAAATTAAAATTAGATCTTTGATCCGCTCTAGCTAGATCGATCTAGCTGGAGAGGATCAAAATCTAATTTTAATTACTAGTAGATTGAAATTGGAGCAGAGTAAACACGGACCTCTAAAAAATCTAGAGGTGGGATCAGGTGCCATGTAGGAATGAACATTCCCAGCCGACCGAACACACCATCCGTGTGCTCCTTATCATGTTCAGGTAATGAAAAGGAAAAATTCCTGGACAACGCAATGTGTACAGTATATAAATAATGGCATAACAATGAGTAGGATGAAGGGTATGGAGATAACGAACAGTATTAGGAGCAGAGCAATCGCGGACCTCTAAAACATCAGACGTGGTATTAGGTGCCATGGAGGAGTGAGCATGGCACCTGCCGACCGATCGCATCCACCGTGTACTCCTTGTCATAATCAGGAAATAACAGATACCCGTCGTCAATTCAGTGTATGAATAATGGACTAACAATTAGTATGAAAAACGTCAGTCAGTATTTGACTCAATGATAAATTGTATTTGCTGACAAGGTCATTGTATCGACCAAAGAACTTACGAAATGATGGCTTTAAACGAGACTGCTGATATTCTTGTGTCATCAACTTGTTTGTCAATAATTTACCTCGCTTTAGGAATTGTTCATACGTGTGGCATACTCTTGCGTATCGAATCAACTGAGATATATAAACTCCGTATGCAGGCGATGAAGGTTTATTGCTGCACAAGTAAGAAAAATTGAGGATCGTAAAGTTAAAGTCATCACGTTTATCATAGAGCTTGGTCGTTAAAATACCATTATGTGGAGATAACGCACAGTGATTATTCTGGCAATACAAATCGGGAACACCGTTCACGGTAGCTCAGTCGGTAGAGCGCTCGCTCCGTGATCGGGAGGTCGTGAGTTCGTATCTCGGCCGCGACTGAACTAGTCGTTAAAATGGGTAGCAACTGTTCCTTCGCCATGCGCTCGGCAATTTGAAGTGAAAGTTGCGGGTCCTTCGGATGAGACCTTAAAAACCGAGGCCCCGTGTCAGCGGCAGGCGTTGGCACGATAAAGATCCCTCACTGCTCAATGGCCCTGAGTGCCGAGTAAAGGTCAAAATTTGAAGTCCTTCACCGGCTTACGGTGACGTCTCAATATGAGTGAAAAATTCTCGAGAGGGACGTTAAACAATATAAAATCAATCAATCAAATCGGGAACAAAACAAACACAGATACATCAAAGTTGGGATCAGTTGCCAGAGAGGAGTAAGCATCATTTGTCGACCGGTCTCACCGGCCATGAGTCCAGTGGCATCATCTGGTGAACGGAAAATGTAAAAAAAAAAAAAATGGGTAAATAACTTATTTTGTTTTGGGTTACCATTTAAGTCTTTTTAGTAAAATATCAAAAAATATCAAACTGATGTGTCAGACTCTGTGGTGTCTAATTTCAAGCTCGCTGTGATATTTAAGCATTAATTTAAGATTTCTTCATGCATTTTAAACTGATGTAACTAATAGAATTTTAAAAATAGGACCTTTCTGAAACTAATTTCTAAATTCTATATACTAGTATTTATATGTGTAATATAAAAATGTAATTAATGTAATTCGTTATTATTTTTTAATTTGAAAATTATAAAAGTATGCTTACATTTATCATTGGTTATCGATAGATAAAGGATGGTTCGCAGCGAGAGAGGGAAATGTTCATCAGCAATGCATTTGTAATGAAAGCCTGGAGGTCATGGACCTTCTGAATTAATGTTTATGACAATAATTTGAATCTTTGGCATTTTAATGATCATTCAAATTGTTCTCAGTATTCAGAAAGCGCTATCGACATCGTGAATTTCTGAATGATTCTTAATGATTAAGACTTGTGATATTTTTAATTATTAAAATAATATCGATTGATTAAATTTTATTTTACAATAAATATAATGCAATCTTTTTCAGTCCTTTGTGATTCTATATAACTTAAATGTGCTATAGCTAGACCTATGTTCGTTATTATGAATTTATGACAAACATTTGATACCAAAAGCCCTGAACTCGGATAGATTGCTGTAAATAGAAGTATGAATGCAGTCTCCCGGACTGGCCTACATACAAATCAAAGAGAAAGTCTCGTCTAACGGTCACTGTTTTCGTTTTTATTTAGGTAAATCTACAAGGTTTGTTACTTACTGTAGATTTCAATAATAACATTAACAAAATACTTTAGAAATCTCTCACCATTCTTGGTTTTATTTATTTCCTAATATTTAAAAAATGTTTGTCCGCAGATGATTTTCACAAGTCTACGCTTAAAATTTTAAATAAATGTTGATCGAGTGAGATTATAACGGTAAATAGAAAAGAGTATTTATAAATTTAAGGTACAGTTTATTTAATTAAATTTTCACAAGCATAGTTTTTTCTTAGCGTTGGAGCACCATTTCAAGTAAATAGGAAAATACCATCTCTCTTTCTGCCTCCCTCTTTCTCTCTCACAAAAAATTAATGATGTTTCGTAAATGTCTTCGATTTATTTTAAAAATTACGTGCATTTTGACGAATTGCACAGTGTCGTATATCTAGCAGTCAATGTAAACATGTTTACAAGGTCTTTTTTTTTTCTTTGCTTTTCGTCCTTTTTAATTTTTTTCTATAATTTTTCTTATCGATAATTCTTTGGAATTATTTTTTATTTACCGAAAAACCATATTTCGCAGTTTTTCTATAAATTTTTCTGAGAATATATTGTTAATTTATCTGCACCAATTCAATGAAAAAATATGGTAAAATACTTTTTAAAAAAAACATATTTAAAAACTATAATGAAATTATTTAATAAAATGCGTGTACATATTTGATTCAATAAAAATGAAAGACTTACCATGGCAGCTTTGGTCATTTACAATGACCAGGCATGCGTCATTCTGAATTATATTGAAATATATTTAAAAGGATTGATACACTATTTATCTGTAAATAAGCATTGGACTTGGAACGAAGGATAGGTACTGTCACAAAAAAATTATTATCCTAACTGATTATCAAAACTAAATGATACGAAACATCTAAATGTGTCTTTTCCAAATCATTTAGTAAAAAGTACAGATGTACGAAGAACTGTCAAGCTTTGGTGATGTAGGAATTTTTCTGGCAAGCTTTCTACATACAAATACTTCTATTTGAATTCTCTCTTCGGTTGATTTCACAAAAATTGAGCGTTGTGATGTTAATATAAAAACACCTTTAATATATCTGTAGTTAAAAAGAAAATTGGGCAAACACTATTTGTAAGCTCTGATAATGAAGAAAGAAAGTTTAATTGCTTTTAGCAGGAAAAATGTTAAATTTGTTTCTCACTTTTAGGAATATTTAAAAGTTTTGTATATGTGGATTTTTTATGCATGCATTAAATATTCAAATGTGAAAGATAATTAAATTTATCACATCAAGTTATGATGTGGTAAGTAGCATTTATCATAAAGATATCATTCAATACTATCATATTGTTTTATTCCTTCCCTGATCAATAGTAGCAGCATAAAATCCTTATTCCTTGTCTATAATAAAAGTTTCTAAAGATGAAAATTTTAAACTACAATTTTTGTTATTTCTAGGAATTTCAATCCGTATTATGGGTCCTTTTTCAATTAAAATCTAAACATATCACAGCTGATGCATAAAAAGTTTATCCTGCTTTTAAATTTCACATTGTATGACTTTTAAATCAAAATTCTTTTGAAAGCATCCGTCGAATTAATCTTTCGCAAAATTTCGTTTTAACTTTCATCTAATTTTAAAATCACCATACAAAGTTTGTAATTGTCTATTGACGAATTAGCCTACTAACAACTGAATTGTGTGATAATTCAGCTTTTCAAAAATCAGTTTTGGTGTATTTCGCTATCACCTGGATATGAACATTCTGAGTTATACGATCATTTATTTTAACCAAGACAGGCGACTTGTTTCATACAAATTGTTAAGCTTTGTATTTGTAGAAAATTTGGACTAGGTAATGATCTGTCTAATTGGTTGATACAAAGGACTTATGAAGTGTGTGGCCGCTTAGTAGGGGATGTTTACTTCTCCTAGACACGCAATCCCACCTCTGGATTTTCCAGGGATCAGTGTATGTATGTCATGTTCAATGATTTATATCTAATATTTTTTTTCAAGATCATTTTTCATACTTAAATGTAATCTCGACAAATGCATAGAATCATTAGTTTGTTCATAGAGTAGACTTCTATTCGCTTAAAATATCAGGAAAACAATTCAGGTACATCCGTTTATTCCATAACCATAAAAATATATACATATGTATTTACAAAAACAAAATCAGTGTCATTACTAATCTTCAATTCCGTGTTTACATCCTGTCGTCAGTCTTATGGTCCACTAGTATTTACCTAAAAATACACGTACAAATTGATCATAGAATACAATATTAGGTGTAATCGTTTGGTATTTTCTCTCCTTTTGAATATCATAATAAAACAATTACCAGATTTGTATCCACCATAGCCTCCGGAAAACCCATCATTAAGATCATCAAACCCACTCAAACTGGAAGACAAACTGGAGAAATCAGAAAATCCACTGAGTCCGGATCCGGGAAATCCACCTCCAATACCCGATAATCCTCCACTTGGGAATCCGGAACTACCAGAGGAGAAACTAGAACCACTCCTGGTAAGACTTAAAGACCTGCCGCTAGATGGGAATCCTCCGAGACCACTGCCTCCAGTAGGGAATCCGGTTCCTCCAAGAGGAAAGCCTCCACCAGTTCCCCCGATGGGGAATCCACCTCCAAGATTTCCTCCGCCGATGGGGAAACCAGCACCACCAGTTGGAAATCCTCCACTTGGGAATCCAGAACTACCAGATGAGAAACTAGAACCACTTCTAGTCAAACTTAAAGAGCTGCCACCAGATGGGAATCCACCAAAACCACTGCCTCCAGTAGGGAATCCAGTTTCCCCAATAGGGAAGCTTCTACTACTTCCCCCGAGAGGGAATCCACCTCCACGACTACCACCTCCGATAGGGAATCCGGCACCACCAGATGGGAATCCACCAAAACCACTGCCTCCAGTAGGGAATCCAGCTCCCCCAATAGGGAAGCTTCCACTAGTTCCCGCGAGAGGGAATCCACCTCCGATAGGGAATCCGGCACCACCAGTAGGGAATCCTCCACTAGGAAATCCAGAACCACCAAGAGGGAATCCTCCTCCAAGACCTCCACTGCCAATTGGTAAACCTCCTAAACCTCCACTGCTTAAAGGAAAGCTGGCACCTCCGCTCGGGAATCCTCCCAATGGCATTCCTCCTCCCAAGCCAGAACTTCCCAAAGGCAAACCTCCAATACCACCACCTAATGGAGAACCTGATCCGCCAAGTGGAAAACCACCAGTTAGACTACCTCCACCAAGAGGGAACCCTGCACCGCCACTTGGGAGTCCACCTGTAGGAAATCCAGAACCTCCCTGTGGGAATCCTCCTCCAAGACTGTTGCCTCCTAAGGGGAGGCCTCCGATACCACTTCCCAATGGGGAACCTGATCCTCCCAGCGGAAGACCTCCAAATCCAGGGCTTAATGGGAATCCACCAGTTGGACTGCCCCCAGTAGGGCTGATACCACCTCTACCTCCTAATGGAAAAGCTCCACTACCGCCAAATCCTGGAAATCCCCCTCTGCCAAAGTTAAACCCATCAGGAATGATGTGTAGTCTGACTAAGTATTGGTAATACTGTAGATATTGGACAGAGGTTGGTCCGTATGTGACAAATAAATAGTAGAGATACTGAATGTACACGACATATCTGTATCCACCAGTTGGATAAGTGGGGTAGGTTGAGGACGGACCGGAGGGAATGGAAGGATAACCTATAATAGTAATATATATTGGTCATTGAATTGATACTCAGATACCCTACTAAAATCAGTAAAAAATGTATGTCCTATCCGAGAAAAAAGTAAAAATAAATTTACCAGAGCTATATGTGGCAGCCACGTAAGTGACCAACAGTAGAAAGCACACCTCCTTCAGCATGATTTCTGCAAATGTTACAAATTTAAAGAAATTAAAATATTTTTTTTCTTTTAGTTAAAAAACATTTCGTGTCAATCTTTTACAAAATATTTGCATTTTAATAGAATGATTTTTCAACAAATCTAAATTTAATAATTATAGAATAATTTTTCCCACATTAAAATTATTTTTAAAAATATTAATTTTACATTCATTATTCTAAACTCTACAAAAGATTTCTCTTCTTTTCATGTGAATGAAATACCTTTTTGCGTGTTTCTAGCTTCTGGAAAGACACTGGACTGAAGATGAACTGTCTTGGAGGCCTTTTATATGTTTCATCTCGTTATGAAATTTTTGTGAGTGGAATTAGCAGGATGATCAGCACGAATCGAATTCCGATCAGGAAGTTAATGAAAACATTAAAGTAATGCATGTTTAGCATCTGTAGTTTGTTTCATTGACAAAATAAACTGGTTCTATGTACTGTGTCGTATTGTTCATCAAATGCTAATACCGTGTTTGACTATACATGTCTGTGTTCTAAAGTTTGAACAGGTGCACGACATTGCAAGCCATTGTCGGACGATGCGTCAAACTACCTTTATTTTTGGAATGCTTCTACATTTTAAATTTCATAAATATGTGCGCAGCAATGTTTCCCAAATTTAGAAAATCTGTTTACCTGTTCAAATTGTAAAAAAGAAAGCAAGCAGTCGATATGGAATCGTTTTGTTTTCAGTAGAACCCTGGACATAGTGTTTCTAGTAAAGCAGGATTTAAAAAGACAAGGAGCAGCCCCAATGCTTTACAGATAAGTTGAAGTCAATCTTTCATATTCTTGTATGTGTGATACTGTTATTAAATTATTGATTCGAAAAAAATCTTTGAAATGTGCACAAGTTGAAAAGTAAAAGATAAAATGGAACTTAAAAAACAGGAGACCTCAAAGGAAAATCCAAAATGTAAAGTGCTCATAAGAGCTTTCCTTTATTACAAAAAGTAATAAAAATCTATTGATTCATAACAGCGTTGTGAAAATACTACACTTGAAGTAATTTTACCAATATAATAGAAAAGACTTGTTTTGTTTGCCTTCTTTTCTAGAACTTCTAGAGATTTGGAGGTCTGTGAATTTAGAGACGTACTCTTAACATTAGGATCAATTTCTTTTTCGCGAATCTATTGCAAATTCTCTAGCCACTGTGCTTCGCAGGGGCTATATGCAAATTCCATGTTCACAGTAAAAAACTTTAATTAAAAGCACTGAAATAAATGGCCGGATTTAATTTTAAAAAGATGACAAAACTTCAATACCGATGATACATCAACACCAGGGTATACTCTTTGCATTCGTTACACCTTTCTTGTCACGGGTATTTGTCCCAGATAGCAGGATGTTATTGGACCTTTGTTGGGCCAACAACGCTCCTTATGTTGGGCCACTGTTTGAATTCAACATTGGGCCATCGGTAATTTGCTCATCGGCCCTTAATCAAACCAACTTGTTGGCTTATTGTTGGGCCAATGTAACAGTTAATATTGGGCCACTGTTGGGCCAATGTATTATTTCAATATTGGGCAAACGTCATTTTTGTACAATTGGGCCATTGTAAGCAACTAATGTTGGGCCAACGGTAATTTGCTCATCGGCCCTTAATCAAACCAACTTGTTGGCTTATCGTTGGGCCAATGTACGTAACAGTTAATATTGGGCCACTGTTGGGCCAGTGTATTTTTTCAATGTTGGGTAAACGTCATTTTTGTACAGTTGGGCAATTGTAAGCAATTAATGTTGGGCCAACGGTAATTTGCTCATCGGCCCTTAATCAGACCGACTTGTTGGCTTATTGTTGGAACAACGAACGGATATCATTGAGCCCTTTTTGGGCCACTTATTCTTTCAATATTAGGAAAACATCATTTTTGGGCCAACGTTGATTTGTATCTTATTGGCTCTCCATGACAACTCATTTGCTCTTCACTGGTTAACCATTTGTCCTCAAAATTGACAAACAAATACATGTATATACAATAAGGTTATACTAGTTTTGTAGTACAGTTTAATGGTAAAAGCCCTTTAATACTATCTTGTATGCTACTTATGCTAGTCTAGATTAATATTTTAATACATATTCTCAATATCTCATAGAATTGACATCAACAAGTATTGCATTGTAAGTAGCTCTACAATAATTAAATAACTGAGGAAAAAGAAATCAAAATATAAAATTAAGTTATCACATACTATAATTTTATTGCTCAGTGCATGAAGAAAACATTAATAAAGAATTAAAAGTCGATGCTCACTTCAAGCGATACATGTAGGGTTACATGACTGTATACTCACTCTCTGATGTAAATTATGCACAAGTTCAGTAAATTACAGGTATCAATAAGCACGTCTAAGAAATAAACAAAGCCCTCCTGTTCTTAAAATAATACTAAAATGAATCCCGTCATTTTGTTTACTTACACAAAAATGTTTCTGGCATCTGCATCGTGTTTATAACCGACAAACAGACACAAAAAAGGGTAGAACTACAGGTATGTCACACTATATTACAGAAAAAAAGTTAGGCACTGCCACTTTCCATCTGATCCTCTCCTAAGTCTCCATTTCCTCTTCCCGAATCTCCTCCTCCCCCTTCTTTTCTTCTCTGTCCGTTTCTTCCTCCCCCATCCCTGTCCTTGGCATATCTTAGCCATTCTTTGATTGTGTTCTCCATGTCTTTTAAGAATCTCCAGTAACACTAAAATTGTAATATTTGGTACTTAATACATTTGTTACTTTTCTCAGTAAAGAGTAATCATACGATTAAATTTACAAGTATATCACTATATGTTTAAGCTGTCAATTAAGGAACAACCGTCGTTTTTGCTTCATTGTGTGATTAAGTGATTAGCTTGCGTGATGAAGGCATTTATGCATGATATTTATACGCTTGATAATCATCATCACAATAAATTTGATTCAATGTTGCCCCATATAAAATACATGTATTGAAAATTTGTCGTTACAATGAACAAATTTTTAATGAAAGAACCCAATTTATTTTTAGTACTGAATAAATTTTGTTTTAACTTCAGCAAGTTCATCATTTTCAAAATGTTTGATCATGTACTCGACGTTAAGTGTACATAAGTAAATTAAGTTAGACTTCGGAAATGTATTCTACTATAGACACAAATTCCAATTTAAATAAGGAGCAAATTGTTTATTGTTTTAACTGTAACTGTAACTTTTTATACTTTCATTTATTTTTCTTGTATAGAAGCAAAATATTTAATCACTGATAATTTATTTTGTTTTGATAAAATATAAGAATTTTAAATTTATTTTAGCTAGCTTGATTTTTCAAGAAGGATTGGTTGTAGATTTATTTCTGATTGTAGAGACGATCAGATTTGTTAATATATAGATTTGTAACAATTAAATGTTTATACACATTGGCCCAATGTCGGTCCAATATATCGGGCTGACATTGGGCAAAGGAGCAAAATGACACTGGGCTAACGTCATTTACCAACATAGGCCCAATGTTCTTGTTGACGTTTCGCCAACAATGTCGCATTCATTGGGCCAATGTTGGCGCAACGTTGGGCCAATATCTGTAGAAATACCACTCTACATTGGGCCAACGTTGGCCCAACATATCGGGCCAACATTGGGCCGATGAGCAAACTTAAATTGGGTCAATGCCATTTTCCAACATTGGCCCGATGTAACCGATTACATTGGCCCAACGTTGGCCCAATGTTAGCATGCTATCTGTACGGTGTTGACCCAACAGCACCTGGCCTCTGCACTTCTCCGTGTCTGATTTACGAAGATTTGTACATGATATCGTTTAAAAACTAAACGTTAATTCAGCTGTGCCGTGGCAAACATATTATATATTAATACTTACAAAGTGGATGCAGATATGCAAGGTATCAGTCTCATTACGCTAGCTCGTGTCAGATTAAAAATGGCGCGGATATTACAAGTAGCACGGTTGTTGTCTACCCATGATCCTCAGTCAGATTCATGGTATATTGGACCAACGTAGGGCCGATGCCAATCCCCAAACAAATATTTTCTCTCATTATGATATAATGCCAACAGTTAGCCCAACATTAGCGCACTATTACATGCATACATAACCAGCTATCAATATTCCATGTTGGGCCATTGTTGGCCCAATCAAGGTAACCCAACATAGATAAAAGAACCATAATGTAAGATTGGGCCAACGGTGTTCCGCTATCTGGGTTATTATAAATAAATTAGCATATACACAATTCAAAAAAAGAATAAAACAAACACTCTTTGGTGCTTGATCACTTAAGTGCAAAGTTAAAATGTTGAAAATATCATATCTAAACAAAAGCAGTCAACCAATGATAAGCATGAACATAGAAAGTCCTTTTAATTATTTCAGAATGTGCCAACCTTGTCCCAACGTAAAGCTCAGCAGCTAATTATAAAATTAACACCATCAATTAGTTGGAAGTATAATAATTGGGCTAACGTTGGCCCAATATAAATATCCCATCTTTGAAAGACCTAAACAAAATAACACTTGTGTGTATTACAAACATTGTGCCAACGTTGGGCCAACATACTACTACCAACTTGATAGGACACGTTCTGTAAGGGTGTATTACAAACAATGGGCCAACGTTGGGCCTACATACTACTACCAACTTGATAAGGCACTTTCTTTAAGGGTGTATTACAAAAAACGGGCCAACGTTGGGCCAACATACTACTACCAACTTGATAGGACACGTTCTTTAAGGGTGTATTACAAACAATAGGCCAACGTTGGGCCTACATACTACTACCAACTTGATAAGGCACTTTCTTTAAGGATGTATTACAAACATTGTGCCAACGTTGGGCCAACATACTACTACCAACTTGATAGGACACGTTCTTTAAGGGTGTATTACAAACAATGGGCCAACGTTGGGCCAACATAATAATACCAACTTGATAAGGCACTTTCTTTAAGGGTGTATTACAAACAATGGGCCAAAGTTGGGCCAACGTACTACTACCAACTTGTAAATACACTTTCTTTAAGGGTGTATTATAAACATTGGTCCAACGTTGGGCCAACGCCATGATCCTTCCTTCTTTTGAAACTAAAGTGAATGGAAGTTGCATACGTTGGACCAAGGTTGGGCCAACATAGGAATTTCGTCATGGTCGAGAAGGTTGGCTTGGTAACATTGGTCCAACGTTGGCCCAACGTTGTTTCCCCAACGCCAACCATACAACTTTTAACTAATGTTGGCCCAACATAGTCATGCTATCTGGGGTGTGGGATGGCGACTTGTGCCCTGTGCTGGTTATCTTGCGTTATCTTTGTTTACGTTCTATTGCAGTTAGTGTTTCTGTGTTTGTATACTGCACTCATTTGTACAACTATAATTGTAAGTTTACTTGGTATCTTACTTTCTTGTATTAGAAGACGTACTAGTTATAATTCTCGCTACCGAGTGCTGTATAGCATACGTCCTTCTACACCGGAGCCGGTTTATTACACTGAACAGTGTGTAAGTCAGGCCCTTTACATAGGGAACCTCAGATAAAGCGAGAATCGGTACAAAATGGCAGAAACATCCCTTTGCGAATTGTGTTCACTTTTAACTTCATATCTTTTTAATACTCCTAAAGTACTGTGGAATCATAAATTTTCGTGGTGGTTTAATTTTTTTTTTCGAGCTATGGAGAGACCCATGAATTCATGGCCACTACGAAATGTAAAATGTCACATACATAACTACTCAACAATTCTACATCTACGAAATCAAATCCCCATGAACCAAAAGTCCTCAAACCACGAAAATTTTACCCCACGAGAATATGTGATTTTACAGTATGAAAAAGAACCTATTTACTATTGACTCCTTAAGTGTTCTATAGTGTAAAAGATGACGAACCCGAACAGTGATCGATCTCCCAAATTTTGTAATGCCTAATCGCTAACAAGGCAAAAACAGAGACCTATGTAATCATCATAGGTAGGATCAGGTGGTTAGGATGAGTAAGCATCTTGTGCCGACAGCTAGCCTCTGTCGTGGTCCCTATCTATTAATCAGGAAGACACAATACACTGTAGTCAAAATGAGTATCAAAGCAATGACCTTTCAAATGGTATGAAACATATCTGAGAAAAAACCGAACCAACGATAGGAACAAGCCTATCAAGACTGCATATTTGCCTAAAATTAACAAACGGTTTTTTTTATTCTTGTACCATCAAACTTTTTGTCATAGTTATCATTTAAGGGTATCCAACTGTTTCTTTTTTTCTTTTTTTTTTGTTCTCCGATTGATAGCAGCTGAATAAAATCCTTAGCCCGTATTTTTTTTATGAACTTATATCTGTATAGTGGGTGCCAAATTATAACGCTTTTTCTTAAATCACCTCACCGTTGATGCATAAAAAGTGTACCCTGCTTTCTAAACAAATTTCTGAATTTCACATCGTTTGACCTTTTAAATCAGAATTCTTTTGAAACCATTTATCGACTAAATATATCGCAAATTTTCATTTAAACTTTCATTTAATTTTTAAATCAAAATAAAAGGTTTGTTACATTTTAAAATAGAAATATACATAACATCATGGAAGGATATATTTTTGCTGCTTCGATTTACATGAATGTAAGTAATTAATTATCATTAAATTACATGCATCAGTTATAAGATCCATGAACAAGAAGTAAGTCAGGCACAACTGTTTCATACTTGGATATTTTACTTGAAAAAGACGTTAATGGTAATCTACCAACCAAGTTCTATGATAAAAGTGATAAATTTAACTTTTCATTCGTCAACTTGTCTTACTTAAGCAGCAATATACCTTCATCATCTGCATAGGGAGTTTGTATCTCTCAGTTAATTCGATACTCAAGAGCATGCTCTAAGTATGTAAAATTTCTAAAACGAGGTAAATTGACAAACAGGTTGATAAACAAGAATACCAGCAGTCTCGTTTTTAATCATAATTTCGAAAGTTCTATGGTTGATATAATGACCTTGTCGGCAAATACAATTTATCATTGAGTCAAATGTTGACTGACGTTTTTCATACTAATTGTTCGTCCAATTATTTACACACTGAATTGACGAAGGACTTTCCCGTTAATTTCTGATCATAAAAAGGAGCACACGACGTGTGAGATCGGTCGATAGGGGATGCTCCATGGCACCTGATCCCACCTCTGATGTTTCGGAGGTCCGTTTTTGCTCTATTCCTTTTTGTATTTTTTATTGGACTTTTGAGATTGAATGCTATTTGTTATCGCCATATATTTCCTAAAACACTGCCACCCTAGATTTTAATAAAAATTATCATAGGGAACAATAGAAAATAAACGAAACTTTTACCAGAATTTCAAATTATTGTTTCATTTCCATTAATTCCAATCATCATTAGAATGAACTTATAAAGTTATATATAGCTCTATTTCTCGAAAAAAAAAGTTTTGGGTAAAGTTCCATAGAGAATGAAATGGTCCGTAGAAATCTCACAATACTTCTTTACGAATAAATCAGTGTCTTTTTGAAATTTCAAATCAATTTTAATCTGAAAATCAATTTAAACGGTTGATGTTAACTGGGCTTATCAATATGTTACAATTTCAAGCAATTACTGAAGCTCCTATCAATCGACATCATTAAAGCTGAAAGTAGAAATGAATACAAAAAGAAATAATGAAACCACAGAATCTGCCGTAGTTTGTGTTTTTTATTGGACTTTTGAGCTTGAATACTGTTTTATTTCTCTATGTATTTATAAATAAATTTAATTCGGATGTGTTATTGTTGTTTGACGAAAAAAGCCAATTAACAGCTAAATACGAAATAACGCGAGTACCTCGCAATTATCTAACGTACTACAGCTCTTTTGCGGAGGAGTCGAAAAAGCTCTAAATCTCGCAAGATTTCCGGGGCACATGACATTGTTTACAGTAGTGACAATCGAATGATTTGAACAATTTTATGCCGAAAGTACAATGTATTGCCAAGGATTGAACTTCAAATAGTAGAATATCAAATAAGGATGCTTAGAATATTTTATCATCTTCAAAATGTTACGATTTTCATTGAAAATTTAATGAGAAGAGTTTGCTTAGTTAAAAATATCGTTAAAAATGTAACATTTTAGGATTAGTTCCTCTCAAAAATTGATTAGGCTGGTTCAGCAATTGTTTAGCAAGGTCTTCAATTATCTGTCAATTATTAAGCTTGTATTCTATTCAATAGCACATTCGCCCCCATCCAACAGACATTTTCTACCTCCATCGCTAAAGAGTTTCGCTATAAGTTAAGTAATCGCGATATCAAGTATTGTCTATTGCGAAAAGGCCGACTAACAGCTAAATTGTGTGATAAAAGATAATAATTCAGCTTTTGTAGTATTTCACTATCACCTGCACCTGAGTTTGATCAATTTTTGCACCGAGGCAAGCGACTGAGATTTACATAAGTTGATGTTACAGGGATTTTAAAATAACTAGTTAAATGAGCATTTTGTAAACTCTATGTTCATTATAATGAACCTATTGGAAAAGGAAATATAAATTATCATGGGGTCGTATTGTGATTGACTTGTTTCACAACAATTGTTAGGGTTTGCATTTGTACGAAATTTTGACTAGGTAATGATCTGTCTAATGGATTAATACAGAAGACTCATGACGTGTGTGGCCTCTCAATAGGGAATGTTTACTCCTCCTGAGCATGCAATCCAACCTCTTGAATTTCCAGGGATCCGTGAATATGTCCAAAGACTTACATTTTTTGAATTTTTTTTCAATATCGACCACTATTAATTATCTTCACCCTTTTTCTTCATAAGTTTTCAAGCGCCTTTCTTCATAAAAACAATTTTTCATACTGAAATATTACCTCAATAAATGCATTGAATCGTTGATTTGTTCATAAAGTGGACATCAATTAGCTTAAAATATCAGGAAAAAAATTCAGGCGTCATCTGTTTATTCCGTAACCATAAAAATATATATTTACAAAAAACAAAATCAGTGCCATTCCATCTTCAATTCCGTGTTTACATCCTGTCTGACGTCTTATGGTCCACTAGTATTTACCTAAAAATACACGTACAAATTGATCATAGAATACGATATTAGGTGTAAAGGTTTGGTATATTTTCTTTTCTTTTGAATATTATAATAAAACAATTACCAGATTTGTATCCACCATAGCCTCCGGAAAACCCATCATTTAGATCATCAAACCCACTCAAACTGGAAGACAAACTGGAGAAACCAGAAAATCCACTGAGTCCGGATCCGGGAAATCCACCTCCAATACCCGATAATCCTCCACTTGGGAATCCGGAACTACCAGAGGAAAAACTAGAACCACTCCTAGTAAGACTTAAAGACCTGCCGCCAGATGGGAATCCTCCGAGACCACTGCCTCCAGTAGGGAATCCGGTTCCTCCAAGAGGAAAGCCTCCACCAGTTCCCCCGATAGGGAATCCACCTCCAAGATTTCCTCCGCCGCTGGGGAAACCAGCACCACCAGTTGGAAATCCTCCACTTGGGAATCCGGAACTACCAGATGAGAAACTAGAAGCACTTCTAGTCAAACTTAAAGAGCTGCCACCAGATGGGAAGCCACCAAAACCACTGCCTCCATGGGAATCCAGTTCCCCCAAAACCACTGCCACCTCCAAGACTACCACCTCCGATAGGGAATCCAGCTCCCCAAAACCACTGCCTCCAGTAGGGAATCCAGCTCCCCCAATAGGGAAGCTTCCACTACTTCCCCCGAGAGGGAATCCACCTCCAAGACTACCACCTCCGATAGGGAATCCGGCACCACCAGTTGGGAATCCACCAAAACCACTGCCTCCAGTAGGGAATCCAGCTCCCCCAATAGGGAAGCTTCCACTACTTCCCCCGAGAGGGAATCCACCTCTAAGACTTCCACCTCCTATAGGGAATCCGGCACCACCAGTTGGGAATCCTCCACTTGAAAATCCAGAACCACCAAGAGGGAATCCTCCTCCAAGACCTCCACTGCCAATTGGTAAACCACCTAAACCTCCGCTGCTTAAAGGAAAGCTGGCACCACCGCTCGGGAATCCTCCCAACGGCATTCCTCCTCCCAAGCCAGAACCTCCCAAAGGCAAACTTCCAATACCACCACCTAATGGAGAACCTGATCCGCCAAGCGGAAAACCACCAGTTAGACTACCTCCACCAAGAGGGAACCCTGCACCACCACTTGGGAATCCACCTGTAGGAAATCTAGAACCTCCCAGTGGGAATCCTCCTCCAAGACTGCTGCCTCCTAAGGGGAGGCCTCCGATACCACTTCCCAATGGGGAACCTGATCTTCCCAGCGGAAGACCTCCAAATCCAGGGCTTAATGGGAATCCACCAGTTGGACCGCGCCCAATAGGGCTGATACCACCTATACCTCCTAATGGAAAAGCTCCACTACCGCCAAATCCTGGGAATCCCCCTCTGCCAAAGTTAAACCCATCAGGAATGATGTGAAGTCTGACCAAGTATTGGTAATACTGTAAATATTGGACAGAGGTTGGTCCGTATGTCACATATAAATAGTAGAGGTACTGAATGTAAACGACATATCTGTATCCACCAGTAGGATAGGTGGGGTAGGTTGAGGACGGACTGGAGGGAATGGAAGGATAACCTATAATAGTAAAATATATTGGTCATTGAATTGATATTCAGGTACCATACTAAAATCGGTCATACATGTATGTCCTTTCCGAGAAAAAAAGTAAAATTAAAATTACCAGAGCTATATGTGGCAGCCGCGTAAGTGACCAACAGTAGAAAGCAAGCCTCCTTCAGCATGGTTTCTGCCAATGTTAAGAAATTTAAAGAAATTAAAACGTCTCTTCTCTTTTAGTTGAGATATATAAAATATTTTGTGTCAAGCTTTTACAAACTACTTTTATCAAATCAAAATTCAATAATTTTATAATGATATTTTCCAGATTAGAATTAAAAATACAAATTCTATACTGTAAAAAAGCTTTCTCTGAAAGATTATTTTTCTTCTCTTATTATGAATGGAATACCTTTTTGAGTGTTTCTAGCCTCTGGAAAGACACTTGACTGAAGTTGAACTGTCTTGGAGGCCTTTTATATGTTTCATCTCGTTATGAAATTTTGGTGAGTGGAATTAGCAGGATGATCAGCACGAATCGAATTCCGATCAGGAAGTTAATGAAAACATTAAAATAATGCATGTTTAGCATCTGTAGTTTGTTTCATTGACAAAATAAACTGGTTCTATGTACTGTGTCGTATTGTTCATCAAATGATAATACCGTGTTTGACTATACATGTCTGTGTTCTAAAGTTTGAACAGGTGCACGACAATGAAAGCCATTGTCGGACGATGCGTCAAACTAACTTTATTTTTGGAATGCTTCTACATGTTAAATTTCATAACTATGTGCTCATCAATGTTTTTCTTTAGGTACATGTGTTCAACCTTTCAAATTGTAAAAAAGAAAGTAAGCAGTCGATATGGATTCATTTTGTTTTCAGCAGAACCCTGGGCATAGTGTTTCCAGTCAAGTAGGATTTTAAAAAAAGACAAGGAGCAGCCCCAGTGCTTTACAGATAAGTTAAAGTCAATCTTTCATATTCTTTTGTATGTGGTTTTATTTTTAAATTATTATCTTGAAAAAATAATTAAAATGTACAAATCTTGAAAAGTAAAAGATAAAATGCAATGTGAAGAACAAAAGATCTTTTTTAAAAAGGGGAATGGAAATCCCAAATGCATAGTGCTCATAGGCACATTTTTATTGATAAAAAAATATTTATACTATTGAATCATGAAAATACCTAATTATGAAATAATTTTATCGATATATATATAAATATATATATATATATATATATATATATATATATATATATATATATATATATATAAATATATATATACAAATGTTTTTGTTTTGTTACATTGCGAATATATATATAACAAATCTTCTAACTAGTTGCTACGCAGTGGCTATATTTATGCAAATGTCATGTTCACCGTAAAAAGAAATTATTATCAGTTAAGTAATCAAAAATACTCATAAAAATATCTCTGAACTCACAAAGTAATGTAAATTTATCCAAAGTATTTCTTTAAAGTTTAAGATCAAAGTTAATCATATTATATAGGAAAATTGTCAAATCTCTAATTTTTTTTCTTATTTTTTTTTCGTACAGACAAATGTACTTAAGTTCAGATTATTTGAAATATAAAAGATGATACTAAGCATTAATTATTCATAAATTCCAGTTTGTATATCTACATTATGTTAGCAGTATACAGATTTGCAACAGTAACTTATGTTACTTTTAACTCCATAGCTGCTCTTTAATGTAAAAGGTGACGATATCCAACATTGCTAAATCTCATAAATGTAGTAAAAATTGAACCGTGAAAACGACAGAAACACGTACCTCTGAAAAAAACCAGAGGTGGGATCAGGTGCCTAAGAGTTGTAAGCATCCCCTGCCGACCGCTCGCCTAAGCCGTGATTCTTATCTGTTGATCAGAAAACGGAGTTAGATCTGACAAAAAGCGACCCAACGATAGTTTAAGGTCTTTATAAAGACTGTATTGATTGATTGATTGTATATTGTTTAACGTCACACTCGACAATTTTTCACTCATATGAAGACGTCACCATTTGCCGGTGAAGGGCTTCAAATTTAGGCCTATACTCGGCACTCAGGGCCATTGAGCAGTGAGGGTTCTTTAACGTGTTAAAGCCTACCGTGACACGGGACCTACGTTTTTAAGGTCATATCCGAAAGACCCTTGACATTCACTTCTAGTGCTGAGCGCTTGACGAAGGAACAGTCACTACCTATGTTTACGTCTTAGGTTTGACGCAGCGCCGCGAACAAGAATCGAACCCGGGCCTCCCGATCACGAAGCGAATGCTCTACCACTAGGCTACCGTGACCGGTATTATATAAAGACTGTAGGAATGCGAGAAAAAAATGACTAAGAAGTTTTTAAAGTTATCCTTGTACCATCAACGTTTTTGCCAATATCTTGACTTGATTTAAGAATTTATCGTATAATCCAGAGCATGATCTTGTACGTCGAATCATTTGGTAGATATAAACACAATATGCAGTTGATGTTGCTACATTAATATGGGAAGTTGATTATCTAAAAGCTGTAGTTACTCACCCTGTCAAACAGTTTATACTGAAAGGAAAAAGAAACGCATAATAGCATAATAGCGAAAAATATTTAACTATGTGGCCGAAAATTATGAAAGTTGGTCAGATGTGTATTTTTGGTTACTGTGCACTAAAATCGCTGGTCAAATTTACTCAACCATGAAATGTATGGTGTCACGTAGGGGAAGTGATAAAAAGCCAAATACACGTGCATGTTGATGATGACAATTTTGTGATCACATTTTGTAGTGCCAAGAGATGCATAAGAGTTATAGACATCGTTTTCCGATATTTGCAGTCAGTAAAAATTTCTTGCAATCAAGGTATGGCTGACGGAAGTTACATTGGGTCTAGTAATTCAGTTGCATAAGTGAGTAAAAAGGCAACAACATGTTGCTGTGCAGTTTGTTTTTAACTTTTCAACCAAAAAAGTTTTTTTCGGTTGTCGGAGAGTAACTTAAAAGTTTTCCAACCAACCATGAGGGTGACGTTGGCGCGTAACAACGTCACATCAAGATTGGGCTTTTCATCATGCTACCTCGGTTATTGTCAAGTCATTATCACTGAAACCGATATTTTTACAGCAGGCAATCGTACTCATATTTTCACCCTAATACTGACAGAAACTCTCTGCTCTAATTTGGTACGCAAGTTTGGCAACTTTACATTTTTACTCTCACACGCGCACGTACGTGCCGTATGCGTAATTTTTTTAGCATGTTCACATTGGGAAAATGTAGCTAGTGTTTGTCGATACTTCCTTACAAACATTCATGTGTATCAAACCGGCTGGATCCTGTAAATTCTATCCTAAATCGAAAATTCGTGGGATTCATTGGGCGGGGGATTTGTTGGCTTTGGAATAATACAGCTACCCTCAACCATTAAGACTACCGTCGGAAGACTTGAATGATAATCCTGTGACAAAGATAAATGCTTTGGTGAATTCAATGCACAAGAAAATCAAGGCTGTTACTGATGCGCAAGGGAGATGATGAGAATTTTAATTTTAATTTTGGGGGGTATCGACATATCAATTTCAATAACTCAGGAATTATCAGTCAAAGTCACACAAGATTTCGGTTACTTGTTGTTTAAAGTCGGATTAAAATGTTTGATAATAATACTGGAAAACATATTGGAAATAAAAGTTTTAATTTCAATTTTACTCAAAAGTTTATTATGCGTTTCTTTTTCCTTTCAGTATAGTTATTTCATTATTATTATTAAGGTCTTCCGTCTTCAGCGGAAGACCTTCACTTTTTTATTATTATTGTTTTTTTTTCAAAAATGTGCACGCGATTTCTCGGACAATTTTCATGAAACTTTCAGGATCTGATAGAACATCAAGCAAATCTGATATATAATTTTTTGTTTTGAACTGTTTATTTTCGCGAATTTTTCATCTGAACGTTAAATTTTCAGCGTTATATAACATTATCAGCCTATACTCCTTATTACATTCATATTATTCTGTCTTAGGTTAATTTGTTTTCCTCAAAGAAGCAAAGTTGAAAATATCAAGCTTTATCTAATGCAGTCGTCAAAATGTGTCCGGCGAATCACTTCCGGCCCTTTTTTGCTGCTGTACTGGAAGCTTAAATCTAATGTTCTATACGCGCGTCTATAAGATCAGAAACCTCACTTCGTTGGGCTGTCACAACCATCAAAACTTAAAAGAAACGCCAAGGAATGGCAAGAATTTTACAACTGTTGTTTAATAGTCAAATAAGTGTCATATAATGTTCTCAGTGCAATTCGAAGTTTGCGGTTTTGTTGTTTATCCTACAACATGAAATAAAGCAATTATTCACCATGCACCTAGATTATACAGCTATAACATCATGATTTATATATATATAATGAATATTATATTTTTTTATCATATGCTTTGATAGTGATTTACCTCCTCTTGTACAGTTGTCTTTATGAATCTAAGGAATCCTGTACAAGAAGTAATAATGTAAATCAACATTCTAAGGCTACGCCTATTCTGCAAATCTTATCAATTGTTTTAGCTGTTTATTTTTCATTTTCTGGAAAAGTTGAAGTTGAACAACCTGTTTGCTGTACTCTATGACAATTCACTCTGTCACAACATCAAAACTCCTTGGCAAGAATTTTAGTTTTTATTTAAGTATTAATGTTCAATTTGAATATATATATCTACATGAGCACATTAATATGATACTTTTTATCATATGCTTTGATCATTTACTGCCATTAATGTAAATCAACATTCTAAGGCTACGCCTATTCTGCAAATTTTATCAAATGTTTTAGCTGTTTATTTTTCATTTTCTGGAAATGTTTTGTTGACAATTTCGTCCCATATCCTTGTAGTTTTTATTTAGTATTCAATTTAATATATATATACGTCTAAACCTTCAACTGCTATTCAGTACATCTATATTCCTAGTCAGTTCTATCAATATCGTCTACAAATACACGAGATAAAAACACCTCTAGAGCTTGCAGAGAATTTATTTTTATATACATATACACATACACCAGTCTACGATGATTCGATGATGGGCGTCGTTTTCGGGCGTCGGTTGACTTTCCTGTTTAATAATACTTCTTTCCTAAGTAAATCAAAATCAAAATCTTTCATTAAATTAAAGTAAATTATATAAAAGCTTTCATCAGAGTCATGAAAGGCATTTTAGCCTTCAGTATGTTATGAAAAAATAATTTGATTGTTCGTTTTGTGAAATTAATTATATCGGCTATTCATAATGTATATTTTTTATTGCATAAAATTACGATATACAATGGATTAAACAAAACTGAAATAAAATATTTATCCAATATAAGATGCTCATTAATTTAATTCTGCTTGACATTTTTTCTAAACTTTTAAACTCTGGCAATTTTATGTCTTCATCGAGGTTCATATGTATGTCACGATACATTGTAAATATCCAATATTAATTGGACAGAAAATAATTGACCTTGTTTTTCTAATGAAGGCATCAGAAGTCTTCTTCCACGTTGACCCTTATATACTTGTGCTTTATATTTGTTTGACACAATCTTTATTCAGAAGACTTTTAAATTTTTCTATGTATCGAAATACAATTTTTAAAAATTAATTAACTGGTCTTCCTTTGGAGTAGGGGCCGCAGTTTGCCAACAATCCATATCTAGTATTGAAACTTTCAAGCTGATTTCAAAATTTTATCCTTGCCTTTTAAAGGTTGTCTTAGCCTTTTCTTTCTTGAAATAGTTTTAAAATGAAATCTATCTTCATGAGGTGTTGGCTGAACAAATTATAGTCCTGATGTTTTCAAGAATTAAATCACATAATCATTGAGGGCCATTTTTTAAAAGCTAAAAGAACAGTATATGAAGATATTTTTACCAAAGTTTTCTTGTAATGTGGAGGAATATCTTATATGTACCTTTCATCGCAGTACTTAAATAACAATACAATCCCTTATTCTTAACTTATCAGTGGTTGATATGTGTTAATTTAGGGGAACTTTGAAGAGAAATAGAAAATTCAACAGGAAGACAAATCATTAATGATAATTTCTACCTAATTTTCTAACTTCTCTTGAGCTAAAATATGATGAAAAAAATAATAAATAAAACATATTCAAAATTTAAAAAAATAAATAAAAATTAAATTAAATGAATCCAAACCTACCTCCTAATCCACCTCCAATACCACCAACACCGCCACCGATACCACCAAGACCGCCACCGATACCGCCAAGGCCGCCTCCGATACCACCCAAACCGCCGCCGATTCCGCCTAGACCACCGCCGATTCCGCCTAGACCACCGCCTATTCCGCCTAGACCACCACCGATTCCGCCAAGACCACCGCCTATTCCGCCTAGACCACCACTGATTCCGCCTAGGCCACCGCCATAACCTCCATATGGGAAACTTGATCCCAAAATTCTTAACAAGTAGATGATGTATTGAATATAATAGTAGAAATAATATCCTCCGCTTGGGTAGTAACCTCCTAATCCTCCTCCCAGTCCTCCTCCTAGACCTCCTCCAATACCGCTTAATCCTCCTCCAATCCCGCCAAGTCCTCCTCCAATTCCTCCTCCATAGCCGCCTAATCCTCCTCCAATACCACCTAGTCCTCCTCCTATACCACCTAGTCCTCCTCCCAATCCGCTTCCTCCACTTACAAAGCTACTGGAACTGAATCCGCTTGAGCTTATTCCTCCGGATCCACCCAACCCACCGACTCCTCCTCCCAAACCTCCGAGGCCTCCACTTAAGGCGCCTCCACCCAAACCTCCGAGTCCTCCTCCTCCAAAACCGCCACCACCATGGCCTCCCTTAACTATAGTTAATAAAAACAATAGTTAAATATCAGTATCAAGTCATAGTTTAAAATAGGTGAAAATTGCCATGACTGATGTGGAGTAAGATAGAAAAAATAAAGCATTCTCAGGCTTATACTAGGCTACTTACAGGAAGCTTGTGCATAAACAGCTAAAGCTAGAAGGACTGCAAGTTTCAACATCATCCTTTAAAAAAGAATCATAAAATATCCCGAATTGAAGTTGTTTAGCACATTATCTAGTAAAAGAGAGGAATTGAAATTTTCAAATTATGGTTTTAGTCCATTTAAAAAAAAAGAAAAAATTATTAAACACTAAATTGGAAAAAGTGTCCATAAGTATGGCTACCTGTCCTGTTTCTGTGGGCGATGTATCAATTGAGGGAACCTGTCCTCTATTTATATGCCTCTTTCCCCCAGTTTCCTTAAATTCAGCGGCTTTTTTTACGGGGAGATGAACATGGATTGAAATTAACGATATGACAAAGGTGACATTACATAATATGTTAACAATTTATGTTGTTTTTAACTCTGTCGATAAAATAAACATCGAGACGTTTTGAGATCAATGTAAAATAACGAAATATCTTCCCTGAAACAAATTATTTTCTTGTGATGTTTATTTCAGTCCGTGCATTTCCGGGTCATTTGCCATTAAATAACACAGATTTTTATGTTTATCTGCTTGTAAATTAAATAAATGCAAACAATATTAACTTTTTTTAAAAATAGTTTTTAAAAGTTTTTATTCATTTCAATTAAAAATTTTAAGCATCATTTCTTAAACATTTTGTCTGTATAATGGTAAGTTGTGGTTACAGTTATTTGTTTTTTCAGTTCATTTTATTTTGTCCTAAAATATAAGGACTGCAAAAATATTTTCATATTTGAAAAAGATGGAGAATGAATAATGTTAGCAAATAAGCTGGAAAATTGCAAGTGGTTCGATAAATAAGAAAGTGAACAAGTAAATCTTTACGTTTAGTATCGTGATGTACGAGTTTATTGTATTTTTCTTTTTTGAAATAGCATTTGTACAAATCCAAGATAAAAGACCATCTCTAATTTTAAAACACAATTTTGCTGGGAAAGATTGGTATGCACCAGATTTTCTTTGTAAATATACTAAGAATCTAAAAAAAATTATCAACAAATTTCATCTACCTTTCCCGCGCCATTTTAGAAGTAAAGTTTTAATGGGTCAAATGACAAAGAAAATTAATACATATATATGCCACTGTTCTTTGAGTAGCGTTGTATACTGTTTACCATGCCAATTTTTAAAATTGAAATAAAATTTTCACAATGCTTGTAATAAATAGTTTCATGAAAAATACTTGAAGAAATTTCTTATAAACAGAGTCAAAATCCACATTATTTTTTTTTAGTTCTTACACACTTTTTAGTGAAGATCAAAAGTTTATCTCAGAACTCGAAATTTCATTGATACTTATATAGTCTAATCTATAGACCATTCCAATGCATTATATGATCTTTGAACATTTCAATAAACACTATAAGGTGTTTCTTTCAATTATCATATGTGAATTTTGATTGAATAACCCGACCTTATTTGCAAAAGATAATCATTCCTATTTTAGCTAACTCTTACCCATATATGGGGCATATTTTGTAAAAAAATAAAACCAATCAAATTCAGAAATTTGCCGTTTGTGTGACGTAAATGTGGGTCTTTGGAAGATTTTCAAAATTTATTTCCAATGCAGTCCCATGTAAGACAGAACATTTATATAAGAGTTTTCCTACATACATAAATTATACACCAAAGACTGCATCAAATATATCAATATATCAAGATAACGAACAGTATTCAAGCTCAAAAGTCCATAAAATAATACAAGAGCAGAGTAAACATGGACCTCCGAAACAGAGGTGGGATCAGGTGCCATGGAGGAGTGAGCATCCTCTGCCGACAGGACACACCCGCCGTGTGCTCCTTGTTATGATCAGTGAATGACGGAAAATCTGTCATCAATGCAGTGTGTAAACGACTGACTTACAATTAGTATGAAAAAAGTCAGCATTTGACTCAGTGATAATTTGTATTTGGCGACAAGGTCATTATATCAACCTTAGAACTTACGAAATGATGACTTTAACGAGACTGCTGATATTCTTAAATTATCAGTTGACATGTTTAATTGCCAATAGTATACCTCGTTTTAGAAATTGTACATACGTATATCATGCTCTTGCATATCGAATCAATCGAAAGATATAAACTCCGTATGCAGGTGATGAAGGTATATTGCTACATAAGTAAGGGAAGTTGACAACTGAAAAGTTTAAGTAATCCTATTTATTATATAGCTTGGTAGTTGGATTACCATTATGTCTTTTTCAAGTAAAATATTTAAATATGAAACAGATGAATCAGACACTGCGGTATCTTTTATCTCAAGCTCACCGGAATATATCGTATCGACATAAGAATTGAAATAGTCATTGTTAATTGACAATACGTCGTCAATATATCTAAATGTTGAAATGAAGAAGGCCACAGCAAGTGCGTTCTTTTCACGAATAAGGTAATGGACAAATTCTGCTTCATATGAATGCAAAAATAGGTCTGTTAATAACGGAGCGCATTTGGTACCCATGGGAATTCCGATAGAGTGTTGGAAGACCTGGACTCCAAAAACCACATAGACATTATCAATCATAAACTCAAGCATCTTTTTATGTCAACTTAATCTATACAAGAAAAAACCTTCAACACTTCGGGAACTTTAAAAAAAGTTCTATCACTTCTGACCTAATGGCTCTTGAAAATGAAGACTAGTGGAGGTGGAGATGTACAAATTGTGTCCTATACTAGACACCCAGGGCCATTGAGCAGTGAGGGATCTTTTTCGTGCCAGCACCTACTGTGACACGGGACCTTGTTTTTACAATCTCATCTGAATATCCCACAGTGAGATTCGAACCCGCGACCTAAGGAATGACTCATTACTTAGCGACTCTAGAGCAGACGCTCTAACCACTGCGCCACTCAATTGTCCAATTAAGTCTAATGCTAGTATTTTCTATACAAATTTGATGACATCTCGTAAATACTCAATAAGAATAAAATGGAAATCGAGGAAATTTGGGAAAAAACCCACTTTTTAATACCAAGTAAAAATAAATACCAAGCGAAAAGAAATACAATTATATCTAATATTTGTCTATGTACATGTAGAACCTTGAGGCTTGTTAACGATTATATTAAAAAAACAAAACTTCAACTGCAACAAAACAATTTCACATTGAACTTCACTAGGGTTACTACAATAAGATGCATTTTCGTACACATAAAAGAAAGTGGATACCAGTATCAAAGTAATATTTGACTGCTTGTCGACTAATATTTGTATAGGTATACATTCCTGCCTTCGTAATTTACCATTCCCAGCTCCTCACAAACAACAAGTAGCCGAGACCTGGCATCACAGTACATTGGACCTGGATACCTTGATCTTAATTCGATGGCGCTAGCCGCGGTTTGCATGTAGTTCTGAAGGCGAAGAGTAGTCGATTGACTTATTCCAAATTCTGTTTTTGTATGGCACGTGATGATCGTACTTCCGGCTGACGTCAGTGCCGTTATTTTCTCGTCAATTCTTGACCCTAAAGGTCCAAGAGGTTCCAACTGTGATGGACCAGTTAGGTGAAACTGTTTGGCTTCTCCATCGTTTGTCAAAAACAAGACTTGGTCTCGAAATGGACAGTATTTAAAGTATCCCTTCATCATGTAAATAGCTTCGCCAAGTCTGTCCTTTTCAACAACTTGTAGAAGCTGGTTGTCACTCCCGTACACGCAAAACTGCCAACAGAGAGATCCAATCCACTTATACCCAGACAAATGACAGGATACAACCAATTTCTGACCTCCATACTCGATACCATAACATTTATTCTTTGTAGTAATGATGTACTTCTTTGTTTTGCTTTCGTTGTCGGGAGCAAGAGAAACATGGCAAATCTTCCATAATTTCGGTAAGGAAACACAGAAGCCTTGTTCTCTCTCTGTAATGTCAAATGGGGAGCCGTTTGCAAATGAAATCGTATCCTTCCACAAACCATCTGCTGCAAACAACTTAACAGAGGAGTTTGCATTGTCAACTAAAGCAAATGTGCCATTTCTAAGCACGATACATCCAGTAATTAACGGAGGATATTTATCCGATGTCAGTTTACAGTCCACCCCACCAATGAATTGAAGTTTAGGATCCGCCACTGGAGGGTAAATGCTATCGATCAGCTGACAATTCAAAATTGCCTGTCTGAAAACAATCTTCTCTGGATCAAGCAAACGAGCGAGTGCTAATGTTGACTTCCATTCAAAGTCGCATGCTTCCAATTCCTTTCTTTTCTTATCTATAACCTTCCTATACTGTTCAGCCTGTTGGGCAATGTTTGTAAGCTCCTGTGTGTTCTCACAAATTCCTTTCATATGATTCCCAATTTCTGTCAATAAGTCATTAGACGCTCTTATTACGTTGGAACTTTTCCTCGAACATTCTGTTATGGTATTATCAATGCAGCTCTCGGTTTCTTCCTGAACACTGTTTATTTTTGATTTGATTTCCTTGAAAAGTTTGTCCAAACTTTCCTTTAGGCGCTTCGCTAATCTTTCATTATGATCTGAACTTTTTCGTTGGAGTTCCAAAACGTTCGTGAAATTCTCCACACATTGCTCATAACAAGCTCCCCTTTCTGTGTTAGGTTCCGGAATTCTATCTTTTATACCAATTAATTCCTTTTGACAGAGTTGTGCTCGTCGTTAAATTTACACTCTGCACACAATGGTTCTTGATGGTAAAGACAAAGGTGACCCGCTTGGGCTCCGTGAGAACTGCACCTTATTTCAGGAAACATCGTTGTGCTTTGATTTGAAAAATCGATCTACACAAAACTTTTAAAGATTTTAAATATACCTACTTGGAAAATTCCAGTGTATATAATTAAACTTTCTAATTTTGAGCACACGTAATGTTGTAGAAATATTATGGCACCGTGTAATTCAATGACTGGAGTCTTGGAGTGGAGGTATGGAGTGGAGTTTTGGAGTCTAAGATTTTTGTCCCCCGCTGAAAGTGGGAGATATTAATTTCGGTCTGTCTGTCCGTCCGACCGTCCGTCTGCAGTTCTGTATGTCTGTAACGCTTTCATTTCCATGCGATATCTCGAGAAGCCTTTGAGCTTTTGCAATGGAATTTTAACAATAACTCCCTATGGCCTAAGAAAAATCATTATTTATTTTGAGGTCAAATGGTCAAGAGTCAATGTCATAAATTACTAGTAATTTTTTGTCTGTTTTAAGACTTTCATTTCCATGCGATATGGCTTTTGCAATGATATTATATACCACAACTCACTATGGCTTAAAAAAGACCCCTATTAATTTTGAGGTCAAAGGTCAGCTTTCGCAATTAAATTCACTCATCCTTTGACTCCAAACTCCACTCCAAGCTTCCAGTCAATGAATTACACGGTGCCTAGAAATATTGCCGACGTGGCCTATAATTATCCTTGTTCCTATTTTGTTGACTAATTTTAGATTTTATTAATTGTATTATGTTTGTACTCTTCTGTCTCATGCGAGGCCTTCAGTGAATAAAAAATTCAAAGTTTCAGTCCCCTGCCTTCACTGAATGTGAAAATATTCTATTGT